AATGACCTTTCCCAAATGACCTTTCCCAAATCTTCGTTCGCAAAAACTGGCCATACATACATACATATACACTTGGGTCTGTATGTTATCTCATTCCCAGAATAGCCTGCCAGTCCCTGAACTACTGTCCCTAACCACATTCTTGTTGCCACAGAATCAAAGGTCCTGAGTCCTACCTGACCACTGCTCATAATATTTTCTCTTATTTTGGCTAATGACATCTTCATCTTCCTTTTGTGCTATTGTCTCATTTCATATGATTCAAATTGTTTTCTCTCCTCCTCTGGCATTCTGCTTCTTTCCCGTCTTTGTCCTCCTTTGAGATGGAGGACAACAACATCTTGTTTTTCTGCAAACAAGAACAGTTAAATCATTGAAACATTACCTGAACTGTGAATCTATTAGGACTGATTCCAGAAATGAATGAGGAAAAAAGGGCTCTGTGAGTGAGATTTCTTCATTCTGCAAAATGCCATATGATTATGCAAAGCTGTTCTCTTATGGTTTTTTGCCAGACAAAATATGTAGACATTTTTCTTGCCTTTTGGAGGGGAAATGCTGTGCATGTGCATAAATACTGCCTCTTCTTTGAATTAAAATGAGACCTTGCAGAGCGGCTAAATTGCACATTGCCAGGGTGAGCAGACTGGCAGCTCAGAACTGAGCCTTGTTTCACAGCACATTGCTTGTCTTAGCAGCAAGGCAACCTGAAACAGGCTTGGTCTGGTTTTTGGTCTGTAACTCATTATGTAAATGCCAGCCAAATTAAAGCAAAGCAGATGGGACAAGTAATTTGAAGATTAATGAAGCTACTTGCATTAAAAAGTAACTGTAGATATGTATTTTAATAAAAGAGATCCTTTCTAGTTCAGAATAGCTGGTCAAAAGAAAAGGATCAAGCATTTGATCAAGAAGGGAAAACTGCTAAAGCTTTACAGAACACACCCACAAAGAAAAACTCTTTACAGAGTTAATCACTTGTAATAGTCCTTTGTGGGTGTGTTCTTTACAGAGTTAATCCCCATTAAACTGAATTATCAGGTCAAAGACTTATTTTCCTTCTCAGGTACCTGCGTCATACTGTGAATCCACATTTTTTCCTAAGATGCAGAAGTAAAAAGATGAACTCTGAGAAATTCTGTAGGGATTATTCACAGTGCAATCTAACGTATTAATTCTCCTGTGGCATTTGCATTTTCCATCCAAACTTTTACAAATTTCTACTGAATAGTGGCATTTTCCTTTGTATAACTGGCTATACTTCAATTGAAAGAGAAATGAGAATCAGGAAAGAGTACAATAAACAAATCCTTTTTGTTTTAACACTACAAAAAATTCAACTCGACCTTAAATAATCTCTAAATCAATATCCAAAATTCCAGTCAATCACCAAGTATAATTATTGTAAAATATTTCCAATCTTGCCCTAAACTCTGAGTTCACAAGGTTTCTCAAAATGCATTGCTGGTCCACTGTGCTGGTTCCTGAAACTGCTTCTTTTTTTGCAAATACTCAGGAATGACTAGATACTAACAGACTGTTCAATAGCGTTTAAAATGCACGGATTGGAATTAGCTTTTGTATTTGGTTCATGAGTTGGAGGTACTTAAAATGTGGGGGGATCACACAAACATAAAATCTTACCATAATATTGGTGACTGGCTCTGTAAGAAGCACACAATCTTCTGCCAGAGACAGTTCAGGATTTCTGAATTTTTGGGATACCCCACTCTCTTTGTCTGTGTAAAGAAATGGCTACTACCATGCTCTTCTTCAGAAGTCAGATTTGGAATTTCAGTGGAGAAGTACGCAACTCTCTAAGTCACAAGACAATTGAACTGCAACATTTGGAGATTAACATAGTTATAGGTACTGTTTTTCATACACAGAGTTCTTCCATGAACAAAAATGAGAGGCTGTGTAAGTGAAAAATTGTACAGATATTCTCAGGGATGATTTTCTACAAGAAATGTTGGAAGGTAACTGCTCAAACCCTGGTCCTGCTCCTCCAAGCCCTCTCTTCTGTGATGTGATGCCACCAAATACCTGGTATAGTATGCTGTGATGCAACCATTGTACCTCCAAAATGACTGGTATCTTAAAAGACAGAACAATCATGTCTAGATTTAGAAAAGCTTTCCCTGTCTATTCTGTTCTGTAAAGTGCTTGACCCCTATGTTTGAGTCCTTTGCTGCAATTCTTCACTAAGTAAGAAAACACATAATTTAAAGCTTGTCCTCATGCCCCTACTGAATATGGCTTTGTATGGCCAAGCTAAGTGTAAGCAGGACTCATGACTATCCGAATTTCAGAGCTTTTCTTATGGTAAATTTCTTTGATATAAAGGCTGGTTAAATTTTGTACAATGATGGTCCTTAAAAACTGTTTCACTCCTAGAGGGTAAAAAAATAAACATCATTTATCCATGCAAACACATAATTTGACTGCTGGGCAACTTGGTCTACACAATGGAGGCAACAATCCTATCAATTACAACAAAACATATAGCTTTTCTTACAGTGAAGTGCTAAACATGATGGCTCCTTAAATTACTGCAAATGGCTGTTTTGAAATACAGTTACATTTGCTTCAGTTTTTGTACCCATCTTTAACTTAGCCTGTAGTATACTGCACATGTAAAAAGCTGTTGTGTTGGTGTAAAACAGATGCATAGGAAATTTCATCAGTCGTCTGTTTCTGGGTCCTATGTATGGAAATTCTTTGTCACAATCCAAACAAGGCCTTTTCTCTCTCAGGCTCCATTATGAGGTAAGTGAATATTTTGTTCTTCTGGAATATGCGTAGGGATTTAGTAAAACTGTTACTGCGCTTCTCTTAAAACATTACATACTCCAAAGTACATGCAATTAAACAGTGTGACAGTAATTCACTCCTTCATCATATCTGTGTTGTTGAAATGACAAACGAGCCAAAAGAGACATTCACAAACCACACAGCAGATTTTGATGATACCACATTACTTTTCAAAGTGAGAAAATTATGAAGCTTCGAATTGTGTTTAACGTCAGAACAAGATTTGATAATGTAGATCAGAGTACACTGTGTCTGAGTTTAAGTCAGTTGATAGCTCATTACATGTGGGGATGGGTTGTGATCATGCAGGTTATTCGCTGAATTTTTGACATTCAGATGTCGATAATGCTGGTTTTTGGAACTGGATTTATTTTTACAACAGAATGTCATTATAGCACTTACAGTGACATGAAGAACAGAACTTCAGCTTGATCTTCCTCTACAGAAGCTCATTAGAGATTCACATGAGAAGACAACCAACACGTGCTATTGCCATGGAAACAAGATGGAATATTATGAAGCAGTATATCCCATATTCCAAAATAGAGAGGACAAAGAGCAATTATAGCAAAAAACTGACAGCCTCTTTATTTGCAGCCTGTATGGGTCCAAGCAAAACTTAGCTCCTGCTCTTTGCAATAAAAGTCACTGGTGCAGTTTTAGGACTCTGGTTTCAATTCTTCCCTTTCAAACATGAGAACTCAAGCTAGTTAGTTTAGTTTATGATGTATGGGAGGCAGGAGGCCGAATGGAGGCATTGGCATCACAGCAGGTGTGTAGGTGTGATCATGTACTAAGCACAGACATCACAGAACTGATAGAGGAGTGAGTTAAGTATAAGCCACATAGTGAGCTGCTGATAAAACACAGTTGAACAAAACTAGCAGAAACTGAACATCTGGTATGTCATTAAGACACAGAAGAAAGGCTAGTTTCAAATGCAATGGCTAGCCAGTACCAGTGGCTGGCCAGAATGCAAAGGATAAAATTTATGGTTGATTTGCATTAAATAGGGGAGTTTCATGGTTTCTCACCTTGCCTAGATAATGAAGTGCTTTCAGACATCCTGGACATATAGTATGCAAACAGTATGTACTTAGTCTAACTTGCCAAGGTTCTGCTTGTGACTACATACACAGAAAATTCCTTGAGATATTTAAAACAGCTCTGTCTGGTCTAGAGAGAGTTTTTACCATTGTAAGAGTTTTGAGCATTGTCTCTGAGTGCAGAATGATAGCTTGTGAGTACGAATGCACATATTTTTTTGTGTTTGATGACAAAACCCCAAATACAGAAATTCTATGCTAATAGAAACAAGACCTTAGAGGAAATACTTCACCCTATGTGTAAAAGGCCTGTGATTGGCACTTCATTCACACACTGGTTCTACTTTTAAGAAAGATTTTTAAGTTCCAGCTGAGACTCTGTTATAATTAGTCACTTTGAGCAAAGCCACCATGGGCAAAATATAGCTTAGGAAAGATAAAAAAAAAGAGAGTAATAGGGTTTTTAGAAGCATTTAACAAGCCTTGGAAGGTTGTGCCAAGAGTTTATCACTACAGAGAGTTACTGTGAGATTCAAAAACACTTAAGAGAATGATGGAAGGGATATTACAGAAAGCTTGTGAGTGCCTACTGAACCAGGCTTTGGGAAGCCTCCCAGTGCCAGCATATGAAAAGTATGGTGTGCCACTATTTAATTATGATAAACTCCACAAATCTTCATCCACTTAAGCAGCCACATCAAATGACATTCAAAACTGACAGGTTACATTCACTGTTTCAACTCTGATTCATTCTTGACTGATTCTGTTTTGATTGGAAAAAAAAAAGACAAAAGGCACTTGATTTTGGGAGAATAGTCTAAATGAAATACAAATTTTATTGCAAAAGTTATTCTAGTAAAACACACAAACTTTAATAGTATTGAGTAGCTTTATGAAAAGCAAAATAGCAAACACCTTGTTAAAAAGAATACCTGGTCATTTTTTTTCACCAGCAACAGACAAAGAGATAAAATGTGATATAGTTGCCAACTATACCGCAAAATAACAAATATTCTTTCTCATCTTTGCATATCAACTTTCTTTCCCATGCTGTTAAATGCAACTCACTAGTTGCAAAAGCAACTACTTTTTTTTCCCTGAACCTTTACTGGGCTTGATTTTGTCTGTGCTTTTCTTCTTTTTCTCTGCTTTTAAGGCTGCTTCCTGAGCTGCCAGTTCTTCCTGTTTTCTGAGCTCAGCCTCTAGCAGATTACTTCTGTATGCTTCCCGAATGCTGTGAACTCTGACTCGTGTTTCATCTAAGGATGCCTAGGCAAAAACAAACAACAATACCACCCTTCTTAACACATGAATTTTGATTTATTTCATCACAAGCAACTGCATCCTTCCTGGTCTGTTTTACTCTGTGACTCTGTAAGTAGAGGGAGAGTAACTCTCTTTTTCTTTTTACTTGGATTTTTATTATTTCTCATAGGAAACAGCTATATCAATCTTTTCACCACGAAGAAGAAGAGAAAGTTCACAAAAATCCTTTTTAAATTTCTAGCATAATGAGCTAATTATGTGAAGGGAGGATAGGGCAACAGACTAGTACTAGTTTGCTTTGCTGTCATAAACGAGTCCATTAAAAACTACTTGTCAGAAATGCTGAAATGGTTTAGGAGTTCTAGCCTTTTAAGAGTCTAAAAGAGCCTAAATCACATTGACCTTCAATGAGACTTAGGGCAAGCGGGACTTGGACACCTCTGAATACTTTTTCCTTTCCATTTCCATCCTGGAAAATGGGGATTCCTGAATACCTTTATATAGTTCTCTGTGGTCTACAGATGAAAAAACTGCAAAAGTGCTTATCAGCACAGTGTGCATATTCACAAGTAACTCTCATTTTAAATTCATACTGTGAAACATTTTTAACGGAAATACTTTCTAGAAAGAGTTGAGGAACTGCTGTTGAGAAAAAAAATTCCCTTCTAATATATAGTATGTTAGGAATCCAAAATTATAGCAACACCTGAAAACCTGGACATGTGTTCTTATTAGGATCAGTCACTGCTAGAGAACTGTGGCTCCTTGCAGACCTGTAGTTGTGTAACATAAATCAGGCTGACTGGGAACTTAAAAAGAAGATGTTTTCAAGTGGCTTCTGTAAATAAGTTGATTTGATGTAACATTATTTTTACTGTCTCTTATCCAGCTTTAAGAGCTCTGAATAGTCACCAGTTGATTGCTAATGGTTATTGTTTCACCACTGTGTAAAAAATAATTTTGTTCCTGTTGATGCTCAACAGTTAAGTCAATTTGTAAGATATTTGTATCAATTTCATGTGCAATGAATTGGCTGCTTTAATCCTCACAATGGATTCTACCCTAATGCTACCAAATTTATTTTTATACACAAGTTTTTTTAAGGATTAATAATTCAAACTCCAAGAAAATTGTATTCTCTAACTTTGCTGTAAGACACATTAAGAGCAACTTGCCCCCTATATAATTTTTTTCAAAATTACTTTCTAAAAAGCCTATACAATTCTATAACCAAAAAAATAGTAAAACCAGCGATGCTTTACCTAATATGCACCTGGTCATGTATGTCAAATGCTCAATATAACCATCCTTTTATGGTGATATTCTTAAAATAGTGTTTTTGCAGAGAGCTGTATCAAGCAAGTACTAAGAACATCATATTAAGGAGGTTGTATAGTACTGTTTTTTTTTCCCTTTAGAACTTTCAGTTTTAACCTTTGCCCAAGCAAAATTTCAAGCTTGTTCATTGCTTCTAACTACTGGTACTGAATACAAGTTTTGATGATGGCTGATCAAGATATTCAGCCTAGTGGTGGACATCACAGTAATAGTTACTGGAAAGTAATCTTGACAACCTACCTGCAGATTCTCATACATTTCAAGTATATTTTGCTTCAATAAAGCTCTGTCATTTTCTTCTTTTTGTCTTTGCTCCAAAACCAACTCCTGAAGTTCCCTGAAATGGTTAATTTTTTCCTCTTTACGTATCTGTTGCTGTTGAATAATAGACTCATTTCTCAGCACAGATTCAGACCTTGTTTTTCTGAAGGAAATACAAAGATATTTGTCTCATTTCAAAAACAACTCTGGGTCTTGTATATTTTTCTTAACACCTATATGCGTATATTTGGCTTATATTTGGCAACGTCACCATTGTATGCTTAGATATGGTTAAGGAGTCACTTTTCCTCTGCTTATATATGACACTCAGGCCAGGTCTTCTTATACTTGAGTGTCTGTTTTAAAAATATTTATAAAAAAATGCTCATCTTTGCGCACATGAAAAACTCCTACATGTGACACTTATTTTAATTTGCAAGAAATATATTTCCAGAAGTTTTTGATATTATAATTCTGCATTGAGACAAATGTAATTATTTTTTTTTTTTGCTTTTGGCATAATGGCAGCTAAATGGACAATATATTTTTTACATTTTGACTTAAATGACCAGTGTCAAAGTCAAGGACTTGAAAACAAATTAAATGCTTAAAAGATTTAAGCTTGTGGAAGATATTTTGCTATATTTTCTACTGTTTCAATGTTATTCACTTCAATATAACACCTGTTTCTCTTTCAATTTAAAATTAAATTTGGACATTTTTGTCAGCATGTTCTAAGGTCTTTTGAAAATCAATGAGATGCAGAAATGTTACATTGAATACAAATGGACTTAAGCATGAAGTGGGTTCTAGCTGCAGCGCAGCAAATACACAGGTGCAAGTAAACAACTCAATAAGTTCACGTCAACACTTGTAATAAACAATACAGTTTTTTTGAATAGGAAATATAATTAATATAGTTATTTCAGCTGTTAACTATTATTATTATTAACTGAACTGCATTTGTTAAACACAGCACTTTAAACTAGCATAATGTCCTGATAAACTTCATATGTGCTCCTTTCAAGACGAACACTGAAATAAGTATATTTGCCTGCATGTGCATTCTTCAAATGTTTATGTCACATACTCATTACATGCAGTGCAGTGATTCAGGTCTTTTGACATTTATTATGTTAAGGCAGTTTACCTCATGTAAGGACTAAGGTCTATAAGCTCCCATTTTTTTTTCTGCCTTTGTAATCTTGAGTCAATAGCTGCTTGTGAGGCTTTCTTTCCTGTGGTAAGAAAATATAAACCAGAGCAGATTAACCTGGTTATTTGGTTATTCTAGGAGCTCCATCTAAATTCTTATATAAACTTTTCTTCTTTTGGCTCAGCAAAATACACTATTAAATGGGAATATGGCTTGGAGAGGATATAATATTTCTGCCCTTTTATTTCCAACACTCATGATAGAATCAAACATGCTGCAAAAACCCCACATATGCTAAAATGAAACTAATATACGTATTTTAGCTACATCCGCTTTACTTAAGAAAGTTTGTAAATCTAAACAAGAACATTGAATTTGCAGCGCCTAAAGAATACAAGAACAACTTATAATCAGCTAGGAATCATATTCTTTTATTTAAAAAAAAAACAACAATAAAAATCTGATTGCCCAGTCCTGTCTGTAGATTGAAAAAATACATATTCCCTTTGGGGTAGACATTTAGTTTAGGAAAAACCAGTCTAAAGAAAAATGGTCTCATGACATATTAAAATTTGTATTCTGAAGTCTCAGGGGTTTTTAACCACATGGATAGTACATGCTATATTTTATTGTAGATTTATCATGACACAATAACATATCTGATATTAAGCATTGCACTGGGCTGAGCTGTGTTGTGATTAGTCCAATGCTTCATTCTTTTAATTTTTCTGAATGTGTTGAAAATGCCTGTGAAATCTGATGAGATTTAATGATGACTGGAGTAGTTTTCTTTCACAGAAACTCTCTTCTTATTCTACCTGTAGCAGTAACCAATTGAAATATTTGGAAAACATTACTGGAATTTTTTCATCAAAAATACAAAAGAGGTTTCTGAGCATTAAAAAAATTACAGTCTATATATATACTGTCTATACATAGACAAATATGCCAGCTTTCTCTGGTGGTCTTGAAGGGTGATTTGGATCTTTGGGAGTGCCTTAGACACTGCCTTTCAGAAAAGTATTCTCCAGAATACAAAAATTCTCATTTAAGGTACTGAATATTACAGAAATGTTCCATCCTATTATTGCGTATTGCTGCACTCTATGGAATTGAACCATAACAACTTACAGTCATGGGGGTGTCACTCTTTACTTCATAAGACTTTATATTAGACTCTAAACGCTTAGTTTAGAACAAAGCACTTGGTAGACAACCATTAATTTTGAAGTACTTACCCAGTAACTTAGAGGAAATAACATTTTTTCAAATAAACAATACTGTGTTTGTTTAAGGCATGAAGATTACTTACCTGGATGTAAAAGTACTAATCTTATGTACTTGTCAAAGGTTCTATTCCATGCACATGAGCCATGACCAGATATTGTCACAATCAGACTGGGTATTATTCTTTTTTTTTTTTTGTGATGGCCTGATCTCATCATTATTCACAGAAGAAAAGAAACAGCAAAAAGCTTGCAGCCTTCCACCCAGTTCACCTTCTCATCACAGTCCAGTAACTGGCAGGAACACATATGAAGAATCCGTAGAAGTTGTAACCACTAAATAAAATTAGCACTTATGGAAGCTGCCAGGAAGCTGATGCTACTCAGTATGCACTTTTTGACACCTCTATTCCAGAACACCGTCTGTGAACAGTTTCCATGAACATTAACATAAAAAATGCACATTACATGTATTCGTCTCTTACTGACATGCTATTTCAGCTGCTAAACGCTTTATTTAGCATTTCTACACTAATGAACTCTGGTAGCCAACTTGGAATTGAGTAAGCATTTTCCACTGAACTTCCAAAAATTTCTGCTTAATTAAGGGTTAGAATGCTACTACAAAAGGACTACCTGAAGTTTGCATAATGGTAATTTGGCAGCCTCCAAGAGCCATGAGGCTGTATCTGTGCCTGGAAATAGAGCAGCGAAACAATTAAAACAAAGAGGGGATAGAGAAGATAGAGGGTAAGTGTGCCATTGCGCATTTGGACATCTTTATCAAGGCTGTTTTATCCACTTACTATTAGTATTTAATGCAGAAATCTTTCCTAAGGAACTGAAGACACAGAAAGTTATACCCTTACCTATTTCTCCTGAACTAGGTGTCACACTGGCGGTCTCAGTCCCAGTTATGGCCTCCTCTGAATCTCTCGCAGCACACTTATTAATAAAACGCACACGTTCCTGAAAAGCCTAGGAATCAAAGTTTTAATCCAGATAAGAAAACTTCTACTGCATACTTTAAATCCCAAAGAATTTTTAAAAGAAGGTCAATAAGACCTAACATTAGGGTGCAGTATGCAACTCTGCCTGGGGCTGGAATCAGAAAAGATGCCAGGGTCCCAGTGAATCAGTCCTGAGACATTGACACTTAAGACCACCTTGACACTTAAGATCACTGTCCAGTGAAATACTGGAAAGTCATTCATCTCTGGGAAGTTTAAATAATATTTGGATTCAAAACAAAACCTCCAGAACTGAAAATCAAGATTCCCTCATAGCTGAATGTACAGCTACTGCACCTCCTTAGGGAAATATCACTTTCTCTTAGGGGCTCCTAAAGCCTGGTGATTTAGGCTTCCTCCTGAGAAATGGGACCTTTGGGTGCAAACTCTTTCAGACTCAATTACCTCTATGGCCAAAACCAGACATCAGCACTTCTATATCTTTTCAGAAGGTGACTTTGGCTCATTGGGCATTTTCTTAAGGGCTGAGATTGCCAGAACGGACAGAAGACAAAGGTCACCCTGAAGTCAGGCACCCGATTCCCAGAGTTAGAAAGTCCATGACCCCTGGAATGGGCAGACATTGTGGCAGGGTGATCAAGAAGAAAGGTGAGAGAAAGCTACTTAAGCTGGATAGCAGGCCCCAATTTAGACCTTGTTTTTAGCATATTCCATGTGCTGCAATTTTCTTAATGATAGCTGTTTTAGAAAAATGTCACAGACTGAAGGGGCTTTCAAAATGGAACCCTGTAGTTGCAATTCAGTTGATTTTCTGATCAAAAAAGGATGTGGTGATACAACTAGCATTCTGAAGAGACTCTTTACACATCAAATGGGATTCATTTCCAGCTAATCTTTAGGAGGCTGTACTTGCATTTTCAGTCTCAGCACAACTAATCACCACTGCAGAGCTGCAACTCTCCTTAGACCATTTAATAGAGTACTGTCAGAAAAAGTTTTGAGCTTTGAATACACTGAAAAAAACGTAGAAAACCTGAAAGTGTAACTGGAAAGATCCATGTCTGAGGTTCATTTCTGAAAGGTAATATAAAAAAGACAAAATGCTTCTAAGGTGGGGATTCTGGCTGAGAATCCTTCAATGGGCAATGGTAATGGTGGTGATAGTTTAAAGACTACATTTTGTTCTTTTCTTTTTCTTTTTTTTTTTTTTTGGGTAATGATGCTTCCAATTCTAAATTAGCAGTGTAATTTTTTGCTTTAGTACAAAGAACATGTATTATTTTTTCATCTTAAGCATATGTCACATCAAAAGTATCCAGCTGTAGCTGACAGCTGAATTAGAGAATTCATACAGAACATGTACAGGCCCATGGATAACCTGCAACCCAGAATGAATTTGAGGATCCTGGCTGCAGGGGACAGTGTGAGTGGTGACATGACCAGGTGCCAGTTCTTCAAGAGAAATCATTTTAGCAGTGTATTTCTCAACAGAATCTGTTCATGTTAAATATTAAATCTGTCACAAGCAGCAGCTTTGCAATTGTGAAGAGGCTTTCTAAAGAGAAACTTTTGTATGTTTTGTAAAGTAGAATCTAAAGTCTCAGTGATCTACAAAGGCCTGAAATGATCCGGATTACTGCCCAGAATTCATGCACTTTTAATTCTTTAAACTGTGTAAAATTTCCTATCTTCCATAGAGTGGTGAAGAGGACAGCCCTAAGAAGGTCCCTGTTGTGGAAACTGCTCTACCATCACAACAGCTCCCGGAACTTGTGCAGAAGACACCACTGCAAAGATACCACTCTGATATTACCTTGACAGCTCTTCCTGGCTCTGCAGACTCCCATGCTTGTTTTATGGCTCTGATCTCATCTGCTTTCTGGGTGTCTTTCTTCATCTCCAGATGGTCTATCTCTTTCTGTTCACTAACTACACGTAAAGTCCAGTACGGTTTGCTCGAAGTTGATTGCTGAAAGTATCATAAAGACAATGTATTCACTGGCATACATCTATTACCACTCTTTAGAATGAAGTCATGTTTTTGTATCCTGGTAGTTTTGCATGCATTATGACACAAAGAGTGGCTGCCAAAGGAAAGGAAGATTACTCTGCAATGTGTGGAAGCTCTTTGAGGTACTTTGTTTACATGTTTCTCCCCCACTCCCATACAGTGTCCTCCACATTCCCTTTCCCTTCCTTTCTCTTTTCCTTTGCTTTTCATTTCTGTTTCCTCTTCCTCCTCCCCTTCCTTTTCCCCTTCCCCCTCCCCTCCACTTCTCTCCCCTCCTCTCAACTTTTCTTTCCTTCCACTAGGTTTTTTACTAGAAGCCTTATTATATTTAAGTGGGCTTTCTGTGTAGAAAAAAACCTTGCTATGTCTTATCAGGTTCTTTTCCAATCACTTCCCAAACTCTCTGAAGCACCTTAACACATACCTTCTTCAGAACCAAAGGGTAAGTAGTGCCTGAGGTGTAGGAGACTATTCTGCTGTTTGACCAATGAACGAGATACTGTGCTGCATATATTTCTGTGAACCGTATCATCTGAAGAAGCTTTAAGCCCAAGATTTAGAACCAGAGTTAGGAGTTCAGCTCTTATTTGAGACTAAAGGTGGGCATCTTCTTTATCTACAAGAGGTCCATCTTGAAACTTGTATTTGTTTCAGTGGTGGACTTAAGAACTCCCAAGAACCATCATCCCAGCATCCCTAGTATACCCCACCAATGGAGTTGAAGGAAGGAATCTGACATAGCCTGAAGCTTCATTGACTTTCTGTGGCCAAAAAGCTAAACTGCAGCCACTCAGACTGCTCTGAAAGAAGGATTAAGGCACTATTCAAGAACTCTGTATAATTAGGTGTGGATATGAGTCACAGGGAAGTTTGCAGGTTTAGTCAACAAAAAAATTCAGTCGAGATTTCTTCATGAAAAATTCTATGGAGCTGTTCTCCCCTTGAACTACCTGCCATGAGGCAGCAAAACTCCCAGCAAAAGCAATACCATTACACAAGGAGCTGTCAGTTTTTTCATTGCCTTTCATTAATCTGTTTGCAATCAATAACATTATTCCTTTTATGGCATAAAGGCTGGCAATAGCCTTTTGGTCGGCCACAAAACACTCAGATTACCCCATCACAGATGAGAATAATCTCCAAGTAAGCAAGTAGATATGAATTCTTCTGCCACTCTACATCTGCAAGCTAATGACTGTAGTGGAAAGACCTATTTCATCTCCTTAGGAAGCCATGAAAGCCACTACAATGAGGGACTAATGGGATGTAAATATGGTGAATTCATGGAATTTAATAAACTTTCAGCAGAGACAGAAACTACACCAACAAAAGGAACAACCACTAGTTCCTTTATACATAAACAAAGAAATGAGCACATTGTATCTCTAAATCCAGGATGCACATCTTTTACATTCAACCTTTGTAATTCAGCTTTTTACAGGTCTAAATCTAAAAAGGTGGCAAAGCAGAACACAGAGAAATGCAAGGGATACACTAGAAATGCTAGCAGTACTAATTTGCAGACCTGAGAATATATTTATGTTCACTATAATGATGGCACATTCAACAAATCCAGTTGTTGTCTTTGTTCTCACCTGAAATTCAACTGATCCTCTTTGGGACTTCTCTTTTTCTATCTTCTCAGATGATCTTTGTTTTCTGGTTGATCTAGGAATATTTGCAAACTCTTGACCTTCAAAAGAAGTGAGCATTAGGAGAAGTTATGCTTCTCTTCCTTTCCCCCATGTATTACTCAGATGTAGTTTTAATGCATGATGAATTAGAGAATATCACTATTATCCATAAATATAATTCCTCATATAATACTCAGGCTGAAATAACAGCACAAAATAGCCATACAGAGAGACAAAGAACAGCCAGTTAATCCGTTGACACTTTCAAATACTATCAAGAAAAAATGTGAGAACAGTTTTTTCAAAACAGACTCAAAAGGTGGACATACTGCGACAGCCTAATCTGTCCTAAACAGCACTTTACCCAGGGCTTAAACATGAGTTTGCCGTGGTCCCTGCCATCAGTCACTGCATTGTTACCTTGTGTATGTGTCAGTATAAATACTGAAATGAACAGAATCACAGCCTGACTCTTACTTCCCTCACATAGTCTCACACAATCTCTGTTACTGTTATGCACCAGGAAGGTAAGAAGCTTGAAATAGGTAAAGTCAATATTCTCCCTGTCTGAAATCCTGAGACTGTGAAGAACAGAAAAAAGGATACATCCCACCAAAAATGCAAGGAAGTTAAGGCAAAGAAACATATTTGAGATTTAATGCATATCTAAGAAATGTGAAATTATCATTCTCAGAACAATCTGAGAACATTTTTAATTAATTATATTATCAGTACATGTGTATACTATATATTTGAATTAAAGATACTGAGAATTGACACTTATTCTGCAATGTCTTAGCTGGCGGGAGCTGTTAACAAGACTTTTTGCATGTCATATTCTTGTTGAAATAAATTAATTAATAAAGCCTTGAATATAAATTTAATAGCAGAAGGAACATGTCATTTGAAACAACCAGGAATCAATCCAAAACACTATGAGAAAGATTAAAAAGTTGAGCCTGAAATCTCCATTTCCTTCCACCTTAAATGCTGAAAACCTAGATTTAGTCAATACAATAAACCAGGGGATTTCTCTTAGAAAAAAGTGGATATGAGTGATTGTTTCACAGTCTGATGATAATAATAAGGTATCTTTCACTTAATCTATGGTTTTCTAATTTCTTTCCACTGAGGACAAATCACTGTGCTGCACAATTAACGAGCTTTGGATCAGATCTGCAACGTCATGGCTGAGGTTATATGGATATATACAATTGCAAATAATAAATGTACATAAACATATTTATTACACACATATAACTCCACATACAAATATATATTATATGATATATATGTGTTTTACATCATATGTTGTACTTTAAATCCCAAAGAATTTTCAAAGGAAGGATATTATTTTTATCTCCTCATGCTGCTTAAAAAATACATGACACCAAAGTGCTAAGCTTTCATTCATTCAATGCTACCAAGGCATACATTAAAGAATGAAAGCAAAAACTAAAGCAGTCTCCACAAATATTGAATATACTAAAACAAATCCAGAGGAAATGCAAATATAAAGCAAATTGGAAGTTATGGTTACATAAATGGCTTTCCATTTAATTTCACATTATCATAACATGTTAGCACCATAAATCAGGCTGGTGTACATGCATTATTCAAGGAATTATTAATTTTTAGAGATAAATTATTTAGTGTTTACACAAACACTCAAAGGCATTCCGTGTAGCTAGCTAAATTATATCAGACAGAGACTTTCTGTGTCATGGGATATCACAAGCTTTTTTCTGGTTCTGATAAATATTTTACCACTCTGAATTTTAACATTTTGATGCTCAAAACTTATTGTATACACAGACAAGGCAAATAACAAGCAAGCATATGAATTGACAGGGCTTGAATGAGGTTACCTTCTTTAACTCCTGATATGAATCCTTAGGATAGGATTCAATTGAGCTCTCCTAGCTAACAGTATGCTGCACTGTCCAGGTTCTCCCAGCCCTTCCCATTCCCTCAGCAGAGCAGGCAGTCTCCCCAGCTTTGGAATCATCCTCCAGATATACCTGGAGAGGGCACTGGTTGCAGACTGGCACTATAGCATGCAACCCATCCACTCTGACTCAAAGGGAGATGTAAGTAGTTCCTTGGGGCTTTTTTAAGGGCTAAGCCAGGCAAATGCTTTGTATGGAGTATAATAAGAAAGGGAGATGACACAGAAAGTAAAAGGTCATTCCAGCTCACAGCTTATGCATCAATCATCACAAACTTTCAGTGGCAGTTTTTATATCTGTACAGCACCAAGAAAAGCTTGGGCATCACACAGACCAACAGTGATGACACACAGCCAACAACAACTCTTAAAATTAGCTTCTCTACTGCTCTTCAATTATTTATTCAGAAATTCATTTAGTTTGATTACAAAAGGGAACATAGTGATCGTCCAGTCTGATGTCCCGCCTATGACAAGATAAACATTTACACCAAATGATTTCTATCTGAAACTCATAACTTCAGAATGAGATGCATCAATTCTCTTTTTAGGCAAGATAGAGAGCTACTTTTATGAAATTCAAATTAGAGAGAATCGCTCTTATTCACAGGTAAAATACAGTGGAGTCTTCTGAAAATTTCTTTGATAAGATATCATGTTCCTTGCTGTCTGAAATAAGCTCTGAGCATTTAGTGGGATTATCCAGTAGTTGACTGTTAGTCATCCCATGAGGGACTTTCAGATTTTGTTACGAAAAGATTGAGAAGTTCAGATGTTGCTTTTCCCATCTCTGACTGGACCCTCATAAGGACTCAATGGATAGCAATGTCAAAAATCTTTACAAAGTTTGGCTCATCCAGACACTAAAGTTACAGTAAAAATACACCAGGATAGGAACAAACCACCAATATGGTTGCAGTACTAGTGTGGTGTTAGAGCATGACTTAGAGGTCTAAAGCACCATCATTTATCCTCAGTGATCTATTTGTTCATTGAACACCAGGCAAGTGATTAATCACTACTGACAGGGAAGCTGGGAGAGACATAAAGAGAGAAAGAACTGAACATTCTGTTAAACATCTCATGGAATCCTGTCCTTGGCATGAGCCAGCAAGTTCTCCTGTGGGAAAAGAAAACCAGTGGGAGGAACATACCCAGCCCTGGAGGATAAAAGGGAATATTCCGAAGGTTATTACCTGTCCTGCCTTTTCAAGCCTATCTCTACTACCTGGATTGGGCACCCTATCTCCCCTTGCTTTCCCAGTTGAATGACAGCCTTCTTTTAACAACAGCTTATACTCTTGAGTTAATTTAAGGCAATATGGAAAACACATACTGCAGTCAGCATTCAGCACACAATGATGATTCAACTTGGGGTTGGGACAGTTGCACAATAAAACCTATGATCTTACTACAAGAAAAATAAAACCAAAGAACCCAAAATAATAGTTGAAAATCATACATACAAGATGAATCTTAAAGGGATTTTGTTCACATAGTCATGGATCTTAAAATGGTACTAGCAGTTGCAAGATTGCCTGCTAATTGTTCCTCTTTTACACAAGAATTTATAATCCAAGCCTTACTTATTTTTTACTATTTTTCTATTGAAGACCTGCTGCATTAACAATTCCCAAAAGAAGGAGAAAAAAAAAAAAGAGAAAATGGAGAGAAAAGAATCGAAACTGCAGAGAGGCACGGGAGTGGGAGTGTGGACCCACGCATGGCCCCTGACTGTCACAGGAGAGCCACGGCAGTCACCACCTTGAGGATGCCTGCTAACAGCTCCCTGCTGCCTGCCAGTGAGACACTGCACCCCTTGCTTTCCGAAATGTGTGAGTGGCCCCTGCTTGGGGGGGGTTACACGGAGAGGGGAAGTAGGACTTGTTTTGAAAGTTGTGGTTGCTTGTTCAGGTTTGTTATATATATATATGTTAATAAAGAGCTGTTATTTTCCTTTTCCACACCTTTTCACCTGAAGCCTCTTAATTTCAAAGTTATAATAACTTAGAGGGAGAAGTTCGATTTCTTTTTTTCCTAGCATGCCCTCCTTAGCAAACATTGGTGTCTTGTTAAACTAAATCAATAACACAGTTCTTTTCACAAGTACAAACATCAACAGATACAAAATTATCACAGTGTCTGTATGCCAGAGAACTTTAGTAACTGTTAATACAAAGTTGAAATATGCTTTTGCCACGATAAATTAGTTTTAATACAAAATTAACTCCAGATGGCACTGTTGCCTTACGTGAAAAAGTGATACTTGAAATGGTGAAAATCTGTTGCAGGAATTTTTCATCCAGCTCACTGCAGCTTTCGTAAAAATCACATGGTGAGACAATACCTTTTTGGTTATATGTCAACATTGCTATTATATGAATTGTGTGTTTAACAACTGGTGCTGTCAGATTCAAATGGTAAAACTCAGTTTTCAAATTGATTTAAGACTAGTTCACAATCAGAAAAAAGATTAAATGTTTGTTTTTTCCCCAAACCACTTAACCATAGCACACACCAGATAAATATTACTGTTAACAGGGGTATGTAAAATAAATATTAAATAGTAAATACAGTGAGAGGTAATGTTTAAACTTCTTGATATAAGTTGTTTTTAAACTCAGTTTAAATCTGCTGGTATCCTTGTATAAAGAGAAACACACAGTTAATAAGAACTGTAAAATGGACTTATGCTACCTTGAAAGGCAGCAGTTATGAGAGGACACAGAAATTACACTTTAAAATAATCCTAAAACAAAAAGCGCTCGTTATCACTGACTGTGGCTTAAGTACATCTGACTGTAAATGAGCATCAGTTAACATGGAAAAGGGAAGCTATGAACTGGAATACTGCTACCTAGGACTAAACATGAGGATGACATGGACAAGTTTCAATAATATAAGCTGAAAAGTAGTGAAGAAACTTAAAGATTAAATGACCTCCTTTGACCTGCAGTTTTATGGACATGGAAACACACCAGTAGCATGACTGGTATGTTAAGTGCAAGCTATTACTATACAGCCGACTCCCAAGGATAAAGACTATGTAATAGGATGTGTATTGTAAGAAGCAGTCTATCATTAAAGAGAAAATTAGGAGAGTAAATGGAATCATCCAAGACGAAAAGATGATTTTGTGAAAAACGCAGCAAACTACAAGCAGGTGAAATCGCCACTAAAAAGCTGTGTACAGGACTGTAACCCTACATGACATAGCTCCTCAAACACTACTAAAACTGACTAGGACTACAGTAAATCAACAAGATACATCTTTGTAAAGTTGTGTAATGATAACTGAAGGAAGACTGAAAAAAATCTCAAATATTGCACACATCCTAAATCAAAGAAATTATATAATGTACGTCAGCAATTACTGTTGCTGAATCTAACTTCAGTCCAGGGTACTAGAAATTAAAACAAAAAAACCCACCAGACATTTAAGTAGAAATATGTAACTAGATTGTGATATACCACTAGTAAATAAAGATCAAATTGTTCTAAGAAAATTGAAGGATTTTAGTAAGTATATGTTTATGAGGAAGGATAATGCAAATAATTTCTGCTTATTACTCATTACTTATTTTAAAAATTGAGTTATAGATCCTTAATATTAATGATACAGGACATTAACTGAATGGTGGAAATTAATATTTTAGGTTCTGCAGGAACCTAGGGGCGAGGGCACAAGGCAATCAGGTGCATGCATGCGTGTGTGGATGACAGCCTGCACCAGCAGCTGGAGTAGGGCTGCAGCCTCACAGGGGATGCAGGGGGCAGCTATTGTGCAGACTAGGTGTCTAAGTCCAGTCAGTGGAAGGATCCACCTTTATATAAATATATAGTCTCTCTAGTGAACTTCCATTCTTTCCAGCCAGAGAGGGGAAAGCAGGATGAAGTTGCTGGTGCTATCTGTGTCTGTGTTTGTGAGAGTGCTCTGACTGTCTGTCTGTGATCTGTGTAGCTGGTAATGCATAGATAGATAGATAGATAGATAGATAGATAGATAGATAGAGGTACATAGTGTGCATGTGTGTCTACCTGCTTATGCTTGTTGGGACTACATCTTCAGCCTCACTAATAGTTGGACCTGGGGGTGTGCAGTGGCAGCAGCCTTGCCTCTCTCAGGCATGATAAACTTTAACATAATTAAGATCTAAATAACTTCATGTTGACCCCAGTGTTAAAAGAAGAAGCAAATATGAGACATTCATCTAATTTATAGGATATTGACTAGTATTCTAACTGCTTTTAATACACCTTGGGTTTAGTGTTTTCTGTCCGTTAACAAGAAATGCTAAGAGAATCCGGGGAAAAAAAACCCCAAACTTCTGTAATTTCTCTGTCCCTTTGCTGGCTTGAATATACTGTACTTGAGACCTCTCCTAATCTTTCCTCCTGCTAAATTCTTCTCCTAGCAGTACAGAAGCAAGATATATCCCAAATCAGGCCTTTTTTTACCCCTCTTGTCAGTGCATTTTCTTAAATTACCAGTAGGTATGTTTCTGTAGTTTCAGTAGAAATTTCTATGTTTGGATATACTTTGTCAGGGCATTGGGACTTCATCAGTCTCTCTGACTGTAAAAGCAGTCATACTTCTAGAACTTTCCAGATCTCTGCCTAAAGATGAGCCCTAAGAAGCTAAGGTGAGTTCTGCAGTGTACTCTCAGATTTCTTTACAATTTGTGAACTGAAGCTGTAGATTCATGCAATTTCTAAGACCTACAGAACAGAAAGCTTTGTTCTCTAATTATTTCACTCAGGCAATGAATAAACGAAAGAGTGTTGCTTCTGAAAATATGGGATTTTTTTAAATATCAGTAACATGATGCATTTGAATAAATATGTGCTTAGGTCAACCTACCTTTGATTTCATCTTTCTCCTCTTCTTCCAGTTCCTGAACAGAGAGAGTGTGATTCTCAGCAAGTGGCCAACTTTCATATAACACTAGTGCCTGAATCATATAGTTGTGAGACTGTGAAAGAAAATGCAGCATGCTGAAGACATAACAAGTACTGCAAGTGTTCAAGTCCTGTAGGTTAGCAAACTGCCAGCTATTGAATTCAGCAAATAAACCACATAATTAATTTACAAGCTTGCACATAAAAGCATTCACAAGAAGCTTAAAAAATTAGCGTTAATTCCACAGATTTTATTTTAATTCCTGTGAAATCAAACAATTAATCACGTGTTTATCAAGTGAAACTAAACTGGGCTATACAATAAGAAGCTACATTCCTTTAAGATTTCAATGTAACTTTCCTATGTATGCCATGTACTAAAACAAAGACTTTTGTTGATCTTAAGACCTACTACAGGGCTTTGAGCCCTAATACTAGCACTCAATTATGCCTTAATTTGAGGAAGAGGTGACAGGGTCCATAGGTTGTTTTAAACATTGTCTAAACTGAACAGAAAATGGTTATATTTAAAAATTGTTTTTCAAATTCTAAAGCCAGTTCTGAGTCAAAGGAACAGCCCTGGTTTTCTTCGAATATTTTGTTGCAATTGAACTCAACTATGAAGAAAAACTGCAGCAGAGAAACATTTGGAGATAGAGAAGCAAGAACTGCTCTAGAAAATATATGTTATTTTTCTAAAATAGAAAATAATACTAACTGACATCAAGAAAAATCCAAGGTATTGACATTATGAGAATCTTGGCTCTATTAGCAGATATTGTGTGTCTTTTACTAAAGCTTTTAGCTGAATGAAAATAGGTGTCTCTCTATGAAAACTATAAAAGATGGCCTTGTCTTACAACATATCTCAAAGAAAGTTCACATTGAAGCATCTGAAGTTTAACTTACTTTCTGGCAGTTTTTGGTCCTTAGCTGAAAGTTATTCTGTACTTGAATTGGATTTGTCAAATGAAGAACACGTAAAGACAGAATATATCCCCTTGATATGAAACTCCCTTCTTATTTAGTCACTCATACATGTACATTATCCTTTCTTCGTCACTTCATTCAAAAGCTACCAACAATTAATTTTGGATTCCTTGTTCTTGCCTCAAGATATAAGATTTCCATATGTACCAAAAGAATTAGCAATACCCCTTCATCGTGTTTGTTGGGTTTTTTTTGTTTTCCTTTGTTTTTCCCCAAATCCCAGTTATTTGTAATCTCTTACTTGTTGTGGACTTTCAACAATATTTCGCAAGTTTTCCAAGGGCAAAGATTCATCTATTAACGTAGGTGGATCTTCTTGTACAAGTTCTGGCTTCAAAGAAGTTTTGCTGTCCTTTGAAAATGAATCATGAGTTGTTTTTTTTAACTGTCCAGTTTCTGATTCCTTCTTTGTACTACTTTGAATAATCTCTGGGGTTTTTGCTGCAAAATGACAACAAAAAAAAATCCAGAAATTCTATGAATTATTAGTATAAGGTAAATACATGCCCCCAGAAAGTAAGAGAAAGAATTAGCACAGTCAATTTTCTCATACTGTATTATACTCACAAGGTTCCAATTAAAATTATGCTTATTCCAAATAGTACACTGATTTCATTTTGCGTGCAAATCACAAATCTCTTCAAAGTAAATAATGAGAAATTTGAAAGACTGTGTATATATAACTACTGTTACTATTTAAAAAGTATATCATTTTTTTCCCTCTAACACCACCCGTCTTTCCTGCACTAATCACAACAGCACCATTATCGAAAATAGATATCCTTGTACTCTGTATGATGGGGTCTCTGTGTGGATAACCTAATTAAAAAAATTGTGTACAACTGTGGATGGAGGGGAGAGGTGCATTGGCCACAGTTCTGGCAACTCCTAACCTTGCAGAAGCCTTTATCAAGTATCTCTGTGTCAAACTGACACAAAGTGAATTTTGTGCCAAACTGACAAAAAGACCATAGCTGACTTAAGTTTAGAAAAAGCCAATCTTGAAAGGAGCTATAGAATTATTTGTAGTCTATAATTTATGATGTTATATCATTGTCACCTAAGGAAAACCATAAATTTGTTTTCATTTCTAATGCCACATGAAATTTTTGATACTCTCTTGCCCGCACGTCTACAGAGAAAGGAAAGAGAATTATAGAAGTGCACATCTCATAAAAAAATTGAATAACGGCAGAAATTAACACCTCTGGGGAAGCAGCTTCCCCTATGTTACACTAACAACAGCTCCACTATCAACTGGGAAAGAGATAAATTTTGACTTCACTGAGGACAAAAGGCTTTACTCAATTCAAGGTTTATAGTAGAAGCAAAGGATGAGAACTGCATTATTGCAACACTTGAAAAGAAAAATGCACAGTGTCATGTGTTGATGAAACATCCAGGGAAATTCACAGGAGGTGACAGGACTTTAGACCAGATTCAGCAAAATTAACTGGTGGTGTGTCAGTGTACAGATGCCAAGTAAGCGGTTCAGTGTGCCACTAAAAAATCAATGGGAGTCAGGAAATATTGTTTCTTATGAAAGTCAAATGCCATGGATTACTTCCTATTGTATCCTTCCTCTGCATAAGCCAGTGCTTCCTTGCTCCTAAGAAAATCAGAAGTCAGGAAATGAAAACAAGACCTAGCAGAGATGCTTTCTTCAAGAGGTCTCAAACTCCTAATCACAAGCTATGAGTTGCTCTCCTGCATTACATTCAGAATCTTTAGCACCTGAGCTCTCCCTCTTGGTAAGGAAGCCTGTGAGAGAAACTTGAAGGAAGGCAATATATGATTTCCTCTAACCCATTTTTTAAAGTGATGCAACTTCATGGGTGTTATTTTGCAACAGGTATGTCTAAACAAGCCTGTATCTGTGGAATAGTTTCTCACTTGGGTAGATGCTGCTGAGCCTTCCAGGTATCAGTTAGCTTCCCATGTTGCAAAGGTGAGAGTAGATGTAATTCACAATGGTTAGAGAATTAGGTCTTTCATTGGAAGGAATCAAAATCATTTGTTTTTCACTCAATGGAGGTACATTTGGATGAATAAGAAACATTATCCAAATACCAGAATCTTGAGTATTTTTCTACATCTGAGTGAAAACCTGCTCCAAAGACACAATTTGTATTCCAAATGGAAGAAAAACTACATAAAGACATATTCTAATTAGGTAAACTGCCTTTAGGTTACCATCTGCAATATTTGCATAAAAGTTTCTAGTCAAGAAGGATCTTCAATGCCTGTCTGAGCGCTGTCAGCAAGGGCCAGTGCAACTAATTTACAAAAAAGGTAGCTGTAAAAGCAGTGAGGCCAACTAAATGTACTCATTCTTGAAGTCAACAGAGAGGCGATCTCCTCTCCAGGAGGTCTGGAGCTTGGGCTTTAGATGTGCACTGCCCTCTGAAGGAGCTTATCTCTACCTATCAAGGTATGCAGATTTCAAGGGAGGTTGTGGTCCTTAGGCTACAATTGCCTCACTACCCTCCTCTTCTCTTTCTCCTAAACCAGAAGAGCTTTAGTATTGAAAAATTCTATAATGGTTTGCCCAGATGATGATCGTGCCATGAAGGTAACTCAGCTCAGAATGATGGAATCCCCCATTCTGCTTTCCTTGCTGGAAAGATGACTTGGAAAAGCTCACAAAAATACATACATACCCAATAGTTCTAGCAGTGGTCACCAGGTGGTGCTGTGACACCAAATGACTTTTCTTACTACATATAAAAATATTCAGTCTTGGTTTTCCTATGCAAAGCTCTGACTAGAAGGAACTCCTACCTACCTTGCTTCAAGATTCAAACAAATATCTGAAAGATACTTTGCTACAGGATTGCATCAGACTGTTACTGTGGAAAATAAGAGCATTATGAGCATTCACTTGCCCATCTGTGCTTACAGAACTGCTGTGCTTGTATCTACAAACCAAATTGTGCTTGCAATGTGTGTGTCAATATGTAACTCCTTTATTGGCAAGCAAATGTTCGAGGTCCAAGTCACCTGCTACACCTCAGAAGAGGTAAATATATTTAAAATCAATCGGTTTAATGTACTTTTTGAGCTGCAAAAGACATTTATAGAATATGATATTGTGATTGAAGATGAATTAACAGGCAGTGGGTGGGCAAGGGAGATAATGTTTTATTGGTGATGCTTGCACAATATTGTCACTTAGTACTCCTAGCAACACAGCAATCAATTCTATGAGAGGCAGAACATTCGTGGTAGTGAAAAAGTTTCGAATTTAATGATTGCAACTGGCTTAACTAACAAATTTGGTGGTGATGGTATAGTAGTGTTTTCTGATTACTCCTATTCTGAGAAAATACACTGTTTTAGGGGACAAAAAATACTGACAGTATGAATTTTGTTGTATTGAGTGTCAGTTGTACAACTCTCCACCTGAACTTGGCATTGGTATTTCTGAATGTCCCTTTATTGTTTTGTACATGCCATAATAACACTTCTGACAACAGCAAAGAAACATGCTTTTATAATGCCATAAACTGAACCACTACTAAACCTACACTCAGTAGTATTGGTTATAATGAGTACATTTCATTATATTTTCATTAGTTTAGATGTTCTGAAAGATTTTACACAAAATACCTTCTTTGTGATAGACAAGATATATACTTAAGGAAAAGAACTTCAGCATTAAGGCCACTTGGTCTAGTATTGTAAAAATACTAGTAATAGTAAAAAAACCAGCTTCACAGTCATTCCTTCCAAATGGCAACTCCCTATATATACTCACACACACTTAAGGGGCATCAGAATATTCATTTCACCTTCAAATATAGTATAAAATTTTTTTTTTTAATTATTTTTCCCATACAGCATTGAAATTTCATATGGAACACTATTCTAAAGGATCATGAAAACTACACAGTTCAAAATAGTGGAGGTGAGCACATGAAGTATAATTCTGTTGGGGCTTTAACAAAGCAATGACCCAGTATTTGAACAACTTGTCTTTGCCTCAGGTTCCCATATGCTCAAACAGGCAGAAACTCAGAATTACAGAAGACTTATTGTTTAAGAGTCTTCATAAAAGGACTGAAGATTTTAATATCTTACTATCTTATGTACAGTGGTGTCCATGGAGGGACAATAACAGACTTGTTAGCTTATAAACATCTGTTTTATTTAAGCAAACTTGTAATTCTTATGAAGAAATAGTTTTCAAAATGAAACAAATATAATGAACAATTCAAAATAGTATACAAATAAAAGGTAAATAGTTTGATTAAAAAGTGAGGTGTATAGAAAACAGGAAAACAAAGATTATGAAAGAAGATGGCATGGCAGTAGCCCATAAAATCTATTACATATAAAAAGTGGAATGGAGGCAGGTAGATGGTACCTAATTTTTGCTTTAAAATTACCTGAGCACTAAAGGGACAATTTTTGAAAATTAGTCTTGAGAATTAGGTACCCCATTCAACTGTATTTATTGGCTTTGAACAGTAAAGTCAAACAGCATTTCAAAATCTAATGCCAATCAACCGGCTGAGAGTACTTTCAGATGACAAAATTTTCATTTCAGTTTTGTTTTAGCTTCTTTAGCAGCCCATCTCCAATTTTACCAAACAATAAAAATGCCAGTAGCAAATAGCTAATAGTGTCTGATAGTAGCTCTTTGAGTACTGAGTCTGGCAGAGCTTTAACTTTCAAAAGTCTGAAAATAAAGCATGAAAGAGAATGTCTGTCCTCTGGAGTATGCCCCAAGTTTTATCACTGTATCAGAGGGGGATGATAGCAGAATACTGATAAATCTCAATCCAAAGGCTCTCTGTTTTAAGTCCAGTTGTAAATCAATACTTCCTTAGAGGGACAGCACATCTAAGGAAACTGGACTAGTTGTGTATCATTAAGAAAAAAATCCCAGAAAATATAAGCCTTAACTACTAACTGATATCACAGGATCACTGGAGGCTGAGTGGACCTGGCAGAGGCTGGAAGACACCTCTAGAGATCATTTAGTTCAATTCAACTACTAAAAGGAGGGTCTCTTAGGGTAAGTTGCTCACAGCCATATCTAGTTGGATGAATAGTCTAAAAACTCTCTGGGCAACATGTTGCAGTGTTTGACGCCCTGAGAGTGAAAATGAAACAAATAAACAAAATGCTTAAATTGTATTTTCTACATTTAAGTTACTGCTCATTACTCTTGTATTCTCACTGGGCACCACTGAGTTTGGCTTAATTTTCTTTACTTCTTTGCCGCTTGTCACAGTATTTCCATGCTGCCACACTTGGCCATGCAGTAGATTCAGAGTGTTAGTTTGCTGGACTACAGAAAGTCACTTTTAACTGATGACAGCTGGATTTTTGTTCACTAGTTTCAAAGTACTAAGAGAAAATACATGGATTTTAGCACCTTTGACCACACACTGGTTCTCACCTTTAACAAGAACTGAGCTAACAAAACTGCAGCGTAATGAATGACAATAAAATTTAAAATAAAGAAAGAAAAAACCCCAACTCTGAGAAAATAAACTTCTCAGATTCAACTGTTCTGCTGAAAGTATGTAAAGTGTTTGCTGTAGCTTTCAATGAAAGTTACAAACAAAATTTTGTTTAAATTCAAGTGTTCCCATGAGTTATAACTCTATCTTGGTATTTAAGTTGCTATGATAAAGAATTTACAATACTATAATGGACATTTATGCCTTTTATTGCAACTTTGCAAGTCTGGAACAAGTAGCTCTTCCTTCACTGTCTCCTATTTCAATGAGTATCATTGGGAAGCTGTAGCAAAGGCAGAGTAAAAAATGGAGAGTTTTTCTTAAGGATAAGTATTACATCATTTATTCAAGAGCCTTTTGCCTTGTACTCTGGGGCTCATATGATGGATGAGAAAACAATAAAACATGTGCTTCTGCTAAAAGGAGTGATGCTTAGGATGGTGCATTTAAACCACAAGGCCCGGTGTAATTTGTGAATTATTTACCATGTCCCATTGTCTGAGTATCAGTCTCCTAACGGCCAAAATTTTTCAACTTTAAGATCAAACAAATAATGGCAAGATCTTGAAAATAAAATCTATTTCAACTCTCAAGGACAAAGCAAGGACATGCATAAAAATTCTCAGCCCTGAGAAGCTACTTCACTATCCATGAAACTCTTTACGCAGTTATAAAACAAGACCAAAAGGCAGAGGAAGAAAATAAGGCTGGACACCTTATTTCAATCAATCCTTTCAGTGACTTTCCTCATTGTTGAGGGCCAAGGACTTCTGTTCATTGCTCAAAAATGTAGCTGATTTTATTCAATCACAAAGCAATTAGGGTTTTATGAAAAGAGTAGGAAAAATAATATTTTTTGTGATTACCTAAAATTATTGTAAGAACGCATATTCCTCAGTGAATAAAATTATCAAATACAGAATGCAATACTTACAGTGGGAGCTCAAAAGTGATCCATTACTCAGGAAATTAAAAACAGGGATGACTGCATGGCCCTTTCCAGTGACACTTATAATTTCTTCCTCGTTATCTAGGACTTGTAGTTTAATGAACACATCTGATTTAGAGGTTTGTACCTGCACTGTAGCAGTATGTGGTGCTTTGACTTTTACTGAATACCTAAATAGGAAGAAAAACATTGTAGCAATATAACCAACTACATGTGATAATTTTTTTAGGAAACCACCTAAATGTTGTGCCAAACTGGAAGCAAACAGTTAACATTGAGTTTGTAGTCAACTGTTTTCTTGGAATCTGGTGGACTAAGCTTCCTCTAGTGAAGTTTAGTGCAGTAAATCCACATAGAAAGTAAGTGCTGCTTCTGCAAAAAAGGAGTGGTCTAGCCATTTATTTTTTTCACTGCCTTATCGAAAGTCCAAATATACATTTTACCTCCTGCTGCACTAGTATTTGTTGAATAATATAGTTAGTCAGATCAGGGAACAGTATCATTTAAAAAGTACCTGAGGGGAAAAAAAAGAATTATTTGCTTTCAAAAGGGTAGGGATAACTCATTTGATAGCAGCTGCTACTCTGGTCAACTTAAAACACTTTTGCATTAAAAGACTGTAGAATTAGAATCTGAGGACAAAATTTAAATAATTGTTTTGCAGTGACTCACTACGTTATATATCATTTGCTTTTTGTCCATAAATACAAATTGTTAGACTAATCTGACCAAATGAGCAAAGAAATGACAACACACAAACTCCATTACCCTGACTTCAGCACATTTGGAGCCAAAAATATATAACTATCTTAAAATATTTTTTTTTAAGGATTGGTAAGATCAGAGAGGAGAAAGGGAAAAAAAAATCATCAGGAAAGAGAGAGTTTAAAAAATCTGAGTCCACTTGTTACGTTTCCATTACATGCTTTTTTCATTTATATTGAAACTGTTTCTTCTGCTGAATAGACATTTAATACAAGAATAATCCATTGGTTTGAAATATTCAAACAAATTTTCAGGAATCAAGGTAAAATGTTCTAGAATCAATCTTCAAAATATATAAATTTAATCAGGTCTAAGCACAGGGCCTGTTCTAGTGCAGTGTGTACTCCTTTGAGTAAACTTCAGTATAGCGATTTAGTAGCGGTCAGTTCTAAAGTTAATCAGACAGAACTTATTTTAATTAACTTTAACCAATTAAAAAAGGATTATTAAAAACTAAATCACATTTTTATTAACTATATTCTCCTCAAAGAATCAGGATGCTAAAATAAAATGTATGTAAATTTTTCTACCAACCCTGCAAGATGGAAATTGGTCTGATATATCAGGAAAGAAAGTGTTGCATTCCTTTATTATTTAAAGTTTCATCTGAACAGCTGAAAAAAAATGTATCAAATTTTGTGTCTCTTCCCCACCTGCAAAATCTCAATTTTAATACATATTTAATCCCCCAAAGTACTACAGAATTCCAGTGACTGGCACACAGATAAGATCAAGCTTTCAGTATTATTATTCAGTATTATTTCAGTATTATTATTATTTTGAAGTTATAGTCTGTGCACTTCATACCGGTTCTTCATTAAGCAGTGGCAATATTTCAGAAAATAACACTTTCACAAACCAAATGGTAAATTCGATAGTCTATAAAATTTAGATATTTGTCTCAATACTCTCCCCTTCTAAGAAAAAGGAACGACGTACTTTTCTGTCAAAGATGACCCACAGAAAAAAAATTAATCATTCTCCTCTCAATATTTACCTAAACATTATATGCTCTTTGTTGGGTATGTAATGCCCTTTAAATAGTCTAGTAGAATACACATTTTTTACAGTCTCACGAGAGGGAAATGGAAGTGGACTATGAGAACTGATGAGCCTGAGCTTCCATTTTCCAGCTGCCACAGGTAGGTCACCAGTATGTGCTTCAGCCACAAAAGTGTATCCTTTCTGAAAGGGGAAAACAAGTCATTTTTACTCGGCAATAAAACTACTTAAAATGTACTCTATGACTATATGCAACACACTTGCTGTCCATGTTACACTTAGTGATAGAATAAGAGGTCCTTCATAAGCAAGAATCTTATAATTCTATTCTATTTCAATTTATGATGCATCTCTTATTATAGCAATTTATATTTGGCAAAAAGTTACACAGTAAGCAAAATTCAGTTTAATCTAACTTCAAAGCTGGCAGGTATTTTTAGGGGCAGATACAATCAAATCCTTAAGTCACTTTGTAACCAAATTATTTCATGATTTAAGATGTCCTTCATGCTTTAGGCAGTGTGAAAGTAAAGGTGGATGAGCTTGCTGCATGGAAATTTAGAGACCAGATTACTTCTGTCTTCAAATTTGAGGTTAAATTAATATTGCCTCTACTTCTAATAATGCAATTGCAAGTACAGCATGAAATTTCAAGATATTAATTTTATTTTTATGAAGATGTCGATTTAAGAAAAAATATTTCTAGTATTAGAAAATTCAAGTAAAAAATTAACAAAACCTGAAACACACAATTAATAAGCCTGGTGCTGATTTATGTGTTTGTTATGAATTCTGAGAATAGGAATATGAGGAACCAGAGTATAACTTAAAAAGTTTCAAAATTTGATTAATTTTTATTTGTAATAAGGAAGGCTATATTAATGTGATTACTTAAGAGGCAGGCGCAGGAAAAAGGGATATAAGGAGTGCAATGGCCAGTTGTAGTGTTACAGGGGAACTCAGGATTATGTCCCTTCTTCATATTCTCTAAGACAGCTCTACTAACTCTCTATTTCAAACATTAAAACTTCATGTTCCACCCAATAAATAGTCCAGATGAAAATTCTTTGAAAGCTTTTAACTCTTTCAGTCTTCTGCTAAATTTCAGTTTAAATAAAACAGTATTTACAAGCAAAAACAGCTTTGTTGAAAAATCCTTAAAATAAATGGGTTGTGATTTCAGAACTATCCAATAATGCAGGGCTTTATGTGACTCAGGACTTCAGAAATACTTAGAAAGAAAGTAAAATGAATTATTCATGATTCCAGTTTGTGGAATGGTAACTGTAAGGCTCTTTACAACCTTTCATCACCACAAGGTAATAGCAACCTCTCAAAGTTATGATTCAGGAGAAGTCACTTATTTAAGTATCTAGTTAAGCATATAGTTACATATAGGCCCTCCTGTTCTTAACAAGCACATTTGGAAACTGAGAGGGATTTAGCCAGATATTCAAGCGCTTTCTGACAGCATGGGGTGCATGAGAAAAATACTTTCTCTTGTACGCCTACTTATAAGGATAAGGTTATACAATCTTAACATTCGCTATAAATATGCAGAAAATTTAGACAAGACCAAAAATTTGAGTGAGCATTTTCTGAACACCATGAGCAATTAGAAAGTACAATAACTAAATTTTGCAGCTGGCAGGAACACCAAGTGTTCCTGAGAAATGAGCAAAGACCTAGACAATCCCATCAGATTTATATCTCTTTCTTAAAAAACTTTTGAGAAGTTTCATTACCTACTTAGATATCTTGTTATAATTTACCATCTGTAGAATCAGAAAGGATTGTTTTCTAATATACCACCTAAACCAACATTTTGGCAAAGTAACATGATTCCCCTATATCCTTCTACGACTAGTCAAGACAAATAACTGAGCAGTGTCCTTGCTCAGACTTCTTTTTTCTAGACTAAATATGTTGGTAGTGGTGATTTCTTAAACTCTTATCTATGTAGGTCAACTGAAGCTTGATTGCTTATCTCTATCCTTTTCTACAATCCATTTGAAAGACTTGTGAATAATAAAGAGAGTAGAATTTAAAAACAAAACAAAAGAACGAAAAAACCTCACAAAACTCTATCCACGAGGAGAAAAAAAGTCCCACAGAAGAAGAAAATGTAATGCAAAATCAAAACAACCAAATAACGCAAAACAAGTAGACAGTTTCTATCTAAACTGTAATGTCCACAAAATGACAACAAACTTTATTGTTAGTGTGCAGATTTTATCTTTATTGTCAGTTATTCTGAAATGAACTTTAATGTGTTCCAAGAGTTTCTCTGCAGCACAATAACAGTATCTGTTGACAGGATTTCTTTTTAGCTGTGTTGTAAATTGCTGAGTCATAGTTTTGAAGCAGAAAAACTAACTGGGAGGTGTATTTTTTAAAAAAAAAGGACTTTTTCTGTAACGATACTGATATTTAGGAATGCAGGCAAACCATATAATTTCTTGCTTGATGTATTACATTGTTGACTGCTTTTTACAAATATTTTTATAAAGAAAGGTAACAGATTAAAAAAATACAGCTGTATTCTCTGTTTAATAATAATAATTGCAAAATGTGTTGTCAAAACATCAATAGAGCTTCCAGTAGCTTAGGCAGGTCCACTGCAACATTAGTGAACCATTTACAAATAGAAAGAAAACAAGCTAAATGGTAGAGTATAAGGTTATATTCTTACTGAGGAACTCAAGAGCAGTGATTGAGAAATGTGGTAAGAAAATGTAGAAAATACAGCATGCCTGCACAATTCTGTTTTAATACTCTCAAAATCACTCTTTACTGATATTAACCACATTTAATATTATGAAATATAAGCCATTAGTCTAGCAAATAATAACAGAAATGTCTGCTTTAAGAGGGGATTTCTTCAATAGTGAAGCACAGGAACAAAATAAAAAGGGCCATTTCCATTAGGCATCAACAGAATCACTGAGGCTATTGTGCTGTACCCATGGGGAAAAAAAATATTACAGAATGTATCTACTTGGGTAGGGCACAAAATCCCAGACATTTCCAACATGAAAACTACTGTACTACACAGAGCATTGGTAAGATCTTGTTTTGAACGTTGTGTATGATTCTGGACACCTTTCTTCAAGAAAAATAGATTAAATGGGAGAAGGTCTAAGAAAGAATTAGTGAAATCAGGGAAACGGAAAAACTGCCTTACAGGGCAGAACCAGACAGTTGTGTCTGCTAAGCAGAATCTGAAATAAATCTGAAGTTGTGATTGTGCAACCTGTCACTTTCCTGAAAAGCAGTAAGTAGCAGTCACCACTGAGATTTCTTTTTGCATCCTGCCACTTGCCACTGTCAGATTCCAATCCAAATTTCCTTGTCTGGTGGAATCCACACACCATTTCTGAGTATCCCAATTAGTTTTGAGAGCTTCAAGAGCTTGTCTGCAACCCTTCTTTTCAAAGCATTGTCCTCCAGCAGTAGCACTCCTTATCTGTCACATTCAGCTTATATTCACTATAAACACTAGATAAGGCAAGTTCATTCTAAAGAAAAAAAAAGTCTAATGAAATTTGAAGTTACAAAAATAAGACAAGAAATCTGCTTTTACAGTGTTAGACTATAAATGAATCAATTCTTTGGTACTGACAGATGAGACTGACAGGGCTAAAATGTGAATAGAATGCATCTTCACTAAAAGATCAACTGTGAACATGTGAATAGAATAGTTGAGATTGGGATAATATTTAAGAGATAAGAGGCAGGCCAGAACAGCAAATTAAGTAGTAAATGATAATACAGATAAATTAAGAATTTGGACTAGTTAGGTCTGATGAAATGCTGAACTGTCTGAAGGATAATTAAATAACTGACTAAAACAATGATTAAACATTCAAATTATGTTTGATAATTAATGGAGGACACTAAGGTACTTAGTATCAATCAGTATAACCCCAAAGGCTGAAAGCATCATGAAATAACTAGTAGAATGAACTCCTTGCAACCCCCTCAACATAGCAAAAAGACTGTAAAGAATAAGTCCTGTCAATCCAACCAAGATTCCCTTTTTAGGAAAGCACAGTATGGGAAAGAAGGAGATATCTGACACTGTCTCTTTGATCACTCTTCTAAGCCAAAGGAAATGCTGTCATAATGAAGAAATTAGGGTGACTGTTGAACAATCACATCCAGAAAGCACATATTCATGGCTCCTTTTGAAATAGAAGGATGAAGTCAGTTAGATTTCAAAGCTCTAACCTGAAACTGATTCCATTCAAAATTTTTTATTAAAAATATATATTTATTTAGATGGTGAAATGGAGAATATATATGCTTAATTAGCTAATATTACAAACTTGTAAGTATGATAGCTTTAGAGGAAGAGAAAATTAGAATTAAAGATTATTTTTAAACTGTGGAAATGGCCTGAAAAACCTCAGTAGTGAAATACACTGTATTTACTCAAGAATAATAAAGTACAGGATTCAGTTCTTCAAGAAAGCACTAGGGTTACAGAAGTACATGAAGCAGCAATGGCACTGCAAAATAGGGCAAGCATCACGGTTATATAAGCAAAAGTAAAGCCCACAAGATGTAAACTTAACATTCCTTACTCACCATTTGTATGGCTACAAGTTATACACTGGAATAAAGTTTACTGTGCTCAGTGTTATGCATGATAAACAAGGAAAAAAACCCAAATAACAGCAGTTGGAAAGAGTCCAGAGGAGAGAGTAATCAAGAGTGTAGAACATATAACTTGTGAGGTAAGGTTGACTAGAGTGCCTTCTTTAGCCCAAAGGTCAAAAGGCAGAAGGATGGGAAATGGTAACAATTATTTAACAATATAGAGGCTTTTTTAGAAGTAATTTACACCAATGCTTCCAAAGTAACACGCAGGACTTAGGAGGGGGAGCATGTCTAAAGCTGTATTTGGCATCAATGCTGCAATTACCTTTAGTGTCTGAAGATGCATGCTAGTTTTTGTAGGAATGATTTATAAAAGGCTATTTAAATTTTATTTTTAGTTTGACCCTTAACTCTTGAAGACTGTTCTGTCACGTGCACAGCATCAGCATCAACCACATTGCCACAGAATAGCACAGCACAGGGAACCAAACGATATTTCTTCATTTAGCAACAGCAAAAAAAAATCAAATAAAATTAAGGCTATTCCTTCACTATAAAAGGTTTCGCACAGAAGCAAATTAGCGACAATCTCTGTTCAAACTTGCTAATAAATAAGGGTGCACTTTTAAGTAGAACACTACGACATAGCTAAAAATGTCCAAAGAATTCAGGCACTTATTATTCTGAAAATTATACTTTTCACAGCAATTCTTTGCATTTACCTTATTTTTGGGATAAACATGAGGTGCCACTTCGAAAAAGACATGTGGCATTTCCTCCAGTGTGTCATTATCAACAACATGCAGTCTACAAGAAGGGATAGTGGTATACACCTTTGTCACTATAAGCATGTCTTCTGGAACAATAAATATTTCTCTAAAAAAAATATTCAAATAGTATCAAAATTATTTTCACAAAAAAAGGGATTTGTGTAACACAAAGCAAAAGTATTGTCATGGTTTAACCCCTGCCAGCAATGAAGTACCACACGGCTGCTTGCTCACTTCCCCCACCCAACCCACCCCGGGGAGAAAAATCAGAAAGGAAAGGTAAACCTCGTGTATTAAGAACAATTTAATAACTGAAAAAATATAATAAAAATATGCTAATAATATTAATAACTTAAATGATAAGGAGAGGGAGAGAGACTAACAGAAACCAAGAGAAACAAGTGATGCACAATACAATTGTTCGCCACCCACTGACCAATGCCTGTTCCCGAGCAGTGATCAGCCCCCTTCCAGGTAATTCCCCCCACTTTATATACTGAGCAGGCCGTTCTGTGGTATAGGACATCCCTTTGGCCAGTTCAGGACAGCTGTCCTGGCCATGCTCTCTCCCAGATTTTTATGCACTTTCCCACTGCAGGAGTGCGAGACACCAAAAAGTTCTTGAACTGGGATAAGCACTACTCAGCAACAACCAAAACATCAATGTGTTATCAACATTATTCCCATACTAAATCAAAACACACAGCACTGTACCAGTTACTAGGAAGAAAATGAAGAAGAAATGAACCAGAAAATGAACTCTGCTCCAACCAAAACCAGGACAAGTATACATCAGAATTTAGGGAAAGCAGGCAAATAGAAGTAAGGTTTTAAAGCAGGTTAGTGAAAAAACACAGCCTATCAGTACTGCTTTCCCATAAGAGTTATATAGGGCTGTATGAAACTCACCTAAAAACCAAGAACCACACATGTGGTGGGTGATCAGCACACGTTACAGCATAGTCAGCAAAAGACATTTTACACCATTCATCTTCATAACAAGGAAACTTTTCAATTGACTTACAGTTTCTCTGGAAAGCAGCAAACAAGATAAATATTTAAATCTATTCATGAAGGCACATATATCCTGACTTTTACTTATTCCAATAATGAATAACACTGCTTTGTGCACGACTGTAAAAAAACAATATAAAAATGTTTCTCTAGTAGCTGTTCTCTGAAAAAAAATCACATAGGGATCAGCTTTTTCAGAGCTAATGGCAAAGACATACACGTATTTCTCTCCATCAGTCTATCCATGACTACAATTTCTTCTAGTAGCCCAAAATGTTATGGCTTCTACAAAACTTTACCTCTTCCTTTTAAATAGATATCAGTTAATACACCTTTCTTTACATTAAACAGTCATCTTCAAGCTGTGGCATCATTAGGAGATTTCAAACCCCTTTATTTAATTTTAAAACTTTTTTGAACAAGAAAGGGATAAAAGGAAAACTTATTGACCAAGGGGCTAGCTTGTTATATTAAAAGCAATTCTGTCAGCTGCTAAAAAAAATTAAGCACAAGCACATCAGCATGACTTTAACACCCAAATGTATCCCTTGGGACAATGCCTTTGAACCCATAAGTTTTAAAAGTCTGAAGGCAGACTAAAAACTCCATCTAATTTGCTGATTTAGAGGTGCTGCAAATCTTAAATGGAGGTCTAATATTTGGAACAAGGCTGGGGTTGCAAAGTCCTGATATCATCAACATACAAAGGTTTTACAAGATTAGAAACACTAAAAAGTAAAATGAAATTATACCTGATATGAGTGCTGCTCAAGTTACTGGTTATAGGGAGTAAGGATTTACACCCACAGGCAGTAATTATTGCTAGTTCAGACTCCTTACCCCTGAAAGAACTGATCTACTGCTAGATCAGTTGTGTGAACACTAGCAGAGAGATTTTTGAATGACTTAATGGAAATACGTGATCCTCAAAAAGTGTCATGCTTGCAAATGGCTTAATGAACACTATTGAAACTGGAATAGCTGTCTTTGCAAAAGTTGTAATAAAATACCAGGGAAAGCATCTACCTAGAAATACATCTACTTTGCTTCAAGCAAGTGCAACAAAAAGTCCTATGTCTATATAATAAATGGTGGTAACATTAAATAGTATAGTTATTCCCTTTCTAATGTCAACCAGGATTCCTTAGCAGATAGCATGAATTAAAAATTTCTTTAAATCAACTGGCTAACTGCTTAACTGAGGAATCAGTATCAGATCTATACTTATGAAACAGCCTATAGGATACTAAAAAAAAAAAAGAATAAATACAGGGAAAAGGTAATATTGTAGCTCAAGCTGTAGGAAAAAAAAATCTGTAACGTCTAAAAATTAGATTTTACTCATGTAGGGTACACAGAATAAAGCATAGCTTATCTTCACTGAAAACATCTCATCTCCTTCAACAGGGTTTTGTAATTTTAAACCTGATAATTCTCTTACCATGTTTATTTTGTGAAATAGCAATTTATGACAATTCTATGTTACTGCCTGCAATTGAATAGTTTTATTTATTGCATGATTACCTTAACAACATTACAGCACACTCTTCAAAATTTAATTCAATCATAGTCCACAATGTTTTCAAGGTTTCTTCAACATTAGCATTTTCTCTAGTACCTAGAAATAATAAAAAAGTTAGAAAATATAACATCCAACTTCTGCATTGTTCTAATTTTACACCTGCCAAATACTTCTGAAAAATGCCACTCATACAAGTAAATTGCCTTATGAATCACTAGTTTTTATTTGTAGTTTTACAGAAGTCTCACTGAGCTGAAAACTGTTTTCTCCTTTGACAGAGGATATTCCACTGTTCATCACCTTTGTACTTTTCAGCACTCCTATAACTGCAAAAATGATGTGATCAATATTTTGTCTAATTTACAGCTTTTTCACTGTAACATGTGTAATATGTGGTAATTTCTGTCCTCAGAGAATAGGCTCTTTAATTCAAAGCAACTCTCATTTGCAGATACCAGGAAGGGATGTACCTAGGCTATCTGTGCAGCTAAAAAGAAAAGAATTGGGCAGCTCCAGCAGGTAATTAATCCCACCCATGTTGGATACCTCTCAGATGACAGGATGTGTTGTCATCTCAAGGTGTCTACTTCTATTCACAGAACACAGATGAAGACTAGGCAACTAGTCTGGACCTGTTGTCTGACTTGTCAAGACTTAAGTTGGGTGAAATTCTCCTTTATTGCATAAGCAACTAGCAATGGAACTGGAAGGGAAAACTAAAACAAAACAACAAAAAAAAGAGGGGCAAGAATAGTAACACTTTACTGTAATGACAAATAAGAGAGAAAAAAAATTATAGATAATGGAGGGAAAGAAGGAGAAATATAGTATGATTTAAAAAACCCCACAGTATAGGACCATAAAAATTATACCAGAATTAAAGGTAACAAATAAGAAGTTAAGAAAGATATTATAGAAAAATGAGGAAAAGAGTTGGTATACTAATATAGTGCTCAAATGACAAAACATCTAAAATCTAAACTTCAGAAGAACAGCTTCTGGGCTCTAGGATTTGTATGGATTAATAACACTAGGGAAAGTTTAGGGAAATTCCTAATTTGCATTGCACTTCAAAAACAAATATAGAAAGGCACTAGACTACTTAGTAAGAAAGATTAGGCAAGACTTGTCTACAGGTGAAAGAGGCAACACCAGATTTACAGATAAGGAGATGAAGGTGCAAAAGGTAGAAGAGACCATTTGGTACAGGTAAATGTATAGGTGAAAGAGCCCCAGCAATTATGGTAATTTAAGAAGGAGCTTTCAGCAGAATGGCAATTACTTACTGAGGAGGCAATGTATATCTTACAATGGAGCAGTTTTCTTTGTCATGATCCTCAGGCATTCCTATACTGTGAGGCTAAAAGGAATAACTATGATCTAACTCTCTGTGTAACAGTCCTGCTAACATATTAATGTCATAAATAAATGATTAATTTTGAATTTGATGAGCATCTGTTTGATTTTAACATTTTTCAGTACTACAACACAAATTTGGGTTTATTCCAATAAATACCTTATTCTTTTAAAAATAAATGCTATTTCTTCTAACTTCAATGTGTCGGATTTCAAGTCACAATCTTTGAATCTCAGACTAAAAATCTTCTTGTTCAGCCTTTGGATCTCAGGCTAAAGACCCTATTGCTATCAAATTCCCTTACTCAAATGGGTACTTAAAGATTATAGTGAAGTCTTTCTTTATCTTGTCTTTCTGAAATTACAAACTAACAACCTGCAATCCTGATCCTTACAACTCTACTCAGAATTCGGCAGTTGTTATCTACCTGTCTTTTGTCTTGGACTGTGGACACTTCATTTGGACACAATATTTAAGATGAGATAATAGAATTGCTGAATAGGAAATGTACTACAAGTCTTGAACTGCTATGTAAGATTCCTCTATCTATATACATAAGAAAGAAAGATAATATCAGGTATAGTATCTTTCGAGCAAAGTATCAGCCTGTGAGACTGTGTGTGTTCCACTTATTATCCATTATGAGGCTCACATTCTTGTATGATTTCCTTTATATTTCCAGAAAAAAAACCCCAACATTGCCCAGCTCTGAGTTAAATCTACATGAATGCAAATTCTGGTTTAATATCTATGCATATGTAGCAGAGGTAGTGTATCTTTCCTCTACTTTTTAATACTGTATGTGCTGAGTGGTTATGTATAGTTAATTTTAACTAGATGTTAATAAGTCAAAAAATCCTTACAGGACTGATCTCTGTGGTGATCAGTGACACCCAAGGGAATGGCATTAAGTTGTGTCAGTGGAGGTTTAGGTCAGATATTAGAAAAGGGTTCTTCAACCAGAGAGTGGTTGGGCTCTGGAACAGGCTCCCCAGGGAAGTGGTCACAGCACCAAGCCTGGCAGAGTTCAAGAAGCATTTGGACAATACTCTCAGGTAAATGGTGTGACTCTCTGGGAGGATTCTTTGCAGGGCCAGGAACTGGACTTGATGGATCCTTGTGGGTCCCTTCCAACTTTGCATATTCTATGATCCTTTGATTTGAATAAGATAAAGTATGAAACATTTTTGAAAGGCATTTTTAAACGACACACCTGGTATTCTGCTCTTCAGTACTGTCCTAACATAGGACCCTCTCCAGACGGCTTGAATTTTGAGAGCTGCTGCTTGTTCTTCAGATGTGGGAGTTCGGTCCTGCCAACTACCGAGATTCTGCTCACTGCTCTCTGAAAGAAGGGGAGAATGACCAACATCTACAACACTGGAAGTCCTACAGCTGCTTATAATGAATTAAAAATAATAATAAAAAACAAATAAACACAGAAGGCCAAGAGAGCTGTAACTCAGAAACAGTGTGGTTTCAGCATAAAACTTTTATGACAAAAAAATATTGCTCTTAAAATCTTGGTTTTATATGATAAAATTACAGAAAATATACTGTATAATCATGCAAAGTCAAAATGCAATCACTAATCCCAAATACCAAATCATTTAATTCTTCTCTTTATTACCAGCTATTGCAGTGCATTTTTTAAAATTGTCTCCTAATGTAATTTCAAAATATCCTTCTAAATATGAACCAAAAGGTTTTGATATATTAAAGCCTGACTGTAAACACAGCTTAAAAGAGCTTCACAAAATTTTAAGTTCTTCTCTCTCTCAAACTGATAATTTTATTAAGTAATAATTTAAACACCAGTGTTGTTCAAAACATTTTATTCTGCCTTCACTAAGGAGACATGGAATAAGGATGAGATCTGTCATAAAGGGAGAGTTCACTTCTCTGACTTTCTGTTACTAAGAAGTTTTGCAGTGGAACAGAAATTAGTAGGTTCTGACAGGTTAGTAATGAGCTCTTTGAAGGCATCTTGCCTAGAATCAGCATCCTGGGAATCATTACCACCCAGGCTTAGGAAGAGGGTGTGGGGAACAACACTACAAGGAGCCAGTGCCAGGGGGCCAGTTTGGAACTCCACAGATACGGAACAAGAGAAGGAAGGCAGTATGATAGGAAGGAAACAGTTCTGCAAAAGGAAGTACCAACAAACAAAAAGGAGAAGAGAGGAAACTGCATGAAAAATGTAGACAACATTGAAGACAAATCAACTAGCTTAAGAAAAGATATTGCCTTCATCAACCAGATCACACACTTCAATCTAATCTCTTCTATTGAATACTGTTAAATCTGGATGTGTTCCCAGCCACTCTTTCTCCTCAATGTTGCATTTCCAAACTCCAGAAAGCCCCTTTAATACTTGGTGACTCTGAGAGATTACACAAACCTACTTCAATAGAAAACAGATTAGAACTCAACAGTATGAATGGCAAAACCACTTTTATAAAACAGCATATAATCACAGAATAACAAGGGCTGGAGTGGATCACTGAAGGTCATCTGGTCCAATTCCATATCCAAACCAGGATCAATTTAGAGTAAATGTCCAGTCCATTTTTTAATACTTTCATAACCATGGAGACTCCATAACTTCACTGGGCATTCTCTTCCAACTTTTGACTAGCCTCTTTGATAAAAATTTTTTCCTAATATCCAACTGGAATTTAACATGTTCTAAGATGTGTCCTGTCTGTGCATCTCTAGAAGATTTTGGCTCTTAGCTTCTCCCATTTATTCATCAATGTAATACATTTCAAAATGAATCTACAAGCTTGTTTATTTTATAATTAAAAAGACAGTGGCAAAATGGCTTTTGACTCCACTAATAATTGTTTTCAAGGAAAGGAAATAGACTTCAATTTTCAGCATTTGTTTTAGCTCAGAAGAATAACCTTCGCTGCAGAGCCTACATTGCTCATATAAGGCAAAAAAATATAAAATAGAAGTTGTATACTTTTTATATGAACACACATATACACATATTGACTAAATAAGTAAGGAGATCCTAATATATAAAAGTACACACAGAAAGTACTGGTGTGGTGTTGCCCTATGACCATGCTTAAAAGTTTATCCACTAAGGATGGCAAGTGGACTCCACAACTAGAAATAAATATGTATGTATCTAGAAATAAAACATTTCATTTGTGAGGCTAAAAAATATATGGATATGCAGTGACTTAGTTATATGCTAAACTGTTTCTGAATACACAAATATAAAAATTTTGGATGAAGTGTCAAACAGAAATGAATTCTATTCATAGAAACAGTAAAAAGTTACCCTAGAACAGGCTGAAAAACAAAAATGATGAATGTCTTTTGAAAGTATACATTCCTAAGGAGTTTCTATTTTGTTCTAACTTTAATACAATGTCAGAAGAACGAAAATATTTTTCTTTGTAACATTCAAGTCAAAGTAATGAGGTCTACATTAAATATTTTGATCTTTAAAAGCTTTTTTTACTTAACATTTCTTAATATCTTGTCTTATAAGCAGAGAAATGTGTTACTGTGACATGCTTTAAATCAACCAATATTAACTAGTGGACACTTCAAATTTGACATTATGACTGAAAACTGATTCATCAAAAATTTCTGGCATAACATCGCTATTAATCAGAAGACACCCCTTCTAATAATAAACTGAAATTTTCAAAGCAGCCTTGCAAGACTTTGTTCACTATAAAATCAGCTGCAGTTTTTTTGTAGGCAATGTAACAATGACTTTTTTTAAAAAGGTGTGTTTTGCATGTACTCAACAGACACTTTACATATTCAACCAAATAATGCCAAACTTTCCTTCACCCTTTACTGGAACTCAAGTTCAAATCCAAAGTGCAAGAAGAAACAAATGTTCAAATTCTCTCCAGTCATACAACAACTGTATGACCACTGATCTTAACCTATGTTCCTGGAGGAAAGAGAAGCATATTCTGGAAAAGAACTAAGCAGGAACAGAACTTCTCAACTATGGTTTACACAGCTGGGATAAGCTTATAGCAAACAGCTTGACTTCTAGGTAAAACTTCATACAAGAATGTTTTAAAAGAACTGTACACAAAGGGTATTCCACTTCCAACTTCAAAGTTGGAATTTATCCATAAGAAAGAAATGTAGCCTTTGAAATGTGCCTAAATGACTGTCAGGTGTTTGAGACTCTTGAAAATCAGTGCTGCAGACCTCCAGCGAGTTAATGAACTGAGCTGGCTCACTATTGGGCACAAAGCAACCAGAACAAGGTAAACAAAGAACATGTGTGACAGAGAGCAGGTAAGCAGTACTCAGCCATCAAGTCTATCTCTTGTGTAACATCATCCTGATACACTTCCTTTCCCAGGAGGAATCATATACCTCTACAAATTCAGCATTTCATGACTGCCCAAAGTTCTGCAGGGCCCCTTTATCCACTCTCTTCCCACAAGACCATAGAAGAGCCATGCCATGGAGAAGCACTCAGTTCAGAAATTTCCATTTCTTTTTCATATGTTTACACACCACCATCTTCCACTAGTTTCTTGTGGCTCCTGTGTGAATTGCTCCATGGGGATGGATGGATGATATTTGGCAGACAAATAAATGCCACTAGATCATTTTCAGATGGCTTCTCAGAAACCTTACCAGACATGACCGCTAACTGCAGTACATCACAATATCCCTGCCCTTGGTAAATCTTGAGATTAATTCAGCACACAGTGCAAACTGAATATGCTAATATAAAATTTAAAAAAAAATAAATATATATACTCTCAGACATAGACAACAAGAATATTTCAGTCCTTTGTTATGGTAGTTTGCACTGATATCTGTTAAGTTCCAAAAGGTCACAATTAAAGTCTTAACAAGATCTGAGCAACTATCCTGACAGTGCAGCAGTGTTAATAGGCCAAGCAAATCAGGTGATGCCAATCCTTCTAGGTGTTCCTACAATGCATTCCTCACCTTTTTTTCCTGATATCTACCTATTTTAACTTGACTTTTTCACTTGATTTATATGCTTTATTTCTTTAGGTTTCTGGATGGAATCTGAACAAAATCATACACTTACTCCAATGCAGCCTTTATTAAGCAGAGCAAACATTAATAAAGGTGAAAAAAATGTCCAATGTCAATAAAACCAAAGGGAAACAATTAACTTTGCAGTCCAATAGGAATATTTTCCTATTTAATTCTGTAAAAGTAAACACATTTAAAGGATACACTGGATACTGGAGGAAAGAAAACTGAAACAGAACTTTCTTTCTCCATACATTCATTCCACTTTTTTGGTTCACTGCCCAAATCCTAAAAAATATTCTATCACAGTGGATCTCATATTTTAGTAAAATATATGAGGTCTTTGTTACAACCTGTCAACTGTGCTAATTATTCAAATCTATTTTTAAAATGTCTTCTCTTTTATTGCTGACAAGTGTTTAAGGTTTTTTTTTGGAATACAGAAATCAGTAGCACAGTCATCTTGAAAAAATGTGACAGGTGTTGTTTACTTCAAGTGGTGTGACAAATGTCAATATGCTGACCCTTATAACTCTTGCCATGGGATGCCATTCCCTTCAAAATACCTGATGTCTCACAGAAGAATAATCTTCAGAAGAGAGGGTTTTGGAGGAAAGTCCCCAGTAAAGAGAGACAAGTATATGTGCTTTCTTAAAAGAATAAGAGCATTACATCATTGTGTCAGTAAAAATTTTTGTGTAAATTTTAATTTCTTTTTTTATACTGATTTTCTAGAATAAAATGAAAAATCAAAAGAAAGTTGATTATTCACCATGTAGAAACACTTTATTCTGTAAGTTCATAAGAGAAGAAGGAAAAGCTAAGTCCCTCTGAAAGGCCTTCAAACGGTGATCAATTTTTCAGATAAATCCTTATTTTGTTGTAGTATGAAACCATATACATAAAGCTTTTACTATTAAATGTTAATATCAACAGATTAAAAGTTACACGGACTGAAAAGTAAGTTTTAAAATGGAAAAGAGCCATATATTTGGTTGCCAGGCAAACTTAATACATAATGCCTCCAGCCTGCATACAAAATGAAGCAAAAAACCTGCAGGAAGAGAATTATCCCTACTTGTAACAAATAAGTTGGCCTTCCAGTGGCTCCTCTCACAGTACGTTTGGGTACACAGCGTACCCTAATCACAGGCTGGAGAAGAGGTAGATGGTGCTGTAGCCAGTTCCACACTGCACGTGTGATTAGACAGCTAACTAGCCAGCCAATACAATTTCCCAAATAATAAGCTTAAAAAACAAGCAAGTAAGTAAGCAAGCAAGCCAACAAAAATCAAAATATCCCTCCCCCTAAAAGAAACAAACAAAAAATCCTCAACCCATAACTAAGAAACTTTCAACAAAGGTACTAACTTAAGTCTTCCTTCACTCTCATTTTGTGAACAATATATGCATTTAAGATCTTTTCAAATGGTAATTTGAACAAAAGTAATGATCTGCAGTACCTCAGGTAAAAAATGCACCTGTAGATGTTTGTTAATGTTTGTCAATACTAGCAAATGCAAGCTAGGGAAGACTCAGGGCAATTTTATAAATTAACAAAGGCTAAACAGACTTTCTGGAAGAAAGAAAAGGATCATTTCTATTCTGAGATGAGTCTCAGATGTGCTGTCAACAGTAGAAGTCTTTGGTTTAAAAATGAATTGTGCCTACTTAGGCAAGAAAAAACAAGATTAGTGAAGAGCTGGCTTCCTCAAAAATAAGAACGGGCAGACATATTTGAAGTGATTAGCAATACCAATACAGTACCTGAAAATACAGGGTCATCCCCAGAAATCTTAAAGTCTTCAAAATCCAAAGTGAAAGACCTGAAGGCAAGCTTATATCTGTAAGGAGTCTTCTCGTCTATTACATAATTGATCAAACACCAGAATGCAATATTGAAAACCTAAAATCAAAATGCGGAAAAGCATTTAAAGAATGATTAATTTTTAAAAGCTGATTTATATTGCTTCTCATTATTGTTTCAAATACTGTTTAGCTCTTTTCTTTTATCATGTAAAAACTTCGTCTACAAAAATAAAGTATCTGAAAATTAGTCCCAGCTGTAGGACTACAATGCTTCAAGCCAAAAATCAAAAGAAAACCTGTGTCATGTCTGGCTTGCTAAAAATAGGACTTATTCTTCAGCGTGTTTATTACCCAAAATATCTTAATGGTTTATGTGTAGTAGATTGGTGGCCTTATACCAGAGGACAGAAGAATATATTATAATTATTACCATGACAGCTTGCATTCATGACTCGAGGTTTCAGAGCAGAGAGTGATAACTGAATGGACATGCTTACTAGATTAGGAGGTGACACCACAGAGAAGGATTTGGCTCTATTTTTATTCTTGACATATTGATGCTCTTTAAAGAGCAGAAATCCAGTCTCTTTTTTTTTTTTTTTTTAATTTTCCCTCCTTATAATAGATAGAAAATTTAGAGTGTGTTTTTCTGAACTTGTTTCATAATCTGAGTTGAAGAACAGAGTAATAACTTAATGAAAAAGACATAATTTCTTTTTTTCATTGCCCTTAATTTTGGATTCTTCTGCTTTCTGGAAACATTTTATGTATTTTATTATTAATAATCTCATCTTTTCTTTTTAATATTTAAGACCGGTGAAGAATCTACTACATTCATTCTTACATTCAGAGTAGTTTTTCATTGTTTGTGTTAAAGATAGATAATTTCCATATTTTCAGTCTTGAATCACTGTCAGTTCAGTGCCTCTCATTTATCCAGTTTCTGGTTTTTTGTTCTTTTTCAGTTATACCTTGGTCTTAGAGGGTGAGAGAGGAATATGTGTGTTCATGACTATTGAATTTTTGTTAAGGTCTCTAAGTTTTACACGAATTTCATGTAAGCATATGCATTTAAAATTATTTTCCATTCCAGAGAGTTCAAATCAATTTTCTTTTCTCGTGGACTTGGCATGAAAATGACCTCTTTCCTGAGTGTTTCACCTGGAATCATTCTTTCTTAATTCTGTTGTTTTGCCAAGTTTGAGCATGGTGTCAAGCGAAAATATAAAAGCACTGCCTCAGGTGTTCTAAATTTAATATCAGTGATTATAAAAATACTAAACTCCTTCTTCTATTCAGTATTCTAAAATACACAGTCTAAGCTACATGAGCTTTCTAGTACTGTGATGAAAGTAAATGAATATGGAATATATAAAGTACTGACTGTAGAACAATCAAGTTATAACAATTGTTATCAAGTTATAATTTGATAACAGTATTATCAACGTTTGCATACAAATAAAAATTAGCATGTCCTTTATAAAACTTTATTTGTTACAATTCTTTAAAATATTGAAAACCCATAGGATAGAGATCTACTGAAAAGTGTAACATTTTCATCATGTATCTAAAGACCCTTTAATTTATCACACATACAGAGCAGAAAAGTGAAATAAGAATTTTGCAGTTTCAAGAAAGAAAGAAAAACACCTAAAAATACTATGAGTGAAAAAAACCTCATTACTGCCTACAGTAATATAAGCTGTAATAATGTTTTTCTGTTCCATTAACGTTAGACACAGAAAAGAACCATTCCGGCTTTTCCAAATTTCAGGGAGAGTCTTTTAAATCCAAAATATAAAGACCCCTTATGCTTTCTGCCCCAAAGTATGCTAAACTAGATTGACAAAAATAGACTTGATTTAGAATGTGCTGCTCTGCGCATATTGAAATTTGTTCTTATTAAAAGAAGAAAATTATCATACAGTTGCAAGTAATGTTATTTGGGTTTACACTTTATAACAAATGCCCCATTCAGAGCATGCAGGTGGTCCTTTTGAAATGCACAGACATTGTTTTGAAGAGGGTAATGACAATGTTAAGCTGTTATCCAGCTTCTGTAGCTTTTAATGTTTATTAAAATGTTTAACATGCTTATTAAAATTGTTTGTTCACCTTGTAGAGTTCTTCAGCCATTCCAGTACCATGGATGCCAGGAGGACAGAGAGTTAGTTCCAACTCCTTCAAGGCTTTAGAAAGCTCATCCTTACTGCTGTAATTATTTATCACATTTCCAACAGCTTTCAGGATAGTGGTAGCCTGTTCTGTAAACCGAGAGCTCTCCTGGGAAGAGAGAATAAACCCAACCACTGTTAGAAAAATCCCTTTAAAATTTTTGTTTGTTTTCTTTCTAGGCTGTGACAGCATACAAGCTTTCTTCCTGCAAAGAAGTACAAAACTTTTCTAAATCCAAGGAATTGTTATTAATTTTATAAACTAAAAAAATCAATTAGGTCTCTGGTATTCAAAAGCATACAAAATTTTCACTGATTTTAGCTACTGAAATTAAAATGTTACAACACTATAACAGACATCATAACATGTATCTATTAATTGTTTTGTTTTTCCTGTATCAATACTCCTAGAAAATTTAAACAAAAATAAGATGCATACAGAGACTTTCTACTGCAGTGATAATATGACTTTGCTAGCTGAAATGCTCAGCATCTTCTGTTATAAAAGTACAAATTAGTATTCGTATCCCCCTGAAAACAATGATGGAATACATGCTGCCTAAAGCATCTTTAATATTCATCAGGATTTCTGTGCAAGAATATGGATACTTTCCTGCAAATGACACTTTGTAGAGAAAATGCTGTCTTTAAAAGGAAATGCAGAGAAGATCCAAGGATAAGATTCTGCTTTATTTTCTTGACAACAAAGAGCTTTTCATCCAGAAATTGAAGGCAAGGGATTAGTACAGCCACAAGATATTTTTAATGGTCTGACTTCTTATATTTAAACTTCCTTGATAAAATAAATGTCATAAATGTGCTTTAGTGCCCTATTATTAGGACTCTGAATCTACACTGCTATGTAAATTTGTTGTCACACTCACCTTTTAAAATATTTTAGCAAAACTGTTAGCTAGAAACTATATTCCCTCCCCTCAGTGCCCATGAAAAATATTTGGGCTTACTGCTTGCCAAAGAAATTTTGAAAATATGGATGACAGTGATATCTGTCTGGATTGTAGACAATGAAGAAGTAAAGCTGTAGTAATTGCTCTCCTGGGCCTCTTATCTCAGCTATGTAAAGTTATTTGATTAAATTGCTCATTTTAGATATAAAAGCTGCTCTGGGACCCAGTAAGTAATATATGAGCTCATGGGAAAAAACTAACTTTACTGATGTGACAATTTATTTTAATAGGCAGGTGTTTTTGCTTATTAATTATAATATGTACATGTATTTTATCACATACCCCAAAAAGTGAGCTATTTGAGTACCTCAGACATGCATGAGTATTTTTAACATTTTATGCTGCTGTTCTATGTAAACCACAATGCTACCCAATGCTAACTTACAAGTAAGATAATTTTTGCAAATTTTATGCCCTTATCCATTTAATATTGAAACTAATATTATACCATTAAACATAATAACTCTAAATGAAAATCCAATATTACTTCATTTTAAAACTAATTAATAGTCTGAAATACTGTTTGCACAATCTTGACTCGTTTTTATTATGCATACCTTTTCAAGAGCTGGCATCACATCATCCTCTTCTCCAAAGACACATGGCACCATGGTACACAGATGAATATGGTGCCCTATGGGAGAACTTACTGTGAAGAGTAATATGTGTTTCCTACATTCAAGAAAAAGTAAATTAACTTTTTTCTTTTAATTACAGCAATTATTAAGCTTTTCTTTTCTGCATTTAGTAATACTGAAATCCTTTTCTAGATGTCCTTGTGCTTCAAAATTCGACATGTCTAAATCCTTTCTTTTCAAGAACCTCCAAATGCAGGGAGTAGGTGAAGTCAGAGAAGTCATTATTATTTTATTTTTATTTGTTTAGGTGTTATTTTGATTTTCTTAAGCAAAACAGGTATACTCATTATTTCATAAAACTACAAACAACAGATTGTTTCATCAGGATTATATTTAGCTACACTTGAAACATATCTGCTCTAGAAAGCTTAGAGAAGTCATCAAGTGTTCTGGTCATGTATTACTTAGGTCAAAATTTCCATGTTTGCATTGACAAAACAAGGAAAAATTAGTTGAAAAATAATTGTGTCAGGCTTGATGAACACTACTGAGTGACCATTATAAGGAGCAACTGCAGGCCAAACTGCCCAATCATAACCTCCTAAGGTTATCAACAGAAATTCACTTATGACTGAATGTCATATATTCAGCTCATTCTTGTTTGCCTAACTGTATCCTATAATGGATTCTAATCATAAAAGAAGTCATTCCTAGTTACAGTTACACAAAACAAGGGATTTATGCTTTTCTCTCTAGTCAACACTGTCTTGCTGTCCCACTGAAATACTTGAGGAGCTGATACCAAACCCTCATGGTCTCAGATCATTTACAGAATTGCATTTAGCTGCAGAAGTTCATCCAGGCTGTACCTTCAAAGTGTTAACCAGGAATCCAGTGGTGAGAGTAAGAAAGGAGAGCTACTCCCACACACACACTCACATTTTTTAATTGCATCTTCTTTCAAGTGAAATTTAAATGCCCCCTGGCCACTAACCGACAGTGGGAAGAGAGTGCCTTCCTGGCTTAGCAAGTTCCAAATTCTCATTTGGAATGAAATAGGAAAGTGGTCAATAAGCCCATTCATCTCCCACAACTGCTGTAAATTAAATCTGACTGAAAGCCTCCTGGCTCTGCCAGAAGTAGAGAGAATCAACGAGGAGCAGCATATAAATTTGAACTGCTTGTATCTCTGTTAGCTTTGAAATTTGCAGGTGCAAAAAGATCTACATTTTTGGGCTTCCCTACAGGACAGATGTATGCAACTTTTGGAAACTACATTACGAAAGTACATGTGGAGGCAGAACTAGCCTACAAACATAAAAATAACTATTCTAGTTTTAGTCTGAATCAAAACAAATAAAGAGCACTATTAAAGATCTTTAATTCAGTATGCTATAATACTGGAGTATTTTCTTGCTATGCCTATTTATTTGAAATCTTACTTGATTTTTCAAAAAATACATTTTGTCTCATCTCTTTGAGATTAAACTGGTGATTCTATACTTTTCAAAAAGTAGAAGCCTCAGTGAAAGAGTCAGCAACTTTATGTTTATGACAAGATATGAAGATGTCATCTTCCTGGTTTGCCCAGAAGCATTTTTAGAAACTAATAGATAACAAGAGCTCTTGCTTTTAATCTGTTTATTTAAATAGTCAATGCTCTACATTTAGAAAATTTAGAGTTACGTGCAAAGAGAAATAAATCATATTAAGAGCTATGTGAATGGGAAGTAAAATATGCAAGGCTTCATGAATAGCCTTAGGATTTCTCTTGTCATGTTTCATAAATCCTGTTTCAAGAAAAGCATTGAAACCTCCTATGGTATTATTATGCTTTTACAGTTCCACTAAAAAATGCTAATTCTTAAATTTTTCTTGCTACTCCAGGGAATATTTCAAAATCATTCTAGTTAGAATGGAAGTTTTGGTAAACTCATAGTAATTTGGTAGTCTTACCAAATCCTAGCTATTTTGATATTCCAAAAATTTAGTTTTAGAAAATAAACTCTTACTATGTAAAGTAAATGATCATTTCAAGCCTTAGGACTAAAGCATCAGGACAAAAACAAAGCCTCATACGCACCCAGCGGGAAGATTTAACACAGTGGCTTTGGTTGCAGATGTATGCATCTTTAACACAAGTTCTCCAGGAGTCACAGATTTCCAAGAGAAACGTTCAATCGTCAGCACACCCTTTGAAATACTAGAACATTCTTCTTTAGTTCCTAGATTAAGAAAAAAAACCAACAAAGCAAAACACAACCCACACAATATTGGGAGAGTGAATAACTATAAAATTAAGACAAACATGGAATCTGTAGCTACTTCACAGCCTGTAAAGTCTGCACTTAGGCTTTGCTAACTCAGAGAAAAAAGCCAGTCACTTAAAATGCATAGGTGGCACAGAATACAGCTTATTTGTGCCATTTGCTTTAAAATAATCATTAAAAGAATGTGTTAAAAGAATGTGTACATCAGACATCTTCCAAGTCATTTCAGACTACCGTAAAACTGCATAGAAATCCATTCTGCCCATATGCAAAGGAAGGAAGCAGCCATAAAAAGCTTATATTTATTTATATTTATAGCTTATAGTTTATTTTAACCAAATGGTCAGTCTGGGTTTTTTAAACTTTCTTTTGGTTCTCTCTCCGCCACTCTCAATGCACTAAAATTACGTTCATATCCAGTGTTTAAATATCTGGCTAACCTAAGCCAATTATCATAACATGACTTAGCTTTCCTGAATACCATTCTATTTTTTTCATGAAATACAAGTGATTTTTATTTAAATCTTCCCAGTTGTTGGATCTTGAAAGAAACCAAGTTTAAATGTACTTAGGATCTTACTATGCACCAGTTTAAAAATCATTTCAAAAATATACTTCGGTTATATTGCTGTTTTTATGGCATTATGATCAGCTAAGGCATAAAGCAGATTGCAAGAATGGAATTTGTAGAAAAGAAACTCCAAGAAACACAAGGAAATCCATACTAGAAATATAGTGATGAAAAGCTTGCAGCAAATCATAATAAACAGTAAAGGGAGGGATCCTTTCATGAAAATATTCACCATCAATATGAAATAACAATGAAGTGTTGCTGGAATACTAGCATATTTCTTAGAATCAATTTGGCTATTTAATACTAAACTCTCAAACTGTGCCCAAATACACAACAGCCAAACACAACAGCACAGACATATTTAACGTAATATTTAATATTTAAAGCATTAACGTGTACTTTTCTGTGTTGGCCTTACCTTCAGTATCATCCCAGTGCACTAAAGCAGAAAAGCTGACTATGATTTCAATGGGCATCAGACTGTCCACAAGTAAATAATAGATGACTTGGTCATTAGTAAACTGCATAAAAAAACAGACACTTGTTCATCTTTCATTTTCATTGAATACTGTCCAACTGTCCTTATACAAAGTATGGCTAAGATTTCGGATATGGTGACCTTAGCTATAGAAGGAGGAGCAGGTAATTAATTGTCACTACTTCTTCCAAATTTCAGACATGTTATTTAGGCCCAGAGCCTAATGCTGCAGGTATTATAATGCTCAGAGATAAAAGGAAACAGAACAGTTACTTGAATGAGAATATATCTACTTTTATGTAATATTCTTCATATTCATTCTCAATTTAGTAGTTCCACTTGTGAAACAACAATGGAAGATCAAAAATTTTTTGTGCTGCAACTTTCTGATTGAAACTAATTACAATAAGCTTGAAAGAAATATGTACTTTTTTAATTTGTAGACATGAGTGATTCTTTCTCATAATGTTTTTTTTCTAGAAATGTCTAAGGAAGCAAAATTTTTCACTCACAACTTTGCTATATAATTCCTATGCCAATATTAGGAACTACAGAATGATTCTACTGTTCCTAGAAATTCTTCAAAATCTGAAGCTAAATGAGCTTCTTTCTTCAGAACCGTTACAATACATGTCTTCCTGGATTTTCCAGAGTCATATAAATACATTTTTTTGTATTTGATCCTAGATGCCAGTGCTATTATCTTCCTATCATAAACGAAAATGTTCTTTTGTTAAGCATCATACAGAATTTACCTAATGGTGTAAATGCCTCATCCGTATCAATGTAAAAAATTAGAATGGTTTTACAGCAAAGGGTTAGGTTTTTTTGGCACAACAGGACACAGGCTTACATAGTCTTAATGCTGATTATGGCTTGTGAAAGTATATCGTGCAGTCATTAGGAAAATTTCTTGTGATTACAGAGAGGTGTGAAATTGCAGGTATACTACAATTATGAAGCATAATACATGTAGTTAACCTTCTCAGTACAGGATTTTACAGAAAGTTCATGCCAGGAATTTACATTTGGTACTCTACAATTGCACTTCAGATACACTATAAAATTAGAGGCGGAACAGAATATTCAGGCATGTTGAATAACCTTCTGATAATACGAACTAATGGCAGGTTTAGAGAAATTCCATAATTTCAAAGTAATTAAAGGGTGCTTTTAACCCCTGCAACAGGATGCTGTAAATAGCTAAAGGCCTTAGCATTTAAAGAGAAAATGGAGGGCTATGCTAAACAGACTCGTGATTTGGGCTTTAGGTGACAGGGCAGATGAAGGAGAATGAAAGGGCAGATTCTGCAGCTGAATCATGATTAAATTCAAATTAGATACTGAATTGTTATAAGGTAGATTTAAATCAAAATGAAGAGAGGATGGAGATCTGATTCACTATCAACTTGCATTATTTATGTAATCCATTTTTTTGTTATTGTGCTGTAGTACTCCAAAAATTTTTTCCTTGTCTTAAATACAGTGAAATACTTCTGGATATTTGCTAGGAAACATATATTTGTATTGACTACAATAAACTTAATGCATTATTGTTTTTCAGTAATGGCAATGTGATCTATGTGATCTACCAATATCATTCAGGACATATGTATTACCTATTTATGTAAGACTTCGACAAAGATTAAAAAAACCCAACGATACAGTCATATACCTTAAAATCTGTCTTCTGATAATTATAAGCATATGTATGTGGCTTGTGGAAAACATACAGGTTCCTAGGGAGAATACAAAATAGAATTATGTAGGAAAATAATCAGCACAAATTATATATTTCAGGTAAATGTCTATTTAATAGCATATTAATTTTACTTTCATAAATGAGACTCCCATGTATTTCTCAAAAATGGTTCAACATTTTTTCATTTCATAAAAGGGAAATAGAATTCATCTCCACAGAAAGCAGCTGACATTAATTTTTATCTTTGCTGCATTTCTATAGTTTTCCATTGGAGGTCAGGCCACTGATATGCTCAGTTTCAATCTATAAATGGTAACATGCTAATATTACTCTAAAACTTCCATTACCATCTGAAAACTTACCATAATAAAGTATAACTGCAAGGAAGAACTATTTTATATACTTAAGTAATGTGCTTTTTCAGTTCTGCGCTGTTTGCACACCTACAGAAAGCTATGTAGCTCCTGACAATTTTTTCTGACCTTGATTTCACCAAAGGCAACATAAATGACTTCAGCTTTAATTGAGGATGGAATTGTGATGTGAACTCTAATGTTTTGGTTACTCAGAAACATCACAGGAATCCTGAGCCATTGCTGACGTATCAATTCCTACAGTGGCTAAAATTTTTCTTGTTTCTCAAAGTTTGATATGAACTATGAACATTCATCTTATTTTCACTTTGCCTGAGATGTAGGCATGTCAGACAAGAAAACACTTTCAACTGACTGATAAAATGAAAATATTAGGTGCCTAATTTCTTCTGAGAGATAAATTCTTCCAAGATCAATCGAGATGCTTTGTTAACAGCTACTTTATCAGTTCACTGTGAAAATAAACTCTCACTTATTTAGAGATAGGAACAAGAAACTGAAAAATGCTTTATACCTTAATTAATAATAATATTGGTCTACAAAATGTCAACAGTACTTTAACATTTGGCTAACAAGTTAGAAAGTCCATATTTCACATTCTCTCCATATGACACCGTGAGCAAGACTTTGAAAGGAAATTACATTGGTTATGATGCTTTTTTTTCTGAAGGCCCTATCTTCTGGTATCTGTGACTAACTAAAAGTAACAGGCAAACCTTAGCAAGGCCTAAACTTTTACTTCTAGTATTCCTGTATTGCTAGCCGGTATAGAAGTTACACATTTTCCTTTAGAGAGGGAGCAGAGTATAATATCTGCTCAAGAAAACACCCACTTATGAATATAAAAGCTTCACAAAGAAATCTCAATTACAAATTCAAACCAAAAAACCTGGGTGGATTTTCTCTGATAAAATTACTCCCCTCAGCAATCTTAGATTCTCTAAAGTATATATATATTGTACCAGTCTTCCTAAATCTTAAAGGCAGAAATTGAAGATATGATACTACAAGTACACCAGGTTTTTTTATGTCTGCAGAGGTATAAATGGCTTTGGATTATATTGAAAAGGGAGTGAAAGAAAGCAGCTAGTTGACCAAGCTAATCTAATGGCAACTGATTTCAACAACCTTTTTTTTCTTTAGAATTGTGTTGTTCTGATGCAGATTGTGTGCCCAGTGGCTGCTGGGTCGGGTATGTGAGCACCTAATGTTGGCACACTCCACAATCTACAATCTTCCACCCCCATTGCAGTCTGACATATCCTTTATGGAGCTGCTGATGGTGTTCTCCACTGTATTCTGGAGGACACACCCAAGGAAAAGAGCAGGGCTGCAGCTACAGGCTCCCTGTCAACAGGGACAGTAATTCTGGTCTGAAAAGTGGCCTTGAAACCACCCTGAAAGGCAGGACAGTTATACAAAGAAGACCTGTTAAGATATAATTTTTATATAGTCACGTTATGAATTTTACCATTTTTACATTGTATATTTTATGGAATAAAACCCAAACTCTCTATTCCTTACTGGAAACAAACACAGAAGTCTTCAAAGCTAATCCAGGTTTCCCTGGAAACAGAAGTCTTTTCTGACTCTGTTTCTTCCTTTGATTTATCTCCTATCTGGTTCTTCATATCAGTATCAGCTGTTTCTGACACTTGTTTTGCAGCAAAACCGATATTCTTACGTAATTCTTCTAGAAAGATAAAAAGACATTAGATTTGGTGACCTCAATAGCACAAAATTTCAATGGACTTCAGCATTCTAAGTAGATTAATGAGAATATTTTAAACTTTTAAAAAAACCCAAACAAACCACAAACAAAAAAACAACATAAAAGGACAGAGAATCCTAAACCAAAAGCTTGACATATTGAAAAGCAATCATTTATCCAGGAAAGGTTTTTTTTACATGTGTTAGTGTACTTGTAAAATATCACTCTTCTCCAAAGGAATGTGTTTCAAATTTACTCCAGGTGAACAGAAAGAACTCTTCTGACATTAGACTATTCATATTTTTAACTGTCTAATTGCTTAAACCAAACTCTGAAGAGATAAAATTATTGAATTCTCATGCCCATTCTTTGCAAAATTTGAGCAATTTTTAGCCATGTTTAAGAGTGTATTAAAGCCCCCATACCCATAAATAAAACATTTTTTAAAAGATTTATCTGTTTATCTCAGTTTTGGTACATGATTCATGCTATCAGATATTCTGTGAAGTTTAAAGACTCCTAATGAATCGTTTTGAACTAAAACAGAGTAGCACTCATAACCTAAATGAAGTTGGTATAAAGGGATTTTGCAATAGAGAAATGACAACACCTGGATTGAGATGGCCTGGAGACTGTGAAGAGAACTTGAGTACAAAAGACTTCAGTATAGTAGTAATGTGAATTATTAGTATTCTAAGCCAGAGGATGGAAATAAGTCCACTTCATCCTTTTCCTTAGCTGAGCTGTGGGAGCTTTTCTTCAATGGGGATTTCTTAAGCATAGTTTTGAGTCAGCAGAAAAGATGGCAATCCGGCCATTGAGATACACTAACTTAAGAATTAATTGATTGTGAGAGCTACAAAAATACTCCAACGTCCTAACATAATCATGGTAGGCATGAAGAGTTATCTACTGCAAATTACCATATTTCTATTAGCTTTTGGCATTGAGCTGTGAGAGAATAAGCAAAAGTTTGTATTTGCAGCTCATTAACTTGCAGCATTCTGAAACAGTAAGATTCTTATGGTTTGGTTCTTTTTTTACCAGGATGATGTTAATGAAAGTAAGAATTCATAAGAAAAGATATTCAAGCAATATAGTAACTGAAATCATTATCAGTTCTTAAAAGTACAAAACCAATTAATTTGTATAGGTTTGGAAGAAGTATGATTTACATTTGCTTCAAGATATTTAAATATCATAAATAAACTCTCTCTCTTCTTTATACTTGCAGTACGATCCAAATTTTTGGTTGTTCCCTCCCCCTACTATAACCCTATCTTTTATTACCCGATTTGGGGATTACCAGAGATGGTTGATGGTTGCACATTTTTCTAGAACGAAGATAATGTTATAATCTGTGAAAATATCTAAATTTGTTGGGTGAAATTACCGGGCTCAGTTACTGTAGAACTTGTGAAGCTGTCAACATGCTTTAACTGAGAGGATATTAATTGTATTTCTCCATTATTGGAAGTGGGGATCACGGACATTTTACAGAGAATGAAGTAAAAATAAAAAGTTTTTAAAAATGGCATTTTAAGCCTTTTCTGCCCATGAGAACAAATCTTCAAAAATGCTTAAAAAGATGCACTGCATAGGCTTCTATGTGGACTGAATAGTTGAAAACCAAAACCAAGATGTGTGTCACATGTATGAATCATGGTGTAAATGATGCATGAATACTATTCATGTATTTCACAGCTTCTGCTCTGAGATTCACTTTTAGAACTGTGGTAAAAGGAAAGGTATTTCCTAGCAGTCAGTTTTAGGACCCAACAAATTTGTGCACCCAAGAAATCTGATCACTTTTAAAAAGAAGGTTCTTATTTTTAAACTTCTCATGATCAAATCCTTCAAACATTCACTTAAACAAAGAGAGATTCATTTGGATACATTTCAAAGGAAAAGTTTATTAAAATGAAATTTGTTGGGGTTTTTCTCATTTTTCAGTAAAAAAAAGAAAGAAGTACAGTTCAGAGTGATTAGGAAAAGAGCTCAGTGTACAAAATCCACTTTATTTTACTGGAGAGTGTTTTTTTTCCAAAATATTCTTGTAAATTAGGAGGGTTTTTTTAATATCAAACTGGAGATTCTACTCTACATAATTATACATGCTAATACCAGTTCTTTGAAATCTTTTCCCAGAAAGCCAACACCCATAAATAAGTAAGACTCTCATATATATACAGGAGGATTAACATTGAGGCAAAACACTACGGGAATGGCAGAAGTCTGACTACAAAATTCATACACACTTACCTTTACCGGGTATCTCTGCATTTTGCTGGCCAAAGGAAGTGGTCTCCTATATGGTGAAAACAAAACAAAACAACAACAAGAAGAAAGAAAAAGAAGAAAAAAGCCAACAATGATAATTATAATCTTGCAGTATTTTGTTAAAGAAAATACTTGATTTTGGGGCAGTCCTTCCAGAAACAAAGGAACAAACTATTACGTTATCATTATGGTTTCAGTTGGTTTCTTAAAAGAAAAATAAAAATGGTAAATTTCACCATAATACCAACATATATATCACCATTAGACAGACTGATGTGTTTCTAGAGAAGTACGTGTGATCTGGAGTCTGAGATAAAAGCTGTTTCATATGCCTACCACTTCGCTATCAAAACAATGTTCTTTGATATTACTGGGTTTTGACAATCAAATACGCTCTATTCTAAAAACTAGTTACTCCTATTATACAAGCAATTCTGGTTTTTTGTGTTTCCATTCTTGAGAAGTATATGGAGGGCTCCTTTTCCAACAAGCATTTCTTGCTGTGCAAGTGACAGTACACAACTGTCATTAGCAACAGCATGCTTGATTACAATAGCATCTTTTGTTTCCTATCACTGCATAAATAAAAAGTAGCCTGCTCTTTTTTAATGTTTTTGGCAAACAACTTTATCCTGGTCAATCCCCCCTCCAAGCTAGAGCTGCTGAGCTAATATGAATGCAATAGCTGCTTACACTTAAAGCTCAAATCAAGTTAGCCAGCTTTTCAGAAAGTCCACTCGTTGTATTTTGCAAAGATTTGAGAGATTAACATCTTTGATTTAAAAATATGTGCCTAATCATAATTTCAATTGCCCTCTTGCCTGCAATATGACATACACTGAAAAAGACTCACTTCCACTTTTTTTTTTCTAATGAGGTAGAGCAGGAGAAAGAGATTCCACAGTTTCCAGTTTACTTTCTTTTTGAATGTAGTACTATTAATGGGTTAGTTGGACTAGCTTTGCCTTTGCAAAGTCAAATATTAAAGCCTAAAAAGGCTATTGCAAACAAATTTGCAAGCTTCTTTTCATCCCAGGTCTCCCTATAACCAGATCTGTCACCCTTCTCCCCACATCTTCTACATGTATTCAAGGTGCTACTGCTGAAACTGGTAGCATTGAGCAGGCCAACAGCTGGACACACACAGTGATTTTCTACTCTGCATTTCAAAGAGGAGCTGTGGGAGCTATGCTGACTTGGAGCTACATTTATGCTTTCTCAATACAATGTAAAAATACATTTTGAGGGACAGACTGACCTAATTTAGAGTCTGAGTTAGACTGATGGCAGATCACAACAACCTAAATCTTGTACCAAAATCTTGTATAAGGTCATTGTGCTGTAAATCCAGGTCTGCCTCAACCCTCCTATAACAGACTACCCTTCATACATAATATGAAGGGACCTGTGAATGCTTCCTTAGAGGAAAACATTATGGCTTTCTAGTTTAATTTCCAGCTTCAGTAAAAGTCTTTCTGCAGCATTTTACAGAATCTCTATGGGCCCAGAACAGGCTCAGGAGTCTTATCTCTGCCAAAATTGTAGGTGTTTGATAATCTCTGAATTAAACAAAGGAAAGAGCTGAGGGAACAAACTACAAATTTAAGAGTCTCTATCCCAAAATAGGAAGTACCAAATAATTTAATACATATAATTTAACTGCAATATTGTTTATTGAGAGAATTTGGAAGTCCCATCTTTGTACAGCATGAATTGGAAATTCTATTCCAAATCTGTTATGTGTTTTTTAAAGAACGTTCATAAGTCAAAGCTGGAGACAGATCTAGTATAAAGAGCAACGAAGAGAAAAATACAGACATTGCTGAAATTGTTACCAGTTGGATTAAGAATTTAGTAATTGAAATATATTATGTTTTACATGTTCCTTTTTAGATTAATTTTTCATTTTTCTAGAGATGAAAAGGACACTATAGAATCTTACAAATACCTATGTACTTCAGCTCCTGTTTTCAGAAATCTGTACACACAACTGTTCAAAACAAGTCAAGCTGTGATCACTTATCATGTCATGTCAACAGTCATACCTCAACATATGAGTCTGAAAAATCGCAAGTAACACATGGACTATCTCCTCCCTTTAAACTGTGACTTTGGAAGTACATGCATAGAGCTGTCATATCTCTGCATGTGAGCCTACAACTTGAAAGATTATACTATTGCCCAATTTCTTGTAGGAGTCACAGGATTTACCAAACAGATACATGTTAGCTGTACAATTTATCAAGTTTCTTCTCAGAAGTCCTGGGCATGCCTGAAGTATAAAAAAATATGAGATCTACTGTATAAGCCTTGGAGATTGCAATGTTGGCACAAGTCTAGCACTTTCTGCCCAACATACTGTTCATGGACAGTACACATGATCCACACTTCTAATGTGGACATGTGGTAGCTTAATATAGAGCTACTTTGCTGGTATTAACAGCTGCCAGCAGGAAAGCCTGGAGAGATACAGAAAACCCCCCAAAACTGTGTCAATAGAAATTCCAGTAAAGAAGGAGAATGTACTCTGGAAAATCGGGATGTTTGGTAACGTAACTTCAGCCAATCTGAGCTGTGAAAGCAATCTAACCACAGCTATATAGGGACTCCTTTAGGGTCATTTACTCAGATTTTGGAGTACAAACATAACAAAGTCAAAAAGCTGTCTGCTTTTCTAATGATAGAGGATGTGTTCGTCTACCTAAACCTCACTGATTTGGAGACAACTGGAGTGTCAAGAAAGTTCTCATTCTGTTGTACTATTGCCTCACCTACAGAGTTTAAGACATAGACACAGGAAGAGAAAACAAAGGTATTTCCTCCTTAGTGAACACACATTGCCTGAAAGGTCAGATTTGCTGCCACAGTATCTGATAAAGAAAGAAATTTAAAAAGACTTGAATCCAGCTGTGAAATATGGAAGGATGCACACAGATTCTGGGAGAATTACTTATTGTTCTTCTTCAGTGAATGGGAAATCAGAATGCAAATTGTGAGAAAAATTCCATGGCTAACTTAAAAATCTAAGTTATAATCTACTATGTTTTATAATCAGTAATGAATAATTGTAAAAATAATGGTAATCCATAAATTTATAGCTATCTTATTACTTCCAAGGAGTCGTCTGTATTTTTCAGCCTCCTGTCCAGTATGTACATGTAAGTAGATAATTGCGGGCCCGTCAAAAAGTCTCTCTATACCACAAATGTCTAAATTTGCGTCCCTCTTCTCAAGTCCCTGTTCTAATTCACATGCCTCATATCTCATGTATACTTTTTTTCCCTGGAAATAATATGTAGGCTGAAGTAATTTTCAGAACTGTAAAATTTGTAAAGAAAATAGATTTTTTTATTTTCTACCTAGCACTTCTCTTGACTCAATCCCAATTCACTGGGTTTATGAAATATATCACAAGAAGGATTAGAAAGAGATGAAGAAAAAGCTTATTATGACACAATAGTCTGTAATGTTTATGGGGAACACGAAAAGGGCACACAACAGAGCACACAAACTAAATAGACCGGTATCAGTTGTAAGGGAAAAAGTAAGACTGAGTTTGAATATATAAAAGGATGGACTGAAGTAAGAAAAATGAGGTAAACATCAAAGAACAAGGATATTGTGTTTATGTCACTGGGAGAGAGTTGAGACTTTAACACTTTTGCTTTAGAAATCAGCATTGCCAGGGAGCTTGACACTGAAGAAGCCACAAAGAGAAATCAAAGTGTTCTGCTTAAGATTTATGAATGTAGCAATCACGTCAGTCTATTAAGATATCTAGTAGCCATTGCACATACTGATGGTAAACATATTTGGATTAGATTGTCTTGCTTAGTTACTGCCCAACATTTCCTCAAACAGAACACATAAAGTTTTCTTCTCAATGGAACTGGAGATAACTTCTATTGAAGAATTCATCATAATGAAGAATATTCAAGTAGGCTTTTGAGCAGCAAATTTACAAGAAAACACTACTCCAAGATAATCTATTTCTCAGAAGCATATGACAAAACTACTGTTGAATAAAACTGCAAGACACTGTGTAATTTACATATGATGACAATTTTGGTTTTTTCCAGCTACAAAACACTTCCATATGTATTTCAGTGCATTCTACACATATAAATTACTTCGCTTTGTGTTGAGCAAGAATAATAGAGAGCCTCTCCATTAAACAATTTGGCCCTAAGTCATGCAGTTTTTAAACAAAAAAATTAATAAAATGTATTTTCTTAATAACAGTGATTCAAGATCAATTTAATTACCAAAATAAGACATTTTCAAAGATTTTTTTTTTCTGAATGCAAATCCAAAAAGCTTTCAGAACTGTAAAATCAGAGTCAATGGGAAATTCATGGGGAAAAAGAAGTTTGTAAAAATCAATAATAAGACATTTTTATTTTTTTGCATGAGTACTTCAGGGACATGAAGGATAACGGCATGTCTTTCAACTTTATATTCTTCAAAGGAGGTATATCCAGGTTCTAAAATTTCATCTTTCATTTATCCCTAGTCTCTGTTTCTGTGACAACAGACCTTAGGAACAGTGAATCAGATATTCAGTTATGTTACTTCATACAGTTTACATTGGAATGAATTGAAATATGTCAATCTAAACTTGCTGAGCATCTGGCACAGCAGCTGACTGAATTTCAGTCAGTTTAAAGCATAAAACTGCTGCATTTACCAAATCTGTATCAAAAGTTTTAAAGCAGAGGTCTCCTGAATAACAATCACACAGTTTAAAATGGAGACAAATTCATTCACACTCAGTATACTACAATAAAAAATTCTAAAAATTAGCAATAATCTAGTGAGTTTGGGATATCAAAGTTCCTCTTTTAGCGTTTGCTTTTTTAATCACTAATTGACTTTTTTTTAAAAAAGTAGTCATGCATATTGTTATTTCAAGTTTTATAACTACGGAAAGAAAGCCCTCCCATTATGAATCTCCCAGAAGTATCCACATAATTTTGTTGCTAAAAAAATCTAATATGTGAAATAAAGAAGATTGTTCTGCAAGACAAAAACTATTTTCAATTCCAATCTGTACAAATGAAGTTCTACTTTCATACTTCATCTATTAATAGATGTAGCATTTTTCAGCTGAGATTTAAACTGAGGCGAAAGTAAAGTTCAAGTATAAGTCAATTAGCTGCTGATGACTTCTTACATTTCATATTTTAATCAGATTGCCATCAGCCTACATTACATTCATGTCTTCTTCCAACCATTCCAGTTTTATCAATGTCTCTCTTTCTTGTATTTTTTTACTTGTCCTTGTCTCACCTTGACTGCATGTCCCACCATAACAAATCAGCCTTCTACATCCCTCTTGGACTAGGGGAGAAAATCGAAGTGGCATTCCAAACTGCTTTTATGCTTCCAGCACATAAACGTCTATTAATTCATAAGTAACCAAATCTATATTTTTACACCTAGAGACTGAAGTAATGAAAGCAATAATTATTATATAATATGCTACTTACAGCTCCTTTTTACCTTTCTGCTTTTGCAATGATTTTTGTAAATTGCCAGTATTAAAAAGACTTTTGAAGGTGAAGAACTATTAAAGTACTAATTAAGCTATTGTTTATAAAATGTCCACAAAATACTGAATAGCTAAATATAAATTCAACTGTAAAGTATTTGCCTTCACTAGAGAATTGCCTTATTTTAAAATCATTAATATCCAGTAGTGATATCCATACATGTACATTTTCTAGACACACAATATAGATATAAATCTGAAATATAAAAATAGTGTAAGAGTGTAGCCTGCAGAGGAAACATGTGAACAGGCACTCCAAAAGTTACATAAAAAATTATTTCCCATTTATTTCAAAATTTACCAAACTAAATTTTGTTTTACTTGTTCATGAAGGTACCTCAGGACATACTATCCTTAATAGTATATCATTGGTCCTCAAACACATTTTGTAACCCTACAAACATTTCCTATACATCAACCAGATACCACAAACGTTAACCACAAGTATATTTATTGGTTTGTCCCAGAAAATGACAGCAGAGATTTTAAAACAATTAGGTTGTCCTTACTGCTGGACTGCGTGGATAAGGACTTGGTTGCTGTTTTTCCTTTACACACAACCATGAATGAATACATTTTATAGGTTATTTTCTATATTGTAATACAATAATGATATTGAATATATTATATATTATATATTCAACATGTAATGACATTGAATTTAACATATATGGAAGAAGTACTCAGTCTTTACTTGGAAGGGCAAGTAAATATAGAGGGAGGAACTGCAGCAAACATTTACAAATTGAAACATCATCTTCCCCCAAATATAATTCGATTATTGAGTCAAATTCAGATTTTGAGTATAACATCACTGAAAGCACTTACATGTTCCCTAGACTGCTTTTTCCCCGAATTTTCTTAAAGTTAAAAAGAGAAATGTATCAAATGCTCTTCTGAGCAGACATGCTGGTACTGCCACAACGCGTTCTTTTGTAGGTGGTGAGCAAATAAAATAACTTCAGTGGAACTCTGTTTGTTTTTTTGAATATTTAAGTCTCTACTTCTCTATGTTAGCAATAACTTCCCCATATGAAATATTTTTCATGAAACAGTGTATTGTCCAGAGACTCTTTGAAAGTATAATTTTTTTCTCTGTTAAGCATGTAAGATTCAAACATTAGAGGGAGCATTTCGTTACCAGTCTGTCTAAAAGCAGAACTTAGTAGAACATGCACATTCCAATTTAAAAACAAAGCCAGAAACAACAACAAAAAAAATCACAGTAATTACCACTTCCAAAAGTTGTTCCAAAAGGATGACTTCCAGAAGCCATCCTAATAATGTTTTACTGAACTTAGGTAAGATTCATCTTATCTATCTTGGAAAATTACAGTGGAGACTTCTACCTAGTACCTAGTATTTACTTGGGTATTTTGAGTAAACTTGTGGTCAGTGCTTCATCTAGTGAACCTGTTTAGAGAAACATTCTCTCACAATGTTGCTCAGGAAGCCTGAGGGTCTAAACCATGGCTGAGGATTCCTTTAGAAAGCAGAACTTCTGAAATTTAAGGGCAGGCAACCTGAGCATTGAAGCCTTTTTCTAGATGAAGCCAGGAGTCTTTCCACTAAAATCGAAATGAGGATGCCATTTTAAGGCATGTGTTTATAAGGCTTACATTTTTCTAGTCACATGCCTAGGTACATCTTTCACTGCAGCTGAAATAAACTAATCATAACATTTATCCATAAACTAACATTTATTTACAAAGACTCCTGTTTTTTTAAGATACTCCCATCAAAATATTTGATAGTGTTAGCAATAAAACTTTTAGAACCTGAGGAATAAATCATAAAAAGAAAGTTAAAGCAAAAAGAATTAAGAAAGATTTCCCATCCAATACACATCAATATAACTATAAAGTGGAAAGGGTAAGGAAGTTACTTAAATAGTAACAGAAAACTTACTGAAATGTCTTTAAAAACCTATATTTAAGTGTTAAGTATTTTCTATTTTGTCTTTTACTATCCTTTAGAACATAAAACTAGGTCAAGTTAAAAAAAAATAGGAATATTATTACCTGAGAACAATCTTCTGCATTTGAGTGTCTTCCATTTCGATTCATATCCACATTACTGTCACCTTCATTTTCATCACTTTCAGTAACAGAAGCGAGATGGGATAGAGAAAGAAATCCTTTTGTGATGGTAGACTGTGGAAAGTGGCTAAATAATAAAAGAAAAATCAGACACTTGAAGCTATACATTTTCCTTTAAACTACAATCTTCATAACTTCTATTCTTAACAGAATTCTGTCAAAATAATTTGTGTCTCTTTTATTCTGAGACCTTCATAGGGCAGCACAGAATATATATATTCATATATTCCTTGTCATTACTGGCTTGGCACTACACACCCATATATGCTAGAAAGATCTTTTAACTAACCCTCAGAAAAGCAAAACCCAAGTCAGATGAGGAAAACCAGACAATAATACCAGAAGTGAATAAATTACTATGGCCTCTAGACAAGAAAAGACTACTACTTGACTGGAGATATGGCAAAAGAATAGAACAAAGTATTTTGTGTCACAATACTTTTTGTCTTTTCCCTCAAAATGGGTCTCCATAGCTACCAGACAGCTAATACACACGATAACCAAGGAAACCTGTGCAGGCCTATTCTGCTTGTAGTAAAAGAAGGGTCTGTTGCTGACTTCACTGAAAGCAGAAATAAAAACTGATGGATATATAAGTAAGTCTTTATTTGTAAAGAGAACTAGGAGAGTAAGACCAAAACGATGTTGCACACATGCCAATTAGGCCTAAATGTGTAACTTGCAGCAATAAAGAAAAAATTGAAACATAAGCATGTTTTATCTAGCCCCCTTCTTAAGTACTGAGATAATGTTCTTTTGCAGTAACAGCCACAATTATCTTGCCTTTGAGTGTTTCAAAATATTATATTAGAATAAAAAGAAGATATTAAAAACTTTCAGTCCAAATTGTGTATCTAAGTCCCTTATCTTATTTAGACAGCTATATTATTTACTATTAATATTTACTTTAATTAAATGCTAATATCTGCTATATATTTTTGGCTACTACCTGTTAATTAAATCACAAAAGATTACATTAGATTGTCATAGAAACTTAGCACATTAAATAAACTTCCTTCACAAAATAGAGTAATTTGACCATGAAGTAATCTATTAAATATGAAAAAACAACATAAAATGTTAACATGCAAATACTTCAGCATGATAATTATTAATCTCTCATTCTTTTGATAGCTTATTAATGGATATTGCTTAGAGCATTATTATGTATTTCTACTCCTACTGTTTGAAAACAAACAGTAAGTAATCTAAGTATTTTTAACCAATAAAATGCAAATGCATCAGCAAAAAAATTAAATTCCCAGAATATTCCAAGGTCACTTCTTCCATGGACAAATGCTGCTGTTCAAAACAAATTAAAAAAATCCAACTGGTTTGTTATCAGTCCATCCAGTTATGAGGATCAAAATGAAGAACCTGTGACATCTGTAATTTAGTCAGTTTACATAGAGATGAACTTAACAAAAGGTGTACACACCCTAAAAAATATACACATCTCCACAATTTACAACCTGTTCTTGGACTCAGTCTCAAGAAAAGAAATATCCTTCAAAATGACATAAATCTTTTTGTGTAGACTTGGTAAATGATACAGAATCACAGAATATGCTGAGTTTGAAGGGACCCCCAAGGATCATCAAGTCCAACCATTAGCCCTACAAAGGCCCATCCCCATGGGATGACAAAGAATCACACCATGTGCTCGAGAGTATCGTCCAAACACTTGAACTCTGTCAGGCTTGGTGCTGTGACCACTTCCCTGGGGAGTCTGTCCCAGTGCCCAACCACCCTCTGGGTGAAGAACCTCTTTCTAATATCCAACCTAAACCTCCCCTGACACAACTTCAGGCCATTGCCTCACTGGTCACCACAGAGAAGAGATCAGTGCCTGTCCCTGTTCTTTCTCTCACAAGGAAGTTGTAGACTGCCTTTGAGGGAGTCAACAGCTCCTTCAGGTTTTGTGTTATCTGCAAATTTGCTTCAAATCCCTTCCAGTCCTGCATCCAAGTCGTTTATGAAGATGTTGAAGAGCACAGGGCCTAAGATGGAGCCCTGTGGAACCCCACTAGCGACAAGTCACCAGTCTCATGTTACCCCATTCACTCATTCACTTCACCCATTCACCCATTCACTTCATGGCAGGAGTTCAGTCAGAATAAAAGAGATTGGATTAACAATTTAGAACTTGTCTACTGAATGTTCACATCATAAGCTGAAGCCTGACAGAAATGTACTGTGTAGTGGGTCATAGGAAAAAAAAAAGCCCTAATACACATAATAGTAAACTTTCTTTTTTTCTCAGGGAGCAAGTATTATGTTGCATATTGAATATTGACTAGAAGCCATGTATACACTAATTTCTGAAACTTCTTTAGGACACTGTGTAGAAAGACTCCTGTTTTCAAGGGTTTATAAGACTTCCAAACAGTTTTTAACACAAGGTATTTATACAAAGTTGTGTTTTGAGCATGAGCTTCTTCACCTGCACTCTCAGGCTTGTGCTAACAACTATAATGAACAGAGAACAGTCTCTTTTATTCATAAACATTAACTGTTCCATGCCAAACATGTAATGCCCATGAAAGTACTGATTGGCCGGTCAATTACTTCCTTGTTATGTTCAAGAATTATAAAAGACCATTAGTTTGAGGAAAAATTTGGAAGACATTAAAGAATATTCCTATTTCTGGCAGAAGCGATCTACTGAATATTCTACATCTTTTTGCCCGCTGATTAGAGAATCTTGCAAAGTGTCTTTGCCTGACAGTGCTCCCTGTTCTTCAACGTCAGAAGCCCTGAGAAGTGTGCATCTGCCTAGGGGACTGTTCATACAAGTTGGGACCCGCCCCTCGGGTGTGTGCATGTCCACCTCCTGGATCTTTCTCACCAGAGTGTATATTAGCAGATTTTAGGGAGCAGCAGTTAAAGGTTAGAGCACTCCAACTTGCATCTCCAAAAGGAGGTGTGTGCTGCACTCTCAAAACAGAAGGTGTGCTTGTAACCCTCAATGCCAGGAGGGTATGCATAATTGCATATGTATGCCTCCATGTGCTGGATTAGAAATTCTTGAGATTAGCTACAGAAAGGTCTTCTGAAGTGTGCAAGGGTTTATTTACATTTTGTAACCATCTAGTATAGTAATTTATATGTTTTATTGCTGCTATTGATCCTAAATGTAGAGTTCACTGATAGCTGATTAATTACATGACAGCAACAGAGTGCTCTGTCGGGATATGCTTCAGACATGATCTGAGTAGTTTTAACCTAAGACACAAGTAAAGATCAGCCAATTGCACTTTCACAGTGAAATGGGTTAACGATACAATGTAATGCTGTAACTACATTAAATACTTACGTGTCTGTTGGCATTCTGATCAAATTCAATTTGTAATTCAAAAATAGGCTAGCAATCTCAACATGTTCTTCAGGTGTTTTTACTTCAGGCTCTGGAAAAAAGCAACTCGTTAAATATATAAAAAATATTGTTATTATTGTTATTGTTGCTATTATTATCATTATTTTATATATGATATAATTATTTTGACAAATAATTTCCAATAAGGATTTGTCACCCCTAAATAATTCTCCAAATATCATCACATACATTTGAAAGGAACAGAAGAATCAAGGGTGACTCTAGGTGATGTATCACGAAAAAAAAAAGTTTAACACTCTAATCCTCAGCCTGCAAAGTATTAAAAAGTGTGCCTAACCTATATGTAAAGTTAGCCAGGGTAGCTCAGAACAACTACAGAGGCATTTTTGCCTTTGCCAATCTCCTGGTTTTTATCCCAGTATATTTTATTAGCATACCTGTAACACTTTCATATTCAAGCTATCGTATATCATGCATTTAATTTCATTATGCAGTATAGACAAAACCTAGCAAAAAAAATTTACTCTAAAAATGATGCAGCAGTACTAGTCACAAACTTTAAATTTCTGAAAGGTGTTCTGAACCTTTCCTGGCTCTGCATCAGAGAGCTTGTGTTGCTTTAATAACACTCCCTCTTCATTTTCTTCACTAGAGTGCTTTTTTTCAACATAAATTGAGACACTTCTCAAAGCATTTAAGAAATATTGCTAAGAGGAGGTAATATAAAATTGGCAAAACCTAAATAAAAAAAGAGATTAAAATTTCAATTGAAATTAAACTAATAGATGATAAATATGGCCCTGAAAATGTTCATAGTAATTAAAATGTAATTACAAATTTATTTTGGAGGCTTTAGTAGACAAACCTTTGGGTTCAGATGTCACAAAAATTTTATTTTTCTGACGGAAAAGCTTCCAACAAGGAACTGGTGATTCTTGTGGCGGTGCTACCAGAGGACAGGATCTAGTTCTAGTGATGAGGACAGGATGGCTGTGTATGTGGGAAAGCCCATATTGCCTCATCTTCTCTGAAGAATCAGCCTATGAAACACAAAAAGATAATCTGACTGGGGCCAGATCTCCTTTCTCACCATATCTGCCTAACAAAAAAGAGCAGTATGTACACAAAAGCATCCAACACCTTGAATAACAAATGAAACAAAAATAGTTGCCTGACCAGACTATCCAAAAACATTCTAATTAGAATTTGATATTCAGCAGAAAAAGTATACTTAGAAGTGCTTACATGTATTTTACTTTTCATAATAGATTTTTTAGTTGCTGCAGAAAACATACAAGTGAAGAGAAGGAATATGTAAAAAAGCAATGGGGACAACATTTTCCTTTAAATAAACATATTTAAAAATGCTTTCTCTAGGGGAAAAAATCCTTACTTCAAGCTGAATTTATAAAGTGGTAGAATTCTAAAATCAATTGGTCTTTTAGAGAACTTGTGGAATCTCCATAATATAGTATTGCTTTGAATCAACACATAATTAAAGTTAAGCTTTTTATCTACTGGTTCATTTATAAAACATTAAAGATAGTCCAGTTGACTTGTATACCAAAGCCCTTAGTAACACACTTAAGAGCAGTTCTAAATGTGGACATGGAGTGGTGCTCTTCCCATTAAAATAATAATGGTCCAGGACCTAAGATTTGTCAGAACTGAAAGTTCTCTTACAAGATTTGTACATCCTTCTTATTTTAAAAACACACCTTCCTTTACTTACTAAATAGATCACCTATAACTTATTTCTTTAACATACTCATCAGCAGGTCTCTGCTTCTACTCATTGTCAAATATTCCTGAGGTTCCATATTTATGAACTCTACAGAGAAGAATGTAGTTGTGGTTGTTGGTTATTTGAAGAGTAAGGAATGAAATTAAAAATGCCAGTTAAAATATCCAAGACTAGAAAGGCTTTTAAAGAAGACCAATTAGGAGCCATAGAAGAGAACTTGTTAGCTCCTGATTACATGACAGACTTGGATGACTCAATTATTGAATTTTTTTTCCTTTTATATGAGCAAATTGAAACAAATTCAAACTACAACAATCCAAGGACATCCACACTAGAAGGCAAAGCTAAAAGGGATACTGCAAAAATTCTGGAGAGAAATTCTGGCACAGCTGCAGTCAATGACAAAATTCTTTCCAAATTTAGGGAGCAACTCTTATCACAGTGAACACACTCTTCCAAGCTATATTTCTATCAGCTCTCATATAAAGCTTGGAAATGGGCTTTTTTTTTAATCCATAAGAAATCAACTATCTCCTATATTTAATTTCTGACAACTTCAATTTTTTTATCAGTCTTTACTAAAATACTTGTTTAGATATATAGATGTATCTGCCTCATACTATTTGGTCTGCCACACTCCTTTTTCAGTAATCTCTATATCCCAAAAGACTGTGGTCAAGATGATACTTAAGGTGTTAGGTGGCAGGAAACATATAACCCTATGTCACCATTTCCACTTTGCTTTTTGATGACTACTATTACCTATTTTTAGCAAAGAGAGTATTGACTAAGACCTTAAAATAAATTAAAATAAAATTGCAGATAACAAACTAATCTTGAAAACAGCATAAAATACATAGTAGAATTTTAAAAAAGAAAATAGTTCAAGAATTAAGAGCAGTAAAGCATAATACGTGCAAACCATTTCTGGAAATTTCTTTATTCAATGAAGCCTACCAGTTTCCTGAGATGGCAGCTCAAATTTTAACTACCTAATTATGATAAATATGATTTAAATGTCCAAAAAAAAGGAAATTATCAATAATCAACTCAAGAAAGCTCGCTCTGGCATTATAAGTAGCCTTCTGAGGAGTGTGAGTGAATAAGTAGAAATTTACCCCAGTATCATGAAGTGCTACACTTTCTCCAGCTGCTTTCACCAGCTACAACACTAATGATAGAAATTGATATAAACATGATATTTCTCATAGAACAACAAACATCATATTAGAAAATGTATATCAGAGAAGTCACTATTTTTGGAGTCCTAAAAAAAAATAAAATTCATGTTTTTCGAGTAGCCCTTAAAATAATTAGACTCTCCATTCAGAAGTATCTAATCATGATGCATTTTCTAGCCCACAACTAGTCTCTCCCTGGAGACTTTAGCTTCCGAGATCCAGAGGAAAGGGGAGAACAGTAAAAAATGAGCAGGCTTTGGCAGGAAAATACATGTTTAGAATACAGAAGTACCGAAATATAAATTTAACAGATAGTAATTACCTACTGTTTCACTGTGCTAATTGTATTCTCTTTGTTACAACATGGTTGACACAAAATGAAACACTCTGACAGCGCAATAAGGAATGCTTTCTTGTCCTGATATCACAGAACCTTACCATCTGCTTTAATGAAAAAAGATCCTCTTCAAACAAATGAAGTGGTATACAGCCAGCATACACGACCATTTCTGGCTGGGTTGGTACAGAAGATTCTACACAGAAAACATTAAAATGCTTTAGAATAAGATAAACAGTAAATAAATGTAGTTATACCACACCCTAAATTATTTTGCTTTCTCTGTCTTATTTTTATTTTTCTTTTCTTTGTCTGACTGTTACTTCATTCAAAAGCAGAGCTCATTGTAAAGTATTTGAAAAAGAAGCCATGGATGGAAAAAACACCTCATTTTAATCCTTACTTATTTAAATAATCACAACCTCTGCAGATTTCACTTATTTTTTACATAAATTAATAACAGAAAATACAACTTAGAAATACAACAGGTTAGAGGTAGCTTTCAATCTTGTTGTTTTGTTTTGCCTCAAATTTTATAAACAGTAGATACTAGCATAAAGAAAACAATACACATCATCTGGATAGAGGAAGTGAAAACATCCTGATTGGTGAGTACGCATTAAAGGCTTCTCACCAATGAAGGCAAAATTTGACCTTGCCAACAAAGGATCCAAAGGCAGAGCTCTGACCACTCCTGCCAATGGATATGAAGATTGAGATTAGTAGTTTGAGAAACAGAGTGCCTGTAAACCAGGGTTACTGCTCTTACTTCAGTCAAGGAGATGAAAAACTGGAGGTAATGATGGCTGCTTCAGAAAGTGTCAGAGCGTGAACCCATACTTCTTAATGCACACACCTTACGAGAGCTTGTTTTCCTGTAATTCTGCTATAGGCAAGGCATAATAGGAGGTGTACATTCATTTTGTTACCCCCAGAAATCTGTTGTACAAGGCAATCACACAATCAAATCATACCCTGTCTGTGAAAGAAGCCATCGATAATTCCTGAATGATGAAGAGAAGTCAGGGCTGCCTGACAGTCAGTTCACTTATGCTGAAGGGGAATTAAAAGTCTACAGCATACAATACTTGAAATATAAGTCTCTGGTTTGACCAGAAAGACAGCTCAAAACAAAAAAAAAAAAAGGATTTCTGTCTCTCTGTATTTTTCCTTAGTCATCTAAGAAAACACGTGAAGGCAGGATTTCAGTACGCAGGTTGTGACACCTGCTTTTCATCGGAATGTTTTCTTAGGAAAAATTTCTTCACAGAAGGGGTTGTTATCTTTGGAACAGGCTGCCCAGGGAAGTGGTTGAGTCACCATCCCTAGAGGTATTTAAAAGATGTGTAGGGACATGGTTTAGTGGTAGGCTTAGCAGTACAGGTTAATAGTTGGACTCAACGATCTTAGTCTTTTCCAAACTAAACAATTCTATGATTTTATCCTCATTTAACACTCCAGTAAAATGATCTGTGTCTGTTATTGTTCCCTTCAGCTTCACCTCAAATACAGGATAATTGCTTCCTATGTTTAGTAACTATTTAACTGGAAGTTGCTCTAAGAATAGGTATCATCTGTGAAATGAAATAAAACAATGCTATCTGTATATAAAGAAAAAATGGAAAAGAAAATGATAAATAGGCAAGTGGCTGGAAAATACAATTTATCAGACTTAAAATCCATTTAATTAGAAGGCATGCTACATTTTATTCTCAAAGAAATAACATATCCTTGTATCTTGAATATTCTTTCAGAAATTCCATTACCCAGTTAAATATAAGCTGATGGTAAGTTAGAGTTACTTTCTTAATATTTCTCTCTGCATGCTTGTGATTCCCATGTTAACCACAGCTCTTGTGCTAGTTGTAGGTTTCAACTTATTCAAAAGCAAGGCTATAATTTAGCTTTAATCTCAGTCCCTACTGACATATCTGATCTGTTTGAAATACAGCAATAGCTATGATGTCCTACACATTACAGACCAATATATGCTACAAAGTATACCATTCTAATTGCTTGTGAGGAGTATTTCCCAAATAAAAGTATTTAATCAAATACCAGGTGGAATGTAAAGCTGTCATACTCAGTCCAGATGGATTGTGAATAAATCGTCTGCAGAGCAGTGAACAAATTATTAGAGCATGCCAATGATTAAACAGGCACATCTTATCCACTTTAACAATACTAGAAAGATTTTGTACATTATGCCAGTTGCCTTAAAAAATTATGTATTATTTGATCCTTTTTCATCATACAAAAAATGAGGAGGACGTATGCAAATTATTTGTGTGCTGTTGATTAGTGTGAATTCAGCATCTGTGGAAACCAGTTAAAACTGATAGCCTTGATAAAATTGTATTATTAGATGAAAAATATTATAATATATGGTACAGCAAAACAGGTAGATTAAGCAAAGCCTATTATTTATATCCATCAGTGTAGATATAAGAATTCTGCGATGTTTTGTTAAAAATTTATGAATCCATGTAGCTGCTTATGTTTCACACTTGCAGCTTTGTAAATTAATTTACAGAGAGTGAGTACTACACAACCTGAACACATGCTTCACTCCCTTAGAGAAAGGAAAGTATCATTTGAATTGATCCACATAATATGTATCTCCACACACTTAAAAAGAAAGGCCAGGAACTAAAATTATTGGGTTTAATAGGTTTAAACTGTTTTTATTTTTTCGTCATATGTTTTGAAGACTTGCAAAGAATTTTCTCACTCAATGTTTCTCTTAAATATTTATTTGTCAAACAAGAGCTGATGGTGAAGTTTAACTTTCCAAGAAGTAATGAGGTCAGACAAAGGCCACAGAGATTATCTTGAGGGCTGGAGCATTTCTCCTACGAAGATAGGCTGAGAGTTGAAGTTGTTCAGCCTGAAGAAGGCTCCAAGGAGATCTTAGAGTAGACTTTCGGTACCTAAGGGGGAGCCTACAAGAAAACTGTAGACTCTTAACAGGGTATGGGATGATAGGACAAGGGGCAATTGCTTTAAAATGAAAGAAAGTAGATCTAGATTAGATGTAAGGAGGAAATTCTTTACTGTGAGGCACTGTAATAAGTTGCCCAGAGAAGTTGTGGATACCCCATCCCTGGAAGTGTTTCAGGCCAGACTGGATGGTGCTGTGAGCAATCTGGTCTAGTGGAAGGTGTCCCTGCCCATAGCAGGGGGGTTGGAACTAGATGATCTTTAAGGTCCCTTCCAATCCAACCCATTCAATGAAAATACTCAGTTGGCTTTCAATATCCTGAACATCAGGTGTACAGCTCATATGTTGACTTCTGTTGTGTTAGGCATGGATTAGCTTTACCTATCGGAAGGTATTTGTTTGGTTTTCAGAAAACAACCTATGTGCTCTTCAGAATTGAAATAAATATCACAAAATGATAATATGCATTTAAAAAAATGAAAGAGAATATTAGGCTTCAATCCCTCTTGTAAATGAAAAATCTTCTGAATATGTAAAGGAAAAATTATAAGAACTTTACTGTTATGTGATATGTATCTCATTGACTTAGATGATTAACATTATAGATCTACTTGTATGATTCCAAAAACTTTTAAGCATAATAATAATCTCTCAACACTTCTGTGACAGAAAATACTAATATCTCTAATTACAAAACTGGTATCAAGGCACAATGAGAATTAGCAAGATACATGGTTGGTTTGTAGAACAAATTCTCAAATTCCTAGCTATTGCCCTCCAAAGTAGAATAGTATTCCCTTTCCAGCAGATCAAAAACTATCAGGAAACTCGTTAGCTTAGAAACCTAAATAGAAAGCAGAGTGGTGATTCTTCATAGGAACAAGGGGACTAAGTAGCTCATATCGCATTATATAATCATAAAAACTGTTTATGAAACAAGGGACTCCCTAAGTGTGAAAGGTTAGTTACTAAAAAGGAAATCTAATGAGTAGAAAAGAGCAGATTGTGCACTAAAATGGGCCAGTAGGAGGAATATATGAATATATAAAAGCTTCTCAAGGAGTACCCGACTGATAAGCAACAGGACAAAAGAGTTGGTTGCCCTCAAGAAGAGTCCTAGCTGATCATGTGAAGGGCTTGTTATTCTGCTGTATCCACACAACTGGATGAATAGAGAAACAAGTTCAATACTGCAAGGATCCTGCATCTCATACTGTATTTGCAAGGTGCAGTAGGCATTGGTCTAAGTCTGCAAGTGAATCAGAACTGTGCATGTTTGTATTGGATCTGGCTGGGGTTGAGTTAACTTTCATCAGATCAGCCCATATGGTGCTGTGTTCTAGATCTGTGATCAAAACACTATTGATAACACACCAATATGTCAGCTATTGCTGAGCAGAGCTCACATAGTGCTAAATCTTCTGTTTCTCACTCCACTACCCCAGAGAGTATGCTGGGAGTGGGCAAGAGCTTCAGTCCTGATTCTATTGCCTGTCCCACTGTGGGGAGTGAGCAGGTGGCTGGGTTGGGGCTTAGCTGCCAGACAGTGTCAGCCCACTACAACATAATAACACAATCAAAATCAAAAGCCTGTAAGAGAAGTTTCCAAATACTTAGAAGTAAATAGTATGTCAATGCGTATGAAAATAAGCAAGGTAATGAATATACAATGCAATGAATACAGAATGGTTTGCCATTTTAAAAGTTAAATATAAACAGCATCATGAGTAGCTAAATATCTTTTTAGAAATAGCTCACATTTATCACAAAGAAGAAAAATTCCCCTGAAGTCCTCACACACAATAGGTAGAGTGAAAGCTTACAGCAGGAAAATAAGCACTTTTATCATGCTAGGAATGAAATACTTCTCAAGTCACTTACGAGGGAAAAAAAAAAAGAAAAAAGCATTGCTGCATTAAGTAAAGTCACTGTTACAAAATTCCCAAGAACAAATCAGGAACTTATTACAACTACTGCCTCTGGAGTCTGACTTTGAACCAAGACCTAGTTTCAGACGTTATTTTTTGCACAACAATGGTTCTACTGTCCTGGGCCACTCTGCAGACCATGTGTCTCACAAAGCCTGTAAGATCTTTCTCTTTTGGCTACAATCTCACAACAAAAATGCATTGTAATTCATGTAGTATTTCAAATTGCAGGTTTTTTTTTTTTCTTGCAGTCTAATAATCTTAAATTTGCTTTGTTATTAGAGAGATATCTACCTCTTACTCTTTTCCAAAAGTCTTTTCTGGTTCAAACTTAAAATAAAAGAGTTCTCTGACCATCATACTTTAGCCCTGAATTACTAATCTTTGCAAATAACCTCTTCACAGGACACTAAATGTCTTTCAGAAAAGAGCATAAACTGTACTTTAAGTGGCAGAACAAAGATCTAAGTATCATGTCATTTTTCATATGGAAACTCTGCCCAACGGTTTTTAATGCTCTTTCACTCATTTTGCACAATTTCTAGAATATATCACTTGGATCCTTCTGCTTCACCATTGTTTTCTTTTCTACATGACATGCTTGAGTACTAGTTAGTCATGTTCCTTATGACATGATTTCATACCTATCAATATCAATTCCATAATGCAAGTGTCCAATGCATAAATACTCATGTGAAATATATTTCCTATTCCACTCCTACTACCACTAAACCAAACTACTTTCCTGCAATACATTTTAAAATTTACTGCTGTTTAACTAATTTATTGGTATATGAGGTAGGAATTCAAATAAATGTATTTTCTGATGACAAACAATACTGGTTTGGTATAATTTAAAATTATTTAAATCACCAATTTTAATCAGGATTCAAAACAAGAAGCAGGAATCCAATTTATAGTAAGTTTCATTCTTGATATACATTTTTACTTTGTAGTTATTTCCCCAAAGAAAGATATTCTTATCGATTCTCACCTATTGGTTTGGAACTACAAATTATTCCAGTTAATAAATGTTTTTTGCTGTCACACGTATGCAAATATAAGCAATGACAAAAATAAATCAGTTTAATGTACACTTGTGAAGATATTCTACAATTTATGCGAGTAAACATAACATGGCTCTGTCTACTGATCAGTTGGCCAATTAGTATTCAATTGTGGTTGATTTAAATTTTTGGTGGGTCTTTTAAACATAATAAATATAAATACACAAACCAAGAATTTACTTAATTTTTATGCTATTATTAATGTATCAATACAATAATTTAATTAATAAAGATATATTTCCTGGACAAAGAAAGAAAAAATTAGACATTTACCGCATGGAGTGAATCCTAATGAAAGTTCTGCCCCCCTACCCTTCAACAAAGAACGATTTTTGCTTTTTCCAATTGCAATTCACTGTATAAAGCAGATATTGAACAAATAAAGCATTAAAGAGGAAGTTTTTTAAAAAAATACAGAAAAACTATAAGACAGTTTACCACTAGAACAAAGTACTGCAATCACAGAATCACAGAGTCACAGAATAGGATCCACAAGGATCATCGAGTCCAACTCTTAAGTGAATGAACTCTATGGTGACTGTACCCATAACCTTGGCATTATTAGCACCATGCTCTAATACTATCAATACTATTCTAAATATGTTATAGATTTCAATTGGTTTGAATGACTTCAATCTGTAATGTGAGCTATAAAGAACTACAATTTAAAAAAAAGTACATATAACCTCCCCCCAATAAATTTGAAAACCAAATTAAAGCAAAGCTTTTGTTTTACATGTATCTCCTATCTGTATTTTTAGCATCAAAACAATAGGACTTACTTTCAGACAAAGCATCAAGGCTTTGGGATTTTGCCGTTTCTGAAGACTGGGGTGCTACCTTGCTTTTTTCTTTTTCTCCTCTGCTTTTTCTCTTTACTACTTTTTTCTGCTCTGTTTTTTCTATTAAGCAAAATAAAGATTAAATATTTTTCTTTTTCAGCTATAACTTTCAGTCATAAAATCTCATATGTGTAAATGCTTTGATAATATTTTAGGTAAATTTTAAAAACAATCAACCACAAACTCTTCTAAGTCTTAGGAGTTGAGACACTATAAAAAACTAATGCAATTTAATTTAAAAAAATAAAAAATGTAAAATCCAGATCAACTGAGAAGGAGCCAGGAAGGCTTTGTTCCCACCTTTCAGTTAGTGCACAACTTTTATGTCCTTACTACAGTGTTAGCAATTCTGAATTTCTGGAACTGTGCCACTTATTTTCTTCATGTTTTTGCTCTCACACATCAGTAATTTCCAAAAAAAAAAGGAACATAGATGAGACATACATTCCCAATGGATATGGAAGAAGAAAGTCTCCCACAGTTTTCTTTCTTTCAAGTCTCAAAATTTAGACTATAAGAAAATACTTTCTAATGAAAAAAAAAAATCATAGCATTTTAGAATGATTTGGGTTGGAAGGGACCTTAAAGATCATCTAGTTCCAAGATGATCCATAGGCAGAGACACCTTCCACTAGACCAGGTTGCTCAAAGTCCCACCCAACCTGGACTGGAACACTTCCAGGAATGGGGCATCCACAACTTCTCTTGGCAACCTGTTCCAGTGCCTCACGAGCCTCACAGTAAAAAATTTGTTTCCAATATTCAATCTAAACCTGTCCTCTTTCCTTCTAAAGCCATTCCTCCTTGTCCTATCACTACATGCCCTTGTAAAATGTTCCTCTCCAACTCTCTTGCAAGCCCCCTTCAGGTACTGGAGGGCTGCTGTAAAGTCTCCCTGGAGCCCTCTCTTCTCCAGGCTGAATAACCCCCACTCCCTCAGCCTGCCTTCATAGAAAAGGCTCTCTAGCCCTCTGATCATCTTTACTGACCCTCCTCTGGACTCATTCCAACAGGTCCACATCTTTCTTGTCTGGGAATCCCAGAACTGGACGCAGTACTCCAGGTGGAGTGCCCTCTCACAAGGGCAGAGTAGAGGGCGAGAATCACCTTTCTTGACCTGCTGGTCACAATGCTTTTGACTCAGTCCAGGATGAGGCTGGCTTTCTGGGATGCAAATACACACTGTTGGCTCATGTCCAGCCTCTCATCAACCAGATTTCCCAAGTCATCTCCACAGGACTGCTCTCAGTTCTTCTACCAGTCTGTACTCATGTCTGGGATTGTCCCAATCCAGGCATGGCACCTTGCACTTGGGACTTTTTGTCCAGGTCCCTCTGGATGGTATCCTTTTCATTGTGTCAACAGAGCTTCACAGAATCACAGAATGGTTCAGGTTGGAAGGGACCACAGTGGGTCATCTGGTCCAACCTCCCCGTTCAAACAGGGTCATCCCAGAGCACATTGCGCAGGATTGCATGCAAATGATTCTTGAATATCCCCAGTTTAAAGCTATTACCTGTGAGGGAGACTCCACAATCTGTTCCAGAGCACAATCACTTGCACAGTAAAGAAGTTCTTCCTCATGTTCAGATGGAACTTCCTGTGCATCAGTTTCTGCCCGTTGCCTCTTGTCCTATTGCTTGGCACCACCAAGAAGAGCCTGGCTCCATCCTCTTGGCACTCCCCTTTTAGATATTGTACACACATTGATCAGGCCCCCTCTTAGTTGTCCCTTCTTGAGGCTGAACAGGCCCACCTCTCTCAGCCTTTCCTCGTGAAAGGGATGCTCCAGTTCCCTAATCATACTCATTACCCTCTGCTGGACCTGTTCCAGCAGCTCCAAGTCTCTCTGTACTGAGGAGCCAAGAACTGGACACAGCACTCCAGATGTACCTCACTAGGACTGAGTAAAGGGGCAGGATCACCTCTCTCGACCTGCAGGCAATGCTTTTTCTAATGCATCCCAGGATTCTGTTGGCCTTCTTGGCCCCCAGGGCACACTGTTGGCTCAGGGACAGCTTGTGGTCCTCCAGGACCCACAGGTCCTTATCTCTCGTGGTGACATGGATGGCTTTATGTCATCCAAACAATCCCAAACATTAATAGAGCATCTGAACAAAGTTTTTAGCCTCAGAGTTGAAGATTACAGTATCATAGCATAATGGTTCCCTGATTCTTAGTCATTTCAGTTACTAATAGAATTTTTAAGTGTAAGAATTTTAGGCAGGATTAAATTTACGAAGTTATCTGGAAAAAAAATCACAGCATCCTGTTGGATGAATGACAGTGATGTTTCCAACGGCTGTATCCCTGGGAATGTCCATTACAAACTCTGAAATATCTACCACATGGATGGTGGGTCAAAATGATCTCCTAAGAAGAGAGAATACAACCACAGCCGGGAAACTTCTAACATTTTTATAACACTTTTGACATTAGGACATAGCACTTGGGATTCGAAGTGAGGAATTCAGGGATTTTTCTAAAAAATTAGGAAGAAATAGAAATTTTAGTGTATGATTTGTACCTTCCAAAGGCACGAGAATTGTTGTAAAATTTAACTGATGCCTTCAAGTTAAAAACAGCAACTAGGAAAACTCAGTCTCAAATATAAACACTGAAGAATAATATACTGGAACAAATAAGTTTCTAAATCTAAGTTTTTTCATTTACATGTAAATAGGTTAGCAGCTCTTGAAGAAAATTATTACCTATACCTAATAGCATAAAGAGAAAAGTTGCTGTAAATAAAAATGCAGGTAGATATTAGAACATACTTGTCAGAACTCTGTAAGTAATCACACTTTGCAACATCCATTATGAAATGTATAATTTACTGATGATCAGAGCAGTGTTGCCTTTGGACAAACTGTAACTTCTCTGATTGTTATCTCTCTGCAAGGAACCAGTCTTTAGAGAAATAAATGGCTGAAAAAATCTCTGCCATAAAGTGAAGCTATTTTCGTAAAATAAAAGAGTAGTGCTGCTTCTGATGAGATCTATAGCTAAAACAAAAGTAATTTGAATTTACATCATTGCAACATGTTCAGTGAAAACAATAAAACCACAGAGTTGCATGTGGCAATATATCCAAGACACAAATTCAAAGCCAGAGATTATGCTAACCTTATTTATGCTTGGTCTAAATGATCACATTACCTAAAATTACAGACCTTTGCCAATGTTATCAGATGTCTCTACTTTCTCAGGTGATTCTGACTGCTTATTCACAGGTGAAACTTCATTTTTTAACTCTGAGTCTTTGGTCTCTTCAGGTTTTGTGTCTAACTGAGTAGTATCAAGTTCTGGAGTCTTCTCATCAGGCAACTTGAATTCTGGCACAATCTCTTTCAAAAAGTCCCAAACTTTGTCCAAGTATTCAGACCTTTAAAAGAAAATACGCATGTATATGTCAATGATAATGACATTTGCAATAAGAAAAGAAAATGCGATTTTCATTTCGACAGGCACTATACCACAACTGACAGTTCAACTCCTCAAAAAGCTACTGGGTTATTTTAGCAGATAGAACACACTTGCATGATCCTCTGTATCAGCCAATTTGTTGAGACAGATTACGGACAGACTCATAAAGAAAGAGATGGTGGTTAGAAACATATGTAAATAAAGCATCTTTTCTCAAGTTTTTTAGTGGATACAAGTTGTGGCAGAGAAACTTGCAGACCACTTTACAACTACATTGTATAATAATTTGATTCCATCTCTGTATATTAAAAAGCTTCTCAAAGGCACTTCCAAACTGGGCTTTCCTAAGAGTTCATCACAGATAGTGCCATGCCTCCTCCACCAATTCTAACAAATACAACAGCTTTTTGATATGACATGTCAGTAGCAGTCATATTGGTTCTTCACAGAAACTCAGTGATTCCAAAAACAACCTCAAACAGTCATGAATAAGTTTCACACAAGGTAACTGAATGTAACCTTTTTTTAAAATCAAATAATTGATTGTACAATGGGTTAAAGTCATCAGCAAAGTCTCTGTGGTGTTCACATTTTCTTATTCCAGAATATAATGTATTTGAAGGAAATGAACTAAAATTTAGGTTACTTAGATTTTTAAGTCCATGGGCTACATACACACTACTGTAAGACACAATTATATCTAAAACCTAAATTGCAAGCATAGCTTGGGGCATAAAAACTGGAAAAGGGAATAAAATATTCTTTGACTGAACTTATTTAATTCTGAAATATGGCTATAAAAAAAATTATATCTAACCAAACTATATATAAACCAAAATTATTTGTTATCTATGTATTCATTCAAATCTATATATCAAAAGGCAAGAAGGTGTAATTTAAAAAAAGGTCTAAATATTTAGTGTCTGTATCCTGGTCATTCATTTAGTAAAAAGAATGTTGAGCCGGAAAATCAGAATGTCTGTTCTTTAATATATAAAATGAACATAAAACACACACGAGACAAGAAAAATATTATTGTAGGTAGGAAATACTATTTTTGGTTGAAAGTAGAAGTCTATCAGTTGTTCCAATTTAAAGGTGGAAACACTGTACTAGCTGGCATGAATTATTTCCAGATTTATGACACATACTTTTTATGGTACATTCAGATATAAAGTTACTATTACTGACAGACATTTTGTAACTGCGTACTAAATGAAACATAGATTTCTCTAACGTTGTTTTTATCATAGTGTCTAATATAAGTTAAAATAATTTTATAAAGAATAGGCATCGCTTATCATGATAAATAGGTTCACAAGCAACTGTATGACCTACAAAAAAAAGCTCAATAAAACTGCACTCCTCAAAGGTACATTTCTCAAGCACTGGAATTAAAAACAATACACTTGCTAAAATTGATGGTGAAGGACTTTTAGGGCTCAGATTTATTTTTCATAATGTCTTATAAAATTAAATATTAAACAATTAATGCGTAAATTGTTTAATAGAGGAACTTACTGAAGAGGAATAACTTCTGGTATCCATCCAGTCAGTGTATGCAGAACTGTAAATTCCTCCAGCTCTCTTTTTCCAGTTTCATGTATACTATAAGACAAAAGCAGACATTTTACAGAATTATAATGAAACCAACTACAGTAGTCTGCAATCTACATTGCTTTATATTGGAATAAGACCATACACAGAATGGCTCGATGAAAAAACAAGTCATTACTTGCAATTTTAGGAGTTTACCAAACCATTTCTGACTAACAGCCTACAAAGTCAATATCTTTGCATCAGGTCCATTATTTTGGCATTCCCTCTGGTACAGTGGCATTTTTCCAAAATTGTTAGCAAGCACACTGTATATTTGCACACAGTAAAGCCTCTTTTCGCAGAGTTGGAGACATGGGTTTGAAATCCCTCATGCTAGAAGGGAGTTATGATTCTACAACTTCCATTTCCTAATCAGCCTCTCTAACTGTCAGGCTATTCTGCACAAGTTGGCTCTATTTCCACTCTACAACACTCCACCCCACTCCACTCTCCTAACTGGAGAGATCTCCTGAGAGGTTCAAGGCTGAAGATGCTAGCACTTGTAAGACTAACCCTTGTGCTCTGGAAAATTGAAGTATTAGAACCACATTCCTGGAGAATTTCATCCTAACAGGCAGCTCCAGGCAACTCGCTAGCCTGTGTAGACATACTTCAGCTGACTCTTCTGACAAACATAACTTGATATGACCAGAATGGGGAAGCCTGACTACCCAGATCAGTGTTTTGATTTATTTTCTCAAGCTTAGTAATTTAAACTCTTGGTGATCATTGTTCATCTCATAGGAACCTGTGGTCATAATTGTCAATCACCGCATAATAGGCCATCCTCCCATTTTCAGGTCAGTTCTAGGGAAGTGGATCACAGTACAGCCCACAACACCAGAACTGTAGCAAAGGCATCAAAAGTAGCTTACAATACTTTATTTTCAATACTGGTTGAGTCAATATTGGTTAAGGCTGACAATTACAACTTCATTAACACTTCATAGACATTTCCATTTTGTAGAAAACCACATGTGAAGACTTTAGGAATAATGTCAAACAGATAAAGCAAATAAGGAGAGTACTCCAGTTTCTTTGCAATTTTTCTATGCATAAATTTACAAACACATCTATAAAGGAAACACTGTACCTTCTGTAGCTACAGATGATTCTGCTTTACCGATTTACAGTGTCAGCTTTTGGAAGTGTCTAATTGCCATTACAAAATTTTTAGCAAAATATATTTCCCATGTAAACTGAAACAACTTTTTGCAAATTCCACGTGACTTCACAAAACAAACCGAAATTGAGATGACTAAACATACCTAGTGTTTGCTACCTTAATGAGAGCTTTGGACAGCAACATTGGCCAAAGTTCATTTTGACAGGCTGTAGCTGGTAATAGCAAATTCTCCTCTTCACTGAAAGGCATAGTGTCATCCACAATGATCTTTCTCCAGCACCCCTATGATGGGGGAGGGTGATGGGGGAAGAAGAAAAAACTGAGTTTGAGGGCTGGAAAATGAACATGCATGTAAGAGAACTTTTAACGCTTTCTCAAGAACCCAATTATACATTACAGATGGTTTTAAAAGGAGTTCTCACATAATATATGAGGAGCATGGAAACAGTATTCATAGCATTTCATTACTGCTCTGACTTATTTATTTCAGAGATTAATCTAATTGCAGCTATTTCCAAATATATTTCATCTCATATGTGTAGTCCATTATGTGCATGCATTCATTGCTTTTTCTTCATCTGCCATAACAGATGATTGAGAAACAGTAATTATTAAAAAAGGGGCTTAACTAAGATACCAGCTTAGTAAATGCCTCTTTAAGGTCTCAATCTGGAAAATACTTGTGATATAAGCAGTCCCCCTTGCTTCCCAGAAACTATCTGGGGATGTTGGCTGCAGTGGTTAGTGTTCTGGAAGGCATTAATATAGTATCTTATGAAACACCATATGAAACAACACAAAATGATCAAATGTAAAAAAAAAAAATCTATACTTCCAGGATAAGAAACAAACAGGTAAGACAAAGTATTGATATCTCCAATATCAGACACTTTGTTAGTAAACTGAGCTAGTATTCAACAAAATAATCTTGTCTACCATTCTCCAAAAAAAAGTCTCTGTCCTAGTGGTGAAGACATAATAGGAGAATTAATGGGGCAATAGCAAGTACTTCTGCAAACTCACCCACTAAATGATGAAGAATGACCAAATCACTAAACTGTTCAGCTTGTGTTATCAGAGGGCAAAATTACCACTCTCTGCTTGTAACTCAACTACAGATTCAAAGTGAAATGACATCTGATTATGAGTTCTGTAGTTCTCAGAAGAAAACAAATTTAGGCCACAGGGCAAAGATAACCAAAAAGCATAGAAGAGGTTAATGTTTTTTAGGAGAAGTGCTACTTTGTGACAACCAAAACAAAATACTTAAGATTTCCCAAGTTTGAAAAGGACTAGTAAGTAAAATAATCACATATTCATCTACTCTTTCAGTAATTGCTGAAGTATAATACGGACTGCAGTATAAGTTGATAAGTAAAGGAAAAGACATCAGAGAAACAAAAAAAAAGGATGTGGGGCAAGTCTATGGATAGAAAAAGGTGAGGAAAGGGTAACTACAGAGACAAATTCAATAAACCTCAGGAATGCAAAGTGAAAGCAAGATGTGAGGTAGAATTCCCATATGGTGTAAATTGTATGAAACATTATTATCCACAGATTGATCTCAAGGACTACAATCCCTCAGGACTCAACACAGCATTTTGGTGAAACCAGTTCATTACTCTTCCACCTTGTCTCAGTTTTAACTTAATTTGCCACTTTCTCCTGTAAATCTCTTTCTCCTCTATCTCTACTGATATATGTCTTTCCTCATTTACACATTTTCTTTAATCTTCCAACATTTGACTCTGTTTTTTCCTGCTTTTCTTTCTGTGAAATACAGCTGTACAACCAGAGGAAAAGAAATTGAATAAACACAAAGGTCCAAACCGAAACAAGCACAAAAGTGACAAAGAAAATAAAACACCCTGGTAACTCTTGCACATGCTTTAAAAGGCAGTCTTTTATCCTATGAATACACAACATCTGCAGCATTAAATTCACACACAGGATAATGTCTTCTTCTGAGGAACATGGACAACAGAATTTATGCCCTCTCAAACTCAGGCAACTCTCACTTCCTATGTGAATGTAAGTTATTCCATATGTGGAGGCAGTAGAAAGGGATTAAAGTACAAAGATCAGTGTTTACAAAGCCATAGTGCTGTCTACTCTCTTATATGGGTCTCAGTCATGGGTCATCTACCACCACCACCTGCGACTCCTAGAACGCTTCCATCAACGCTGTCTCCGAACAATCCTAAACATCCACTGGTCAGATTACGTGACCAATACATCTGTTCTAGAGCAAGCAGCAGTCACAAGTATTGAGGCCATGTTGCTGAGAACACAGCTGCGCTGGGCAGTACACATCTCCAGGATGAAGGACCACCGTCTCCCTAAGGTCTTGCTCTATGGTGAACTTGCCACTGGCTGCCACAAGAGAGGAACCCCGAAGAAAAGGTACAAGGACTCCCTGAAACAATATCTCAGCCTTGGCCATATTGATCAACATAACTGGTCTACTCTGGCCTCCAATCGGGAGGTCTGGAGACACACCATCTATAACACTGCTGATGCTGAGAACGCACGCAGGATCACCCTTGAGGAGAAAAGCCAACGCAGAAAGAATCGTGCCTTGCAGAATATACCATCTAAGGAGTCTTTCTGCTGTGCCTTTTGCAACTGGACATGCTATCTCGTATTGGCCTTTTTAGCCACCAGCGTGCTTGCAACAAACGTGGGTAGAGCCCTTCCCAAATCTTCATTCGTGAAGCCTAGCCATGAGTAAGGGATGATGAAAGCACAGGCACGTAAATCAGGTAAGTGCTTCCCGTTACAGGGAAGGTCACTTCCAACTTTCTGTTTCCAATTGACTGTGTAAAAAAATATTTTCAAGTTTGGGCAGCTGGAATTTTAATAGGGTCAGTTATAGGTTTTAGTGTTTTGTCACATATTCTGTTTGCAAAAGACAAATGTAACCAAAATAACCCTATCAACATAGACAAGTTTGTGTCAGTGATTATTTCTTTATTAAAATGAGGTTAAATATAAAATTAAGTGTTCCCTGTTGACTGAAAAATGTGTTTAGATGTTTCTGTCTGTTATCTTTAGAAACTCATGGGATGTTTCAGTTTTACCAGTACATCTTCAGTGAATAGTCCTCACGCTGGAAGTCTTTAATCACTTTTAAATACACCTGGATACAAATAGCTCTGTAAAGTCAACCGAGTTACTTAAACAATAAGAAGCATTCTTAATCCTAACATAACAAAGGTGTGGGCCACATCTGATTCTACCAAACTTTTTCATCAAACCTACAAAACTACAAAAATAGAATATTGTCTTTTCAATAATAATTCTGTTTTATCAAGTTCTAAGTTGTACAAAAAAACACATGAACTATAAGATTGTATTTTTATTAACAAGCATCAACAATGTGTCAACACTTCTACAAACCTATCTTTTCAATTATAAAATACATGTACACTAACCATTAAAATTTGCTATGCTAGCTGTATCATATTTATATATTGTTGGAGGAAACTACTCACCATCCAGTAAAGTTTCAATACATATTTTCCGAATTTATTGTACAGTGGCATGTGTTCCTTCGTAGCTTTACATAAAGCATAAATATGTTCCCATGGTTTCCAAAAAAGTGTGGGTATTTCACTAGTTAAAGACTTTTCATTATATATCCTCCAGACAGCATAAATCTCACTTACAATCCACCTCATCAGCTAAAACCAGAGGAAAATAGAAATTCTTTTCAAGTAACATCTTTTTGAAAAAAAAAAGCCAAGTTATAATGATCAAAGATTAAAACAGATTGTGTTGTAAATAAAGAAGTGACATAAAAGCATAGATATGGTTTAATGGAAAAACTAATTTCACTGGTACAACTTCTCTTAAAAGCATTACAATATCTACATACAATAACACGAACTTCATGAAACTAAGGAAAGGTACAATATAAATTATGTCGTTCATCATTTAACAAAGACAAGCAAGGAAATACAATTTTATGTTACAGGACTTGTGAACTGTCACTTGTTTTACTGTTTATTACAAGACAGCTACTAAAAATCAATATTGGCTTTAATACTCATTATTTATACTCGGTAAAAAAAATCCTAAATTATTAAAAGTATTTAATAATTTTTAAAACTTAAAATAGAACCTTTAACTAATCATGTTTCAGTGCATGTGTTTTTATAACATGCAGATTTCAGATTTATACCATACTTTCACAAGTTTTACCAAACTTTTACAGTGATTTATATAAACTAGAGTGAAAATACGATTTTACAAGAAGAAACTTGCCCTAAAATTAATTAGTACTTCTGTGGGCCTCAAAATTTACACCACCAGTTTTCTGATGGTTTCCTCTCATATATCTCTGATGCTGAATTTTGAATTTTCATTGAAGCATTGAATGAAATAGAAATTATGAAGTAATATTACATTCAGTAAGGCACTCAGATGCCTTGGCACTACCTGTTTTATATTTTCACATGATCTGTAGAAATTCATTTATTCACCTCTGGAGAGACTGCCTGGGTGACAGACAGTTGCGCATACATGCAGGCACACTAAGACTTCAGGAAAGTTTGAATGAAAAATATAAATCCTTTCTAATCCAGCCTATATTTGCTCTTATCTTTAGACAGTACTATCCAGTAGTAATTATAGTAGCTCATATACTATATATATATTTAACAAAAAAAAAGTTTGGAAAATCTCGATTCATCGTCGATTTAATTTTTCAAATTCTAAAGAAGGTAAACAATAATTATAAAAATCTAGATTATTTCTTGCCATTTTATTCCCATCATTCTTTTTCCACTTAAAAAATTGTCACAACTTATTTCTTCATGGTAGAAATTTGGAGTGAAATTCAAAAAGTTAAAGAGAGATAAAGAAGAATGAATTAATTTTTTTTTTTTACGTATTTCTGCCTACCTCACTACAAAATATATGCTCATTTGCTGAAACAAGGTCAAATGAAGTTTCATTTTGGACAACAACAGGAACCTAGGAGAAAGTAAATTAGTTAAGTCCATAGCTAAATTACCTGGAAAAAATTAAATTAACATTAACATTTAACTGTAATGACATGCAAATGTTAGACATTTGGCAAATATTCATTAGAGATTTGCAAACTAGAAATTTCTTAAAATGTAGATGTTCCAAATTTTTAAAAAATAAGAATTATTTTTACCAGGATATTTAAAGAGCATCAAAGGAAATAATCACATTAAAAAAATGATATTCCTTCATTTTATTAAGCATATTTGAAGTTTTGCATTTAAACCATGAGCATAGCATTGACTCAAAGTCATCCACCAGGATTCAAATGGAATTCTTTCTCATGGTCAGTTAGAAAGCGGTATTATCAGTATATAAATGGTGACTTTGACTGCATTACATAGTTTTGATGACTATTACCTGTTTATACAACACATTTCCTTTAGGGAGGCAGTTCAGAAATAAGGTACTGGGATTGTAGTTTATTGAACCAAATGTATCTGTGCCTCTCATCACATACTAGTGATCATTGCTTGATTCTTTGCTTACTGCACTAAACAGGCTTGTTTACGCTTTCTTTTGTAGTTACTAATAGATTAGGTAGCAACATGTATCATTCTTAATAGTCTTTCATCACTTGACATTTACATTAATTTTTAACAATAATATAAAATTTCTAGTAATCGTTGCTTCTCGATTCAAAACACATATTGGACCAAAAGAAGTATCAAAATTTTAATCAGGTCTTAAAGAAAACAAATGCTTTCTTCATAGTGCTCTAAAGATAAAAGCTACTTTTAATATAGATACATATTTCCATGGCTTTCTGGGCTGCCAGCTCTCTTGCCCTCATCCTTCAGATACCTCCACTCAGTTTATGCATTTTGGCAGCATTTCCTATCCAATCTTTTGGTCTTGTCAATTACTTCTCTGACCTCCCCCTCCTCCTTCCTCCATTAAAAATTAAACTTGGACCTCTTTAGTGCCTATTTAATAAAAAATGGAACTGACAAGCTGACAAAAGGAAAACTGACAAGCCAGAAAAAGCTGGAAGGATGGTCCAAGTGCCTTAAAACTTCAGTATTTCTTCTGAAGCAAAACACTTTAAAATTTAAGATTACTAACAGCATTAGAGGATACTAAACTTTGAAATGGTAGGCTGCTTATTTTCTTTGTAAATAATTTAAAAAATATATCGAATAAAAGCTGTGCATAATTTTAAAATGTTATGGTTACCTTCCAGACAAGTACTGTCAAAAACATGGACATGTACTGTGTATAGCCCAGAGATATACAACAGCTGAAGGGAAAAAAAAAATACTATCATTCTGGTAAAGTTAGTTGATGTTTTCATGATAAATATTTAGTTCAGATACCTGCTCAAGGGCAGCCTTAGTTGGAATAAACAGACATTTTTCTGCCATGAAGCTGATTTTTAAGTGAGAATAAAAGAACACAAAGAAAAATAGAAGGGCCAGTTGCCTTCTAAATGAAAATGGTGTTAAAAAGTGAAGCAGATGTGGGAGGATACACTGCCATGATGTTTTGCACCAGGAAGTGCTGGTTCGTGGTGATCTTATCGCACTACGAAAGGCACTCAGACTCTTTATAGTATCATTGAAAATGCTATAATTAGAGCTAACTATAATGAAAGGGGTTAGCATATGCAACATGATGTCCTTTTAGACACTGGGAAACCCAAGTTGTGTGGCATCAAGTAGGTCTGTGATCCATCTGTGCAGCACTCCGTGCAGATCCAATCCATAGAAAGGATATTCTGACAGGATATTCTGACAAGAAAACAACTCTGTTCATCATTTCTCCTGTAAAATTGAAAGTATGTTGACATAAGAAGGTGTTGCTGTGGTTACATAAAGGGAAGGAGATGCAGGTGGTATAATTGCCAGTAACAAGAAGGAGCCACCTGCAGGCTCCTCTGTTACCATGAGCTGTCTGAGCTTTTTCAGTGCCCAGGACTTACAGCCAGCAAGCACCACACCAGCCTCAGGGCCAAGCTGTGTGTACAGGACAGGTTAGCTGTTACAGCTGTTACACAGGATCACTGACTCCTCGCTGTACAGTAGTCTCCTGGACAGGATGACCCTGTATGGTCAAGTGGGTATTACCTGTTGAACTAATTTCCTCTACTAATTTCCCTTTACTTTTGACAAGCTAGGTGAGCAGCATTTTTTCATCATGACCTTGCTTGTTTCTTACCTGTTTTGTTATAAACTCTTGTGGACGTTTCCATGAATGTACTTTTAAGGATGCTGGCAACTTTATTTTCCCTTCAGGATCATCAAAGAACTGCTACATAAAATATGCATGCACAAAAATGGAACATTTTTTATTAATTACAGTGTTGTATCTTCCACAAGATTTAAAATAATATATTGCTCACATGATAATTCACTTACGGAGCAAAATAGCATAAAAAGGAACTGAAGTATCTACAACTGAAGTACAAGAGCCCAAAGCCCAAAATAAAGATTTAGCACAAAAGCCACTTATATTGTCCTGAAAAGTTTATGTGGCCTGCACCGTCTAAATGGGTCTATATGAACTGATTTTTTTCTTTTTCACCTTCCAGAAAGCTCTCCAAAAAAAGTTTAAGCTTTTGTTAGGTACTCTTCTACCAAGTTGTTTCTACGTACTTTTTCTAACTCACGTATTTTTATAGCTTTTTTAATTGAATATTGAAAGTAAATATCTAAAGTGGTATTTAGACACAAAACATGTTCCCTGCATTTAACACTGCTATAGAAACCAAAGAGAACTATAATTATACAGCATAATGAATTAGCCCATTAAAGAGAGAGTCCCATATAATTTTCAAACCTGCATTTCTAAAGTGATACTCATCCTCTGTGTGCACAGAAGTCATCATGATATATTATATTTGTTTACTTAATAGCACAATGTAGAATGAAGAGATGCCTCTGATTCAGGTCATGTTGACTGACAAACTAATCAATTACATAGTTAATGCCTTTTATTTAAGTACCTACTGACCAAAGGAAGGCAAAAAAAAATACATTACAAAAGTGTAAAAACCAGACACAAACCAAAGACTCCCAAATAATACTTTCCCCACATTTTTTTTTGTAAGCTCCTTCAACCTAACGGTCTGCAACAAGCTATTTCAAGTACCTGAAGGAAAAAAGATTAGTTGGGGGGAAAATGAATCTTTCAGGACTACTTTTCTTTTTTTATGGAAGCTTAAAGAAAGCTTTGTAGCCTGGACCACGAAGAATTATGTTAACAGAGTTTATTCTGCTTTCAGAGACATCCAACCCTGACTTCATGGCTGGATGAAACATGAGCTAAACATGGAATGATGGAATGACCTAACACTACACAAAGAAATACTAAAAAAAAATCAGGAAAGATGTACCCTTCTTTAGCTTCCTAGTGCAAAGATACTTTGAAGAAAAATATTGTAGGTTCAGCTAAACTTGGCTGACAAAATCAAGTTTAACTTATCTTTTTTTTAACGTGGCTACAAGAGACAACTGCCAGGTATCAGGAGTTCATGCTCTAAGGACAGGAGTCTCAATCACAAGTTTTACAGGAAGGACATGGAAGAAACAGACACAAGAGAAACAGATAAGGTCAAATGCACAGTATCTGCAGTCCACTGTACCGCTCTAAGAGAGGCTATTGTGTAGGGGTCCTTGAATTAAGATTTAGTAAAAGAGATTTAGTGTTACAAGGATAGAGATCACTTCCAATTGATTCCTTTTCCCACACAAGAAAATAGGACTGCTCATATTCCTGTTCTAAGTGTACTCAAAGGTACTGGATGCCATTACTAATTCTGTTTCTAACTGAAATAGCCTACACAATATTGAATCCTGGCTATCTGCTTGAATCAAAAGAGGCACATTACAAAATTCTTTAGTTCTGTAAATTCATCTGCTGTGGCCAACATATTTTATGATTTCTTTAAACATATAAAAAGAACAATGTTTCATATAGCTTGTAGCTGAAGAACTGATGAATCCAGTAAACCACTCAGAATGCCTCTTGTGTTTTCAGATTTTAAAGTTTATCTATTATAATAATGTCTGGCAGACCTAACAAATTAGTGCTAGATAAATGTTAAGAGTACAGCCCAAAGACACAAAATGGGGTAATGGAACAGAAGAAAGATACAAAGGGAAATTATTTACTTGACATGTTAATGGCAGTATTCAGTAGAGAACTTATACCTTCTCTGAAAACAATACTTTGGCCCCTCAGGAGTATAATATATTAAGGCTCAGGATAAGAAAAAAATAATCTACAAACACATATGCCAACATATACATAGTTCACAGAATACATTCAGAAGAAACATATGGACAATGCAGAATTGGCACATAAAATAGATGATTAAGCATGGCACTTAATGGATTTAAATATCGCTTTAAAATGCAAAGTTTAAGAAATTCTTTCAGAAATAAATTTACTACTACTCTGCATAAAAGACACATTCTGCAATGACAACTGGTTTGAAGGAGTAAAAATTCCGTATGAGACTTATAATTCATTCCAAAGTTGGAAAACTGAGGAACTTTTCTGCATCTGGCAGGCACTTACTTTCTGCAAAATAACAATATCCCTCAAATCATTCTCTGAACATTAGAACTGCAGACAGCATTTCACCGGTCCAGAAACTGAGGTGTGCAAAAATATACGGATGGGTGGTGCATCAAACCTTTTGAGTTCACAGAAACTGCACTGCCCTGAGAAGGGATTTCTCTGACATACTACAACAGTTCAGCTCTTCCCACATCCCCAGTTTTAATTATGTTATGAAATAGATTTTGGGGATGAATTTTTTTAAACCATTATGGTGCACACAATAATGTACACACTGTGTGCATTAATGTAAGCAATTAACTTAAAAAGTAATAAATAAACGATGCACAATACTTCTAGTTTATTACTGCAGTTTAATAGGGAACTACTTACACACATTGAAAAGATATGATATGATTTATCAGTAACACATTATTTTGAAGTCGTGACAAATACTCTACTAAATACAAGTAAAAAAAATGAAGGGAAATAGGATGTGTCACACAACTTACTGAAATTTGACCTTTTCCAGCTTTTTCTTTTCCAGGTTTCCCAGGATCCCATTTTTCTGCATTGATATCTGCATCATTCCATTCTGGCCAAATAGGAAATGCCCACTTCTTGTTTGAAGCACCTACCTGGGAAGATGCAGGTGCCCTGGGAAACACATAGTGGCATGAATAAAAATGAATAATATATTAGACAACAGTAGCAGGAGATTTTTACCATATATTCTTTTTTTAATGTGCTGTAATAGAAATTTTAGTGTTTGTAACTACAATAACTTTTTGTCACTAAGATAAGCAAGCCTATAGAAGTGCTAGATGGTGTCATTAGGTATAAACTAATGAAATATTTAAATGCATTTATATGAGGAATCCTGCTGAGGTAAATGGGATAGCTGAAGCACAAAACCACAATCTGAGGACAGTTTCCTCCCTCTTCCTTTTCCTCTGCTTCAAGACACATTGTTATCTTTCCCCTCCTGTGCCAGCCCTAGCATTCATGATCCAGTTCAACTCATTTCCCCAATATGAAGGCTTTCTTTCTTTTTTTCTGACTTATTTCTTTAACCAACAAAAAGGAGCTTGCCATGGGTAAAACTCATCTTGGGGAAAAAGACTCACTTCTAGGAATCCATGAGCTGCTAGACCAGCCAGTTCTGTCTCCAGGTAGTTTCATTCTCACATTCTCAGGGCCTTTTGTGCTCCCAGCACTCTCACTACCTTCTTCTTGGGTTTCAGAACTCTGGCAAACAGTTTGCTGAGACTGCAGGGATTTTCACAAGACTAATACACAATGCATTCATAGCCACCAACTAGCACCAGTAGTACCTGTGCGTGTCATTTTTTCAGTGCATACAGTGGACCAAAATCTGAATTAGCTAGAATGAGAATACATCAGCTCCTTCCTCCTTAACTACCAAATCTGGAGGCAAAGAAAGTACACGCAGGTCACAATTATATTTTCCCAAACCCATTGAAAATAAACAGTAGATGTTGTTCACTCAAAAGAACAAAAGGAAGAAGCTGAAGGGACTCAAGAAGAAACATGCCACCAAGAACTGAGCAAAAGGGTTTAAACAAATCTTATTACAGAAAAAAACTTACAGACTTTGACTCGCTAGAAAAATAGACTAGGGTCAGAATTTCCTCTTTGATACTCAGCAGTATGCTGCAGCATTAAGAATATACTTACATGGTAACATGATATTTCTATTACATGATACACATCAGTCATAAAAAGCTAAAGAAGCTGTCATTTTCTCTTTCCTTTCCTCACACCACACACAAACACCTTCCTCATACCAAACACAAGCACCTTCCTTTTTTTTATTCTTCTTTTTTTTTTTTTGATGAGGAACGGCAGAATTACTACAAATATGTCCAGGAGATCAGGAAGATAACAGTGTTTTGGGCTACAGCTGAAGAGTTAACTTTACAAATTGGTGCCAAAAAATATTTCTAATAAAAATTAAAGCTTAATTTCTTTAGGAACTGATATCTTCAAGAGATTTCAAAGGGAAATCTTCCATTTGGGGATTTTTTTGATATTTGAGAACAGGGGTTTTTTATACCTCCTGTACATATATTGCATATCATATAATGTGGATATTTACACCGATGTACAAACCACCAGTGATAGCATATAAAACCATACACACAATTTAAATTTTTGAATTATTGCTTTCTCTTGAGATTTTGGTGACTTCATAGAAAAAACTGAAATCTGGTTATGATTTACAGCATCAATCTGATTGCAAAAGCATTTTACATTTCAGATAAAATGATCGCAGTGTCATAATACACATATGCTCTTTTTCAGTTGTTGTACATAATACTCAATTATTGCTCCTATATAAGTGCAATGAGATTTATGACTATATTCTAAAGCCAAACACGGACTACATAAATGAATAGTCTGACTAGGGAAAATGGTGTGTAGCAAGTGACAACTGAAAATACTATTAAGCCCAATCTTCCAGAAGGTGGAAGCAGGGACAAGTCACTTGGGGGAACAGACATTGCTCAAGTGTAGTGCAATGAAATTACAAAAGCAAAAGCTCAGCTGGAGCAGAAATCATCAAAGGATGTTAAGGGAAAGGGGAAAAGCTTCTATAAGTATACTGGCAGCAAAAGGAAGACTAAGTAAGGAAAGTGCATGTCTGCTGCTCAGTGGGGTGGGGAACTTAATGACAAAGAGCATGGGAAAGGCCAAGATACTCAATGCCTTTTTCTGTCTTGGGTTTTGTTTGCAAATTTGGCTCTCAGGCCTCCCAGTCCAAGAGTCTACTTAGAGAGTCTGAGGGAGCAAAGCATTATCTACAGCAGAGGAAGGTAGTTAGATAGCATTTAAGACAACTGGACACACACAGCTCCGTGGTGCTAGTTGGGATGTGAGCAAAGGTACTGAGAGAAATGACTGGAGTCACTCCAAGGTTCCTGTCAATCATATTCAAAATACCATGGCAACTGAGAAAAGTTCTGATGACTAGAAAAAGGCAAATATTATGCTCTCTTAAAATCTGGGATTTGGATCTTCAGAATTAAAGTGCTTGGAAACAATTTAAACTCAAATGGACGAGGACCTAAGAAACCTGATGTAAGCTGACCCTGCTTGAGTAGGGAGTTTGAAACTAGATGGCTCCCAGATGCACCATTCAATGAACATTTTCTGTGATTTCATAATAGTTTTGTTGTTACCAATAGTAAGGACAAAGAAATGGATAAAAATAAAGATTTCTCACTGTCTAGACATTAGCTACATTCATCCACACTACCAGTAACTCTTAATGGAAGACAGCTGTGAAAATTCAATACCATCTGTGCCTTCTGTTGTGTAAAAAATTCCCAAACATGGCTTCTACCTCTCTAACTGGAAGGAATATGTATTCTACAGAGTGATACCTCACTTTACTTTTTCATCTTTGTCACTTCAGTAATCTGTAAATTGACTCTCTATTGCCTTTGATCTTTCATTATTGGTACAATTTTTTCTCCAGCATTTTCTTGAAGACTCAAATGATGCTTCATTCTATATTCAATATTTAACAAGCAATTGAAAACCCTGAAGTATTTATCAGTTTCTTTGGATTACTAGGAATGTTTTTATCAGTTCCAGTTTTTTCAAAGAATCTGTTGCATCTGCACTAGCCTCATGCATAAAGAACAATAAAAACCAAAATTCTAGCTGTACAAACAGGTTCAACACTTGTGATACTTTGAAACCTGACTCCTTTTAACACTGGTTTAAATACAACTCCTGACAGCTTCTTACATATGCAAAAAAATGATGATTTAGAATTCTCATTTTTTGTACTTTTTTCCTACTTCAGATGAAATATGAATGGTGTATGCAGTGATTTGAAATATTCAAGGACTACTAATTTTTTTAAATCTTTTTTTCTACCTCTAAGTCAGCATTTTCTCTTTTAAATATAGAGAAGCATGGAATTTTCACTTATAATAATGATAAAGATGCTCTGAAGCCATTCCCGAAGAAAATTAAATAATAATTCCAATAATTCATAGAATCATATAATCACAGGATGAATTGGGTTGCAAGGGGCCTTAAAGATCATCTAGTTCCAACCCCCCTGCCATGGGCAGGGTCACCTTCCACTAGATCATGTTACTCAGAGCCCCTCCTCATTTCTTGCTATAAGATTTCTGACTGCTTTGGGACAATAACGGAATAATAAAAAAGTGTATTTTTAAAAAGCAACAATGAGATATGGAAAGAAACTCCTAACTTAGTTCCACACACAAAATTACTTTTCACTACACTTTGACATAACAGAATACCCTCAACACTAACAGTGTGGAAGACATGGAAACAATGCAATCTATGACTGAGATGTCTAAACTAAGCTGGGGAAGCCCAATGCTACTGCATCTCTAAAAGGATAATTCAATAAACTTTTGGAAAAATTTATAAATAACTTCAATTTAATTGGTCTCCAAGCATAAATAACAAATCAAAAAAGACAGCTGAATTTATTAAAATACTGTATTTGGAATAAGGCTATTAAGAAGTTCATTTATTACAAGAACTGAATAATATAACTCAAATCTTCATTCGCAAAGCCGAGCCATGATGACACTATAACTCACTGAGAATTCTTTGAAACAAACTATACGACACAAGGCCAATGGAAATTGCTGGCATTTTATGCTCAGGCTGCATGGCTTCATTGTGTAAGAGTATTTTCTAAACTAACTTACGGGTACACTTCTTTTTAATCCTGTGCTAAACCCTAAAGGAGAAAAAGGAAGAATAAATTGCCAAATGAGAGAAACACCATGAAGTTGGCACTAATTCACCTCTGACCCTTTAAGCAGCTTCTCCAAGAATACTGGTATAATTGATGTAGTGCCAACAAGGGAAATGGGGGATGGCAGGATAGAGAAACACAGCAGGGAAAAAACTGCAGACAGATTGCATCCTAAATTTTTCAGAGACTTCAGATTCAATAAAGAGACAGGAAACAAGCCCACAAGGAAGTGTGCTCTCTCAAGTTAAAACACATAGTCATTTATTTAGCCTGTGGACATATACAGTACCACACTCTGTAAGCAAGATCTTGTCAACATGGTCAATGGAGTCTAAGGAGCAGTTTTCCTAAAACAGTTAAATCTATCTGTAAATTATCTATGATCATTCCTTACTGAGGGAACGCAGCAAGACTGAAGGAAGTCTTCTCAAGAGAATTACAGAAGTATTGGTATTTAGTTTCAGAACAGCATGGCTACTCCACCTTCCTTTCCCAGTACTCATGTCACTCTGGATCACCAGACAATAATAATTTTGTGACACTATACAGGTTTTTTTAGAATTCAGAAAGACAGTGTGAGGCAGTTAAAAAAAAAAGGGTCCCTTTCCTTGGATTGTTTGAACAGTCAGAAGAAATGATTTCTGGCCTCAGTAGAGGCTTTTATATTAGGAAAAAGGGCAGAGAACAAACAGTCAGTTCAAGGTTCTCTCCAAATACGCCCTGTAGAGAAATTATTTAAGTTTTTCCTTAATCTCTTCAGAACTCAAAAGGCTCCTTTAAAGACCTTATTTATAGCAGAAGTTCTTTTAAACTCCAATCGCTGAAATGATTTATAAAAAGTAGCATCTGAATATCTTATAAACCCACAGCAGAAACCATGGTA